TTTAACATCAACACACAGAAAAATAGAAAATTAGTTTATAATTTTTTTTCTTCTCAAGGCATCTCTGTAGCTTTCAATCAACTAGCATCGCAAACTAGCTCTCATAAGTTTTTGTTCTTCAGTTTGTCAAGTCAACATACAGTCTTAGGTCATATTAAATTGTGATTTTTAAAAATCCTATAAAATATCACATCTTTATGATTTCAGTCTTTATCAGATTACATTAAAACACTTGCATTAAAAAAAAGTATTTTCATTAAATATGCAAGGTACAAGTTTGATGTGTTGAGTTGAGTTGCAAAAGTGATTTTGATATTAATATTTTAAGTGCCCATTAGAGAAAGACTAATCCAGAATGTCAATTTAAAAAACGAGTTCTTTAAATAACAGTGCTATAAGTCAGTCTTCATAAGTTTAATGTTAGAATAGTTCAATAAAGCTGCAAAATTATAACCTGCAAAACACATGATAAATTTGAAACTGGTTATGAAATATTACAAATTGTTGCTTTACAATTTATTAGATAAATGTCTGAAGAGAAATAATATGAAACTAGGGTGTGGCGACAAGTAGGGAAATTGGGATTGGAGAATGTAGCTCAGAGGATGATCTAAAACCAACTTAGTTTTACGGAGCTTTTGTGCTGTAATGTGCAGGATTCTTATAATGCTGCATTTCTTAAATGCACGACAGGGTTGCAGTTCAAGCAGGAAAGCTGATAGCAAAGGGCTGTCGAGAGCAACATGTAAAATTGAAATAAAACACTTCAGTAATCTATCAAAGTAGGACTAAACATCAAATTACAGATGCCTTTAGCAAAATGAACAACATCCTTAATGATTTGGTAATGATCACAGGAGGCTAGGTGATGCTTGGATTCAACCACAGCACAGAACTCTGCTCATTGACAAGCTAATAAAGGCATTTTATGGAAAATTACATCTACTGAGTTACATTTTTAGTAGATAATAATAATAATAATCCTTGCATTTGATATAGCGCTTTTCACGTCGGGAAGACGTCCCAAAGCACTTCACAGAACACATTGTAAAGATGGGGGTAAATGACTTAAAAGTAGTCTCTCTTACATAGTAATGGTAAAACGTTACCAATCACAATAATTTTAGTTTGGCAGCTTTATTAAACATCTAGGAGGCGTGCACGTTATTTCAGTATTGATATTTTCTATACACATGAAATTCAGATTACCAATTGTGACTCTGTATAATCACTACTTAAATTCAGCAACACAGCCTTCATGTTGCACATAATTGGCAAAAAGCTCAAGAATCCGATCGATAGTAGCTCAAAAGATAACACTGGAGGGAAATTCCCAATACTGCTTCCTGTGTATTCAATACTGGTCATGGGTGTAAACAAGAGTTAAAATATTTATCCCTTCATTCAGAATCTGAAATTCCAAATAAAATTGGCGAATATAGATGCATGCATTGTGTAACTGGTAAAACACTAGACCACAAGTACTAACTTCCTGTATCACCAGTTCTGCTTCTATGAAATCCATACTAATAGCAAATACCGTACATAGCTGGAGCAATGGCATGTGGGTTTGACACAATAAAAAAGGCTGTAATACAAGTTGTAAGCTGGTCAGACTTGTCAGGCTCACACAGAGTAAGACAATGATGCTCCCAAAAATCATCTAGCAAAAAACATTGGACAGAAAAGGTTGTGGAATCAATCAAGTAGCAGAACGCAAGTTCTTCTTGTGACTCCCAGCACCAAAAAGAGAGAGAAGGGGAGCCAAACATAACTTGCCATAAAGTACCATTAGCATTACATACAAATGTTAGGATCTACAAGGCGATTCCCCCTTTGATGTAACAAATTCTTTCAAAAGCACAGTAAAGGTTGTGTATCAATGTGGCACCTGAGACTTTCCAAAACACTATTGTTCAGTTTATGTGGCACCGAAAACTTGTGTTACACAGTATTGTTGCATAATGGAAGAGTACTTACAGGACATAAATTTAAAGTTTGCTCCAAGGAGTCAATTTCTTCTCTTCAAAAAAGGAACACATCGTAAAAGCAATCTTAAGTGTCTGAAGACACAAAAGATCGATTTTCAGGATGAATGAATCAAAGTGCACTGCTGCTTGTTATTACTTTCTCCAATAAATTTACTAAACTGCTTGTTGCTCAATAAATAGTACAGCTTGCAGTTAAAACAAAATCACGGTTAATATATCTATGACAGGAGCATAGCTTCAGTTTCTTCCCAGATAAAAACAGACCAATTAATTCAAGGGATACTCAGGCACAATCTTAACTGAAGAACTGAAACTTCAAAAGATCAGTGTCACAGTGACTCCAATAGAAAGAATCAAAAATTTGCCTGAATAGGATACGTACAGAATGCACAGTATTCAACATTATTATTACGGATGGTTTTAGGAATGTGTTCATTTTATTTAATACTGTAGCATAGAGGATTAGTATTGGGCTAATTAAAAACATTCTGCAGATTGAGGCAAACGTGTTTCAATGTTGACATGCTCTATGTAAATTAACACTTACCAAATATAATGAGGCCCCTAGAGTTTCAGTGAATTAAAATTGCAGTGTAAATGATATTCCCCCACCCTTTGGAACTTGATTTCAGAGTCCCTTCGATTCACCTCTTCCCTCACCTTCAAGATCCACCTCAAGACCTTCCTCTTTGACCACGCCTTTAGTCATCTCCCATCCCCCCCAGCCCCTTAAATGGAAAGCTTAGACTGTCCAGTCCCTTGGGACAATCTCCTGATATGAAAGGCGCTATATAAATGTAAAATCGTGTATTCAATAGGCCCAAGAAGAGACTGTGTTTAGAAGACTGGTTATTACATTGCATACGAGTGCTTCTTGGTTTGACAAATGTACTTTTGATAATTTCCAATTACAAGCAAAAGTCACCCATTTATACTTGCTTAATCCCATTCGAGCTGTGTAAAACCTAAACCATTTCAAGTTAAAATTAATATTCACCTAGGCACGTAAGGTAATAAAGTGCCAGGGTATCTCGACATTCTAGTTATGTAGACTCTAGACTCAAAAATCAAATGCAAGGAATATTATTGTGATTTTGCCTTCTTCACTGTCTGTCTCAAAAATATTTTCAAAGAATGAATAGATTCATTCCTAAATGTGGATTTACATCAGTGAAGCATACTACAGGGCCATCCAGGGTTACAAGTTCAGGATTATAAAGTAAAAACAAATGCATTCTTTGCTGGTTAATCACTGCTGTACATAAGCAATTGGAAAAAAGAAAATTCTGTACAGCCATTTTGATTGCTGTGTCCTCAGTGACTCGCATTAACTCGGTCATTTTGTTTAACCAGATCAAACTAAAACTATAAGAGGGTAAATGAGTAACTTTGTTGTTCCTGCCATTGCCATGTGGGCATGTTTACTGACTTTTATGCAAGTACAAAGTGAAGATTTTATTTTTATAAAAGGTTTTCCAGAGAACAAAATTAACTACAAAAATAACTTCAACCATAGCAGGACACCCTCTAATATATAAACAAGATACTTGCTTTTCATGTGTCCTCACTGTTAGTGACATAACTAAATTTGTTTTATTCTAAATAAAATGTGAAGGTTTTTTTGGAGCAGGGGTGGGGGGGAGGGGGATACAGTAAGGTGTCTGGATTTCAAGTAAAGGCATTAAAAGTTTTCTAAAATTGTGATAATATTAATTTCTCAGATCATCAGTATATTTCAGAGGGCTACAACTACATCATAGAGGGAATGTTGCATTGTCATTTTTCATTTGTATGATAAACCATGCACTATTCAATGAGAAGGGAGTTTCTCTAGGTGTGCTGACCAACAATCCTCTAGATTAATTCATTCATCTCATGGTTATTTGTGGGTCAATGAATGCCTGTTGCATTTGCCTATAAAACAGCCATAATACTTGCCTGTGAAATGCTTTGTGACATTGACATTCCTTCTAAAAAGTAAGGTAGCACTAGTGTATTTGGGTAGCTATATATAATCTAACACTATGATAGTAAATATGGGTACTTATAATGTCTGTATTACACAAACGTTCAAAAAACCTCACGAAAATAGTGAAATCCCGATCAGATTGCATAAGAGATGTAAAACGGGATGATTTTATTCCACTATAGCAGGGGAATGTGTGATATTTTAATAATATTTTGACTGCGCTGTATATGTTGAAAGGAATGGTTAAAAACAAGGAATGAAACAAATGTAGTGAGTGCAAGCTCCTGGCTTTTCTGCATGGCTCCATTGGAATATTATGTAACAGTGCCGTTAGACATTCTAAAGAATACACTTAAATAATTTAATTTTGTTGAAAGTTCTGAACAAAACCCCATGAAAATTAATGCTAGTGTTAGACCATTAAAATTATGAATATAAACTATATTAATTTAGAGTGCTTGTAAGAATATTCTTTGATTACCACAGCACTCGTAAGTTTTACATTAAAACTACAGGTTTGGCCCCTTGCAGTTGATCCCAATTTTGTCAAATGCTTAGCAGACAAACCTCAAGCAGCAGCATTTGAGGCTCAGTTATGATTAATGATGTCAATGCTCAACTTCTGAAGTTGAGTTAAGTAGTTATTCCCGAACCAGGAGTGAAACGCTAGGATCTGCATGGCTGTAGGATTCAAGGTGCCACTGGGTGAATTAATGGCTGCAGCAACGGCATTTCAAACAAGTGGGGCAGGTGTTGTTCACCAAGGGCAGTCATTTCAATAGAGTGGGGGGATTCCTCTGGCAGTTAGCAACTGGGACCTCGGGGAGCAAAATGTCCCACAATGTGAGAGTTCACATTTTCACCCTAATTACCTCTTGTGAAAGGCATTACACAAATGCAATTTGTTGTTGTATATTATGCAGACAGTATTGATGCATTACAAAACCATAGTACCTCACAATCCCCATTACTCACCATTGGCATAAAACACATGAAATTAATTGGTGACAAGAGATTTTAAAAGGAACAACAATCCTGCGGTTCAGATAACACAAATTGCTCTATGGTTCAGGATGTTACAAGAAGACTTAGACCATATTCATCCTATAACTTCCTATGACAGATGCATCATTTATTTCCCGTCCTCAGATAATCATCTACGTTGAGCCTGGATATGATTTTAAAATTCAGCAGTTATATTAACATATGCGATCTTAATATATGTAATCTTATCCTGCTCTGAAACAGGCTCTCAAACAGCTTTCGAGTTTTAGTGGAACTCGCCACTTTCCTTTTCTTGCTCAACTCAGGAGTTGTTTCTCAAAGCAAAGCTTCCTCAGTGAAGACTTTCTCTGTCTCATCAGTAGTTTGAGTCATTTGGAGGTCCACTTCAAACAGTTTTTAAATTATCCTCGGTGTCCCAAGGTTCATGCAAGCTGGATGGAGACGTTTCTAAGATCGTTAAATAGCCTCTCTGCTAGTAGCCACTTTGAGCTATTGGTGTTTTAAATCCTATTTTTCTTGATATGCCTGAGCTGGAAAGAATTAACATATTAGTAAGCACGCAAGTTTGTATTAGTACCATTGTTTAGGATAGTCAGAAGGTCAAACTAGCATTTGAAGATGTATTTTGCAATAGACCAATAAATTGTTTATTCTCCTTGGAACAGTAATTTCAGCAGAACCTTTGAGGGTCATCTCCAGAACAGCATCAGATATACATTTCAAGAGTTATTTTTTTTCTTTGTTAATTCATACCTATTGAATATCCATTTCACATGGTTTTTCTTTGCAAAGTTAAAGGTTGCCTTTTTACTCTCCACTAAAACAATGGAGCGAGCTCAATGGTCCAAATACCTACTCTTGTTCGTATTCATATCTTTCCAAAAACTTCTATAAAGTTGAACACCGTTAAAAACCACAACATCCCAAATTCATATTAAAACATATACCCTTAGACTCCACCCTTGCATAATGATGCATCTTTAACCATTACATCCATGAGAAAGATATACAACTGGCTTTGCATCAATCACCCCACTATTTATGCCACATCACGTTTTCCTCACCGTTAACCCCTTCGCCTTAAGCATTTGAGCCAGCTGAGGGGACGCGTATACGAAAGAGACCTTGCTGTAACTGTAGCCTGAAGAGCTTACAGTTTGCAATCCGCAGAGCAGCGCAGCCTGTTCGCCGGAGGTCTGAAGGGAGTAGTGGCTTGGTGTGGTGCCAGGTTCCTGTGCTTCGGCGAAATTCTCGAACAAAGTCATACTGTGTGCCTAGAAGTGATAAAGGAAACCAAAAGGTCAAGTACTGTGCTCTAATTTTTGCAAGCACCAGACTGGGAGAAAGATCATCGACTTCATGTTAAAACAAGACTTTCTCTAAAAAACTGTACTTAATTAAAGAAAAAGTGAACTTTGTCACTCTTACTTAGATTGAAAAATTTGTCCCTAGGCATATACATCCTCCTCCTCCTCTCTCCTCCCTCAACAAGCGACTCACAGGAACCTCACATACACTGACTCTCTTGTGAACATTTAGCTTCTGTTTAGCAACTGTGTCAGATAACCTGATCTAGATTAAGAATTGGACAGGGTGAAGAAACAGGCACAAACCTTTGGCCTACTCATTCTATTGTACTACCCTGATATGACTTATTTTTATCAAACATTCAATTATCCAACACTCACCTGTGTCTAGGTCACCAATAACATAAATGCTAGCACCAATATGTACCGCGCCATACACAAATGAAGAGCTTGTTGGAATGCACAGCGATTGGTCATTCAGATATATCCACCTGAAAAACAAAATAATTCCAGATTACCCTCAAATGCTGGATTTTAATGATAGATTTAAAAAAGTGGGGGCATTTTGAGTGTCAAATATCCTTTCTAGTCTTCAGAATACTCTTGACTGCAATATTTAAAAGAGGATATAAACATAGAAATTGCTGGGAACATGCAGCAGGTCAACCAGCATCCATGGAGAGAGAAAAATTAGTTAACGTTTCAGGTCTAAGACCTTTCTCAGAACTGGAGGATATTGGAAGAGAGCAGATTATAAAGACAAGCAGTGAAGGGGACTCGGAAAGAAAGACAAAGGAAACATTTTTAGATGGAGGAAAGATGATGAGTTTAGAGATGTTGATGGTGTAAGATAAAAGGCGATAATGGGAGGTTATAGAACGAACAGATGCATCTAAAAAACAAAGGACGTGTTAATGGTTATAGAAGAGGGGGAGGGGGGGTGGGGAAGAGGCAAGGTTGAGAGAAGATGGGAGCTGTGATTAGGGTCTGAAGCAGTAATTAAACAAGGATTTCTTATGCATTTCAATATGGTAGCAGGTTCTGCTTTACTCCTTCCAAAAGAAAATCTTACCCAATGGTGTTTGCAAAANTTTTTGGTTCAGTGGTGTTCACAAAAGATATGATTGAGGAACATATCGTACACTGCTATCTAAAAAGAACTCATCAGTAAAGATGCATGGAAAACAGAACCTTGCAGTGTGGATCAGGATATTGGAACAAAATCCAAACACCCATTAAAGTTTATCTCAACATTAAGGTGCAAAGGCACAAAAGTAAATCCACNAAAAAAAACTGATGTTGGTTATTCAGATCATGCAGGTTTCATTTCTAGACAAGTGAGCTAAGATTTGAGCAGTAATGTGCAAACTCTCTTGATAATTATGTGGCTGTAGCCAGCTCCTGAGGACAGTCTTTCTTAACCTTTCTTAAAAGGTTAAAAAGTATCCCTTCTACGGTTTGACAAAACAGATCTCTTGTTCCGAGCCTAATTAAATATATTAGCAATATTGAAAGTAACTTAGGAGGTGAAATGTTCCCACCTCTTCCTTTCCACAACCATTAAGAACATATCAAATTCTAGTACCCTTGCATGAATCCTAAAATGATCGAGTGGAGTTCAGACTTTTTGGGCTGAAGGCCACCAAAAATAAAGGATCAGACATCACCCCATGGACACGATTATTTTCAGTTTTTTTTTATTTTAAACTAGAATGACCTTTGGCAGCCAGTCTTTAACGTAATGTAAGGTGACAAGGGGTGTGGGGGGGGGGGGGGGGGGGGGGGTGGTGGAGAGACAGGGAGAGAGGAGAGAGACACACACAAAATAATAAGCTATGTACTTTCAGCTGGTTAAACTCCAGCAGTACCCCAGTGGCTATAATATAGTACACAAGTCTTGCCTCTTGTCTGTTTTTGTCAGTCAGTATGGTTGTGTTTCTGGACTTCAATGTAGAATTGAAGTGGATGCATCTATCTTCTATCACTATACAGGATGACATGCTGAGAGAGAGCAGTAAATACACTGCATCACAATATCACCTACGCTTGGTGAACAAACAAAATACAGGGGCTGGGATTTTTCACTGAACAGTCAGTATTGGTTGACAACAGGAAAAGCTGATTCATGATTTACATAGAATTTGCACCTAGAGATGAATGACGTCCTTGCCTGAGGTTTTGATAAACTAATGCAAATTTTCTGAATTTCTAAATGGTGCAAGTCATAATTCCTCTTCACCTGAAATGCAGACACAAAAAAGACATCAGTTCAATTGAAATCAAATACTGTACTGCAGTATTTCTGAACCATCGTGGAGCCCAGTCTGGAAATAAAAACTCTGCAGTGAATTGATAACCCAAACTCCCAACAATTAACCAATGGCAATTGTAGACATTTGTTACAGTTGTAGGCATTGGACATGTTTTCAAATGAATGAATAATGGAGCAAAGGTAAATTCTTTCTTCAGCTGATTGTTTTTGATTGGAAAACAAATGAAAGATCTAATTACAGTGAAAACGCACTACTAATATGGAGAATAATAAGTTATACAGCTACCAAATGGTTCAAATCATCTGATAACCATAGCAAAAAAAGTTATTGGGCAGTACGAGCATCACAAAAAGGTATCAATTTGCTAAGGACATTATTGCTGTGCGTTTGTAGAGTATGATTGTGCAATTGATAAATTTGACATGACTTGCACCATAATGATTATATCTATGTAGGACTGCAACAATTTTTTTTTCTAATTTCAATGTCAATCTAATGGAAAAATAAATCTCAAGCATCTACACCTACTACTTTAATGCAGTAGTCAGATCATTGTCTCATACGTATTACCAAGACATAAACGTCTGCATCAGAATCATTAATCCTTCAATGAGGACATTATGCTTCAAAATGTAGTCTATTTGGTGCAGAGATAACCATTGCAACCAGCAAAATCCAGATGGAAGGAGGAAATTGGTATAGTGCAATGTGCCAATGGAAAGAATAGTTCATACTACCACTCTCCTTTCACATGAAAATATTACAGCAAAATTTCATCTATTTATTCAAAGATGCCCAGAGCTGTGCAACTTAGCTGGCAGGTACTTCAGCTGGGCACTATTCATATAGCAATCATTCAATACACCCAGCTTTATTAAACAGACATTTACTTATACTGCATATGGTAAACACAATGCATTTCTGATTATTTTGTAAAATCTTTTGTGAAATTAATCTAAAGCAGAAAAGTTCACTGAGCTAAGATTCAAGTAACACAGAAGACCATGAAATCTTTTGCAAAGACAGAAAATGTCAAAATAGCCTCCGTTCTGTTGGCCAAGCACAGAGGGTTTAGAATATATGTCAAACGGTTCATTATCTTTTAGCCATTTCTGAGAGCATCAGTAATTGAAACAACTGCTCAGCAGACTCACAAGATAATTAAGGTGGAATGCAGATCTGTTTGAAACAAACATTTTCAAAATACAGACAATCCACTTTCTCAATGAAGCACTTTGAGTCATCTGAACAATGTGATAAGGCACTACATCAAAAGCAAAGATTATTATTATAAAATTAAATGTATCAAATAATATACAAAAGATCACACAAATGTTCTCAATGATTCTTTCTGTGTATTAAAACTGTCAGCAGACTCCTAAGTTTCCACAGAGATTGTACTTCAATGAAATCCAGATGCAACTATCAGTTGGCAGATGAACAAACTGGAACATCTTCAAACTATCCTATATTCATTTGCTTGCTGAAATAAATGATGGAAAATCTTCCAACAATTTTTTTTCATATCTCTTTCAGATGTCAAGTCATTTCACAGAGACTGCGTTTTTATTTCATAGTTGCAATAAAACAAAAAAAACACATAGCACAATTTAAAACTTCTAGCTGCCTTAGCTACTTTTTCCACTTCAATAAAAAATTGCCATCACCAAAGCAGCAATAAACAACAAACTTGCATTGATATGGTATGAGCAGATCTGAGAGATAGGGAGGTGTCAGGGAATGAAAAGACTTGAAAGTGAGAGCAAGGATCTTGACATTCATCTGTTCTGCATCAGGGAGCCAGTGGCAAGAGCCTGGCAAGACCTGGGGTGATGAGGCGGTAGACCTGGCACAAATGAGGACATGGGCGTTGACACTAGTCATCAGTGTCATCACATCGTGCAGTGATCGACATGTTCCTCCAACCTAAGTGAAAGATATCCCCACAAAGGATATTTTTATTGGAAATTCCTTCCAAACCCATTTGAATTCCTAATTGCAGGTCATTTTTTAAAATGATTCTTAATTGTTGCAAATTGTACTATCTTTGCACCTTACACCATTAACTGCCAAAGGATTTGCTGCTTCCATTGAAAGATCGGTTTTGAATGATTTTGTGAATAGACAGAAAATGTAATCGACAGCTGGAGTGAGATAAAGGAAGGGTGGTTGAAACCAGGACTCTGGACATGTCTAAGAAACAGCTTAATCCTATAAGAAGAAGATGGAAAGTTAGGATTCCCTGAAAGACTGTGATCAAATAGGTCAGAAGGTCTTCTTTACCAGCCTCTCTTGTGATTATGAGATCTTTAGTAACATCTAATCACACTTAAGTTTTTCCCCTTTAACCCAGACAAATCAAAATGTCCCTTCCTGGTGCCATGGCTGAGATTAGCTGATTCAGCACAAACCAGAAGTTAAATTTAGAAACATCCGTGTTGGTACGGCTTAGTTTTATACAGCATTAACAATTGAGGCTTTGGTCAAGCCAGGAAGATGTGATACATACTGCTGTAAATTTGATCTGTAAAATGTATCTTGCATGTTTGTAAGCTAGTACGTACAGGTAATTAACTGCAGTTAACTTAAGATGTAATGACATCACTATGGCAGCTAGTGAGGTGTACCAAGTGGCAAATGGGAGTTTTGAGTCTCCCATTGCAAGAGAAAATGGAGGTCACCACAAAAGAGGTGGATTTACAGGTCTCCTCATAAATATGGTTGAATACCAGTGGATATATGCACTGGAATATACAGTTGGAAAATCTCAAAGGAGATAAAACATTGAGCAATCCTCAAGAGATGCATCACAATACATTGAACATGAAACAAATGTCCTCAATACTGTACATAACTGATGTAAATACAGCTGTTGGACACAGAATCAAAAGTTGAAATGTGGATTTTTATTCTGCAGCGGTTCAGCCAGTCAGTCTTCAGATCAAACAGCTGCAAAATCATTTTCTGGAACTGTCCATTGCTAAGTCTTACTAAGTGCTATTAGATTGCTTCCAGAGACCTAGAATGTTTCTTGGCCACATTTTCTGAACAAACAGAAAATGGAAGTATTTTATATATTTTTTTAAAATGCTGCGATATTCAGCAATAAGCCATCATCTGTAAAAGTCATTTTTGTAGCATTACTGCTCTCTGCTTCGCTGGACGATGGTAGATACTAAAGGGAGCTCGGTGATTTTTTTTGTTGAAAAACGTTCATAGGACAAAACATTGCACGTTTGGGAGAATACACATCTTTGATCGTCTTGCATTGGTTTACTGAATGCAGTTTGTGAAAAGTTTTCCTTTTCTGTGTCATTTGGTGAGCTAAGTAAATATCCCACAGAATGAAGTCAAAACAGCTAGATTACAACAAAGGAGAGAGACACACACACACAAACACACACGCTCACTCACTGAACCACTCAGTTGGATTCTTATGTAAGTAAAGACATATATGTTGCTGTCGACCTAACAGCAGAGCAATTAACAAGCCAAATGGCCTACACTTGTTCCTATGCTCCTAAGACCTTGGGGGAGGGGGGGGGGAGTGGGACCTGGAGAGATACGAAGATCGGAATAGTGAACTACATTATTAATATTTTAATTTTAGTTGAAAACCTCTAAAGAAATGTTAAGATTATAGTCACACTATCTAACCCAGGAAGTTTTACTGGAATTTTACCAGAGAATTTACATGTAATTTTTCCTTGGTGATTTGAGTCTTGCTTCTCTCCTCCATCGCCCTCCCCTAAATCCTCCAACTCTACAATTGGAGAATTCATCTTCAATTGTTCTGATGTTTTTTTTTTAAAAAAGTTTAAATCTTCGTTCTCAATTCCTTGTTTTACATTAACTACAATGACCACTTTTGGTTTATACTTTCTGCTCTGTGCTTTTTAGGAAATGCTAAGTAAACAGGGTGAAAAGGGGGTGAAGAACTAACAAAGCAGCTGCACAATAGTTTTATTTACATTCCATCTTACCCCATTAACATGGTAAAGAATCTAGCCAGGTCAAAAATATCTTATTAAACCATCAACTGTCAAAACATAACACAGCACAACAGGCACTGCAGATCGAGGACTTCTGTTTTACCTGATAATATATGCGCGAGCAGCGATTGCGGGCGGGTTGGGGTGGGGAGGGGGAAAGGGCGAAGACGAGAACGAGAAAGTCAATACTTCAAACACAATTAGCACAAAAGTAACTTTTGAACAAACAAATTAGAATTCAATGAAAAACTTTCTTTTTAAAAAAAAGGAATTATTTGGTGTCTGAAAGTTTGCTTTATTCCTGGATGAAGCAGTGGATAAGATTAAACTGAATTCTATTGTCAAAACTGCAATTCCAATGGAAGTTCAACATTTCAAAATCCTGCCATATTATAACCTTTGGAATTGTAGTCAGCAGCTGAAATGTATTTACTTTTAGCACAGCATCATATTGGGAAGAAACTATTAGAAATCGGTTGCTTGTAACTTGCTATTAATGTATGCTAAAATAATAATTCTTACATTTAATATAGTGCCTATAAGCCTATAATATAGAAATGTCTCAAAGTGCTTCACAGAGGATTACTGTGCTGTCAAGGGCAGTGACTGTACATGAGGCAAACAGCGCACTGTCTGTAAAGTGAGCATAGCGGACTTAAATTTAGAATTGGTCACGTCAGGTGCGTGAAACCATTTGCAGAACACAGGTGCAAGTGGCCACAGGTGCAATTGAGTAATATTTCTCATAATTATAAAAAAAACAGAATTAAATCCCCCTTCTATAATTGACAGGTTGAAGAAACTACTCAAGTGTAACAAGCCCTCAAAATATTAAATCCAACAGTTCCTCAAGCTAAGTAACCTTGATGTCTCCTCGTGTTGAAAATAGAGATTAATGGATACCCAACAATGTGTTACAAAGTTGTAATCTAACCAAGGAGGCTCAGATTACATCATAAACCACGACAGCAAAACTGAAGCAATTTATAAGCGTCTCTGAATGTCAAGATGACAGTCTTGAAATCCTTCAAATATTTTTCATGAAACGTTATATTATCGTGTGATGTTTGTGTGAAAACTGTTGCATTGATTTTTGAGGTGCCAGTAGTTCTATACTGCGATTGTTCCCACAGTAGATTCTTGACTTCAACACGATTGCTTCCAAGTTTCGTTAAGAAATCATGTACACTCGATTACCAGGAAATTCTAGGTCTGGTTTATATTTACAAAAGCGTTCTCTGGCTTATCTGCTTTTGTGCATCATATTGGCCTGACATGACGATCCTGAAATGTAAAATGCCATGAGAATCTCCAAAGCTTTTCATTCCAAACATAGGCTCAAGTCCATATTTGCTTTGGCTGCAACTGATCTCTGCCATCTGGTGGTGAAATGCACTTCAGGCGGTCACAAGCAATTGGTTTATGACTCGACCACCTGCCCCACTTGACTGTTACAGTACACCACAAACAAGGTTTCCGACAGCTGGGTGGACAATGCAACTAATTCTGGGAATTTAAAGTCCGGAGCAAGATCTCATTCTGGAATTTCATTTTGCTACCTATTATTGTTATATTAACTCATAAATCTTTGCCCGGCATACTGACTGAAAAGACACTAAAATTATTGCAAAATATTTTGCAGCTTCACAATGTTCTCAATTTATAAAATGCCAAGTCGTTCCATTAGAAACTCAATCAGCATCAGCAGCTGTCAAGGAGTATGAAGAACTGCATTATGGAGGAAATACTTCTTAAAACTCAAGTAAGGGTTTGCCAGTCTCTATAGCTATTGTTCCATTCTGGTGTGGAAAAAAACAATATGTTTCCGTTACTAACACGGTATCAGCTATTGATTACAGTACTAATCTTTCATAACTGTCAAAATGGAACAATTAACATGTAATGGCTTCATTCTATAATGAGGGAACTTCTGTATGCTGATGATCTTTAGAGTTCAACAGGCATCTCATACACACACACACACAATTCTCCATTTAAACACATTCCTAAATAAATGTATCACGATTGCCACTACTAAGTTTGCAAGCAAGGATGATAAACTAATTTTATAATCAGCTGTGTAACTATTAAGTCCATCAAGTCTTGTGAGACCAGCTTTTATCAAAAATGACTGTTTTTCTCTCATTTCCTCTTGCACTTGAGATTCAGTGCAGCACATATTGCAACCTTTGTGGAGTTACCTTTTGAACTGATCGTGGTAAAATTCAGACTTGCAGGTCACCATTTCACTGCTCTCTACAGTGTCTCCATCTCGACTGCGGACCCCACCAAAAACATACAGCTCCAAGCCAACTCCACAAGCCACTGCACCAAACCTGTTCACCAAACAAACTTTAAGAATTAGGACCTTTTTCTCTTTAATTTAGCTTTCACAAAAACTATCTATAAAATGTAAACATGATTATCTCACCATAAATTAGGTTTTCTGCAGCCCGCTAAGTGCTGTTTATATTTTTTGGGTCAGCCAGATTTCAGCACACATGTTTAACCAAACCAGACTGAGAATTCCACAGGACATCGAAATTTCCCTTTATCTGGAATGGAGTGTGTACCTAATCCCAGAACATATTAGGCGCAGGTTGGAATGAGCCAAAACTTGGGATCTCAAAAAATGTGCGTTGGGACATTGTTGGTGTTTAACCAAATACAATTGTGAGCACTGTCTGCAACTGCTTCCCCTGCTTGTCCAGCTAGGAGTACCCTACCCATTGGTGTTTTGGCATTTGGAGTTAACAGAAGCCAAGCGAGAAGAATCCCTACCCCCTAAGTAACTGGTCTGCCTTTCCATCTCCTGCCGATAAGCAAGATTGGCTGGTCTATCATCAACGGTGCCTTGGATCTGCCTGGCTCAGGAACTGGCACATAGGATTCCATTGCTAGGCAACTTGTAGTTCCCCAAGGAGATCCATGACCCAACTGTGCAGCGCCTTGGGACGTCCTCCTGACGTGAAAGGCGCTTTATAAATGGAATCTTGTTGTTGTTGTTGTTGTTTACCTCCACCCCTCCTCTCTCACAGAGGGATGGTCACTTGGTACAAATTCCCTTAAAATTATATAAAGAAAACTTATATTCAGGCAGCTAAATGGCTGAAATACCACAATATACTGACCTCTTCTCTTTCAATGGGCAGATTGCAGTCCACTGCTGGGTCTTGGGATCATAAGATTCAACAGACTCAAATAATTTTCCATATGAACCACCACCCATTGCGAAAATCTTTTTCTTCATAGCTGCATAGCAGCCAATCTGTAAAACAACTTCAATCTTTAACATAAAGCAATTAAAAATTGTAAAATACATCAATTTTACTAATGAGCATGTAAAATGACAATAGATGAAAAAAGTCTGGGAACCTATCTTCCAACATCTGACAAAATATTCAGTGAACAGCATAAAAGGTTCCATACAGGGAATCAGTTAAAGTTCAGCAATGTGAATAATGTAAGACGCACAAAAGATTTCTTCATAGTCAGAAACAGTCAGAACATTAAATTCTTTAACAATTGAAAAACTGCTGCCTGAATTATGGAGATGAATCAAGGAAATACAGCAACATAAAATAATGTATAGCATCTTTCACATAGGGTAAATGTTAAAGTGGTTCACCAAGACTATGGAGATCCCCGAGTAAGGAGAACAGAAGAGAAAATGAAGGGTGTTGACCAAAGACACAGCCAAAGAGATACATTTACAAAAAGGCTTTTGAAGACGGAATGGGCAGGTGCAATGGAAAGGGATTGAGGGAGAGAGTTCCAGAGAGCCGGGAATCCAAGAACTAAAGATTGCTCAAACAAGTAGAGGTTGTGAATTTTCTCTCCCTTTTCATTCTCCAGGGCATTGCTATCGATAAATTCAATACCCTGCATATTTCTGCATGAAGAAATGTAACAATCACCTTTCGAATCATTGTCATATTGGGTTGCTTTGTCCAGGTTTTAGTATGAATATCGTAGGCCTCCATGGAGAGCAGTTCTTTTTCACCATCTTCACCTCCCAGAACATAAAGAACTCCATCGATTGCCACAATTCCAAAATTGTGTCTTGCCTGAAAATGGTTTTGTCATATCATTATGTTTCAACTGTGAGTATCCAATTCAACCAAACAATATGTCCAGCTATTTAATTGATATGGATCAAATAAGATTTTTAATTAAGATCAGTATGATAGATAATGAACAGAAGCTTTAACAGCCCTTTGCACATGTGCCCCTGTCCCTGAAGTAAAATGGACTTATTGAAACGCCAAGCTAGTATATTAAAAATGATGTTCAGAGCAGATGCTTACCGTATTCATTGTAGGAATGGGACTCCAGCAGTTAGTGTCTGAGTCATACTTTTCTCCTGAACTCAAAGACACTTTCTCTGAATCCTGTCCACCCAATACAAAAAGGAACCCCTCTACAGGGAGAGGGAAAAAAAGGGGGAAAATAATTTTTTATTTAGAATTGGTTTGAAACAGCACTTCCATAACATTTCCCTTCACACTATAATGCTCTTCACAGAAATCCCCAATACTCTTCCTTGAGCCACCTGCAAGTAGATACACTTGGGGTGAAAAATAATCTACTCTTAATCCCATCCCCTTCTTCTTAAATACATTGATGTTTTTTGCTCAACCAGTTTCTGGCAGTGAATTCCACCTATGTCCAATTCAATCTTGCTATCTTCCTAAAACAGTCATGTAGGCAACCGAAAATGTAAGAAAAGGAAAGTATCACACAGTAAAGTAAAAAGCTTTTTCAGGTACACAAGGACAGCAATCAGTGACTCTTGTATTAGAATTGATGCAAAATGCGTGAGTGAAAGAACAACTCTCTACATTAAGTATCTATGTCACAGATGACCAGAATGAAACACTATTCATTGCATCAAATTTAGCAATTACCCACCTGCTGCCACTAATCCATGATTAATTCGAGCAACACTCATCGGGGCCAAATCTATCCAAAGTTGTCGGTTACGGTCATATAATGGACACATGCATCGCATCACAGCTGTGGGTTTCCGTGAGCTGAAGAAAAATCAAACATTGCTTAACTTACATTGATAACACCATTCCGAAGCAATTCTGATGCTTCAATGGATTAAAAAAAGTCATTTCACCCACAAAATATACAGTCAATTCACTTTAGAGTATATCCTTGAAGTGTTTTGAGATGTCTCGAAGACGTGATAAGGTGCTATATCAAATGCAAGGATTATTATTATTATGTGTACTTTTAATTGTTTTTTGGCCCCCCAATACAATAGAGATAGTGAGAAAATCATTTGCTCCAGGCTTTTCTAGCCTTGCTGTTCTGTGTGTGATCACTATCATGTCTGCTGGAAGAGCCCACTTTGCTTACTTCATCCAATCATCTTCTTACAATATTGAGGAAATATAAAATAGACAGAAACAGAAAGCTATGCCCTACTACAGGGCAACACCATTATTTAGCACCTTGCTGGAGTGCAGGTTCGCTTTTAGCATAAATGCCCTGCAAACCCTCTGTGGTGTGTTTCTGACATGGACCATCCATTCTCATTCTAAGCAATATCCAATTTTCGAGTCGTCGGCTCACCAACGGCACTTCCCAAGAGCTAAACTCAGGAAATAAATATTACTTCCTACACACTGTGTATAAGGAAAGAAATCACCGCTGACATCTCACTTTGTGAAGGAAGGCAAGTCAGTGACGCACAGAAAGTAACATCAGCAGCATTATCGTGACCTGATGACCTGGAATTCAGCTTTCTGTCCACTCTATTCTAACACAGCCACTGAGACAATGAACACAGACAACCACGGTACAATGTGGTTGTCCTGTATTTTGTGATACAATGCAATGCTCCATGCCACAAGGCTGGAATTGCATTACTTATGCTCACTGCCTTTTGCAAATTTCAATATTTTATTTTAAGTAATTCTTAGTAAAGGCAGAAGATATAATAAAGATACTGACATGTCAAATTGTCTGGGCAATTTGACGTTCATCTAACAAGCATGAATCATTCTAAATAGATGAGATGTGCATGTTTAAGCCTGTGATGCTGGACTCACCTTCTTTCCTCTCCACCCACAGTCACTATACACTCTGAATAGCCTCTCGGTTTGAAGGTGGCTAGCTGGGCCTCGCCTTCTCTCTGACTAAGAGGAATATTGCTGCATTCTTTGACAATTTCTCGCACCAACGGCTCATTCAGCATCCGCTCTCTCAGATAACTTGGTTCCAGGCCATTTACCCAAACCACAGACATTACATCTTTCATGTGAACCTAGAGTAACAAATGAAGAAAATGTTTATCTTTAACATGTCATGTCCTGTTGGTTTTTGTTTTCCAAAAGCCACTCATTTTCAGATCATGTTCCTGTAGAAATGCTATTGCAATAATAGGCTGCCAACTAACGCATGAAACTGTAAGCAGAAACTTTAAAGTGAAACATTTGCTGACTGTTGTACATGATAATCCTGTGCTGTAACACATTACGTGGGAGCTCTCACCAAAAAGCACTTTATAAGAGAAAAATAGAACTTTTCACCTGCTGTCTGTCTGTTGGGCAATGATGTGCCTAAATTGGCTGCCATGTTTGCCTAGACAAATACACAGTCACTATATTTAACAATATTTACTGTGAAGTGCTTTGTGATGTTTCATTGAGAAACTACTATTTCAAGTGCAAGGGTTATTGTATAAAATTATAGCATCATGTTGATCCACACTGTTCTCACACCTCCTAGTGGCCTATTCAATATCAGCCGATCAGATAGCCAAACAGCATTTAGTCAAGCTGCTAAGCCCAGCTATTATGGGTTCAAATTCTCTATCAATAAGATGAGAATATTCCCCGTAGGAACAGCCCCATAAAAGCCAGGCAGCTTCATAGTTATCAAATGCATGGTGGATTGCTGACCAGCCTAACAGGCTGATCAATGCGCTTTTGAGTTGTAAACACATCCGAACCCTTAAGAACCAACGCCAAAAATAGCAGAAGACGTCATCCACATTTATTTGCCAAACAAATAAATGAAGGCATAGAGGCCTAAACCCTATCCAGCCATTTCTCTCTTCAATACAACAAACATATAACAGATGTAAATATATAATGGACGCAATGCATTCCCTGATAAAATTACAATAATGCTGGTACGATTGAATAATGAAGCTTACCCAAGAGAATTAATATCTAAGACGTAGAGAACAAAAAACAGCAATTTGCAGCCCTCAAACCAAATAATGTATAAAACTAAACACCCCTTTTACACATTACAAGTATAGATTCAGTAAACAAATCATGGAAATTCAATAACTCTCTTTGACTTTGCTGTCATTGTTCAATTGCGCAATATACAAAAAAAATCTGAATGTTAGATTAATATTTTGCTCAGCCAAGATAAAAAGCTAACAAAACTTCCTTTGAAAATATTTGTCCGTTAGATGCCAATGCATTGTTTTGTTGAATGAGCACTCAAGAAACCAATACAATTTATTAAGCAAATAGTCTCATCACAAAGCAACAAACTGTAGCATCTTTGTACCTTTCGAACTGCCTCGTCATAGCAAATCCATTTCACCACTGCTTCAAAGATGTACCTTTCATTGCCCACATTCAACTTTTCCAATGCGATAATTTCTTTCACTTTTTCGTGGCTTAGCTCCGTAAACTCGTCGGTATGGGAGACATCACGGAAGTGTGTCTCCAAATACTCCGTAGCTACGTAGTGCACATGCTGCAAGGAATAGTGCAAGGCAAAGTCACGTATGCCGATACAGTTCTCGGGCGCAATGCAGCCTTCTAGGAACTCACAGCAGAGGGCTTTCAAGTCAGTGAGCAGGAGGAGATCTGCAGCTTGTACAATATCCTGAATAGTATCTTCACTTAGCTTAATCTGGAAAAGGAAAAGGATTGTTTACAATACAAGCAATCTCAAGAATCAACTCCAATGCCATTTGGTCTTAGCACTTCTGATCAGTGACTCATCAAAAGTGAACTACATTTTCCTTTGTTGGTCTAATATATAAAAATATAGCTCAGTTGAAATGCTGTAATTGGCCTCTACAAACTTAGACTATGGAATAGGAAATCTATGAAGCATTTTGCTTGTGATGGCCATCCCGTGAGTCCTACTGTAAAGTGTGGATGTGAATGTCAGGCACAGTCAGTATTGGTGCTTCGAAAGGATGACGAGCCCACTGACACTCACTGTCATACATGAGAAATATAAATTTACATTTATAGTAATGCCTTTCACACTGGGAGGACATTCCAAAGTGCTTATCAGAACTGGCTGGTACCCAAGGTATTGGGGAGGGAAGAGATGACAGAAAGCATAATCAAAGCCACTTCGACAAGCTATTGGAAGGTGGACAGCACCACTTGGAACTATACAAACCATTGTGTCTGGAAAGATCGGGAGAAAATTGTCACAAACGATGTTTCATCAGAATTAAATAAGATTAGCATAAAAGAAACAAATGCTCCTTACCTGACCAGTAAACATATAATCCAATAATTCCTGCATAACAGCAAAAGAAATCCCATCCAGGACAATTTTGTATACTGAACCATCGTCAGTCGGAGGGGTGTAATTCAATTTAGTTCTGAAATACAAACATCATAGCGTAATAAATATTTCATATTTAACTTTAATTTGTTCTCATAATACAATATCAATATATTAAATTATTGCATCTTGTAGTGAGATACCGTAGTAAATAAATAAACACAGGAAGCACAGTTTCCAACAAGTTTCAAATTAAAAAAATTCCCTTTTAACTAGATTTATCTCAATGCAATTTTAAATTTACATCCTTGTACCTGCACTTACTACCAACAACAGTAATAAAGTGAATTACCAATAATTGGTGTTGGAAAATTAGTTTTTTTTTCAGGCAAAAGGCCTTTGTCTTTTGCAAGAAGTCTTTCAACTTTCTCCCAATGGATCTACTGCAATTCACAAGTGAAGACTATGAGAAAGCTGATAGACCAGACATTAACAAGAACATACATGGCCCCGAGGGTGTAACCTTGAAAAATGAGCTTATAATTAATTATATAGTAAACGGAATAATAATCCCAACTCATGACCTACACTCAATTTCCCATGGCATTATTTCAAAATGTGATGTTCTGGCCAATAATTCCTTGGTTAAAACAAATAAGCATTTACTTCACTATCATTTGTGAGACATTGCTAGTGCAAATCGACTTCCAATACATATTCACTATTTTACAGGGAACTGTGAACTGCATTGAGATGCTTCAATAATGTAAGTAAACATATCAAATTGAAAGTATATATTATGAAAAAAAGTACTAGTATCACTAATAGGTGTCCAGTTAGGAACCCACTTTGGTGTTCAGGGTTTAAAAAAGTGAAATTAAAATATAGCAGTAGTGCTTCACTAATTTCATATTTAGCGATTTCTAACATTTAATAGTCTGAATTCTAAACCAAGCCATTCAAAACTTGGAAACTACTTGTTCCACGAACTTGTGTTTTTAAAAGTTAACACCCTCTCTAGAACACGAAGATTAATCGGTGTCAAATTTATTTTGGATCAGCAATGTGAGATCACAGAGTGCTGCGTCTGCAGTAATGAATCATAACCACTTTCAGCGAATAATAACCACATGAGACAAATTACAGTGCCATTACTATCCACCCATGGGTGTAAGCAGCTAGATGACTCAGGAAATTCAATTTCACTCAGATCACACCCATTGTATGAAACATTGCAGCTCTACTTCTATTAAAACTGCATGAATGGTGCTGTATAAATGTTGCTTTTTGGTATTGTTAAAAACAAAACTGCCTTAAAAAGTAAGTGTTGCACTTTCCAAGGGGATCGTTCGCAAAACGATGAAGAATCAAACTAGTGAAACCTTCAGGCTGAATTCCTGTATAAATATCACGCTTCGCTAACAGATGCTACACATTCACGCCCCTTACAAATATTCTGATAGCGCCCTTCATAATATGTAAAGGATTCTGTACTTGTTCGTTTGGAAATTTGACAGCACACACAAAACATAGTACTTTATTCATTCCAATGTGCTTTGGCACTGCGAGTATCGAAAACATTTCAGGGGCCCCCAACGAGCAGAAAAATCATACACAGATAATAAAATAAAAGTGCAATGATAACACTGCCGATAATACTGCATTGTCAGAGATGCCGCCCCCCCCCACCTTCGGATGAGACGTTAAAATGAGGCGAGGTCCCGTCTGCCAGTTCAGGTGGACGTTAACGATTCCCAAACGCCGAGTTTCTCCCTGTGGCCCCAAACAATCCCCCGAATAAAACTGGGCGCTCCTCTCGCGGCCGTCCGTCGGCTGCGGCCGTGCGCGAACCGTGCTGATCGGATCTCGCGTGTCACCCCCCCCAAGCGCACGGTCACTCCGCTTCCCGCAGTAGTCCGCGGCGAAGCGCTTCTGAGGCGTCTCGAGGCCGCGACAAGGCGGCGGGCGCTCGGGGGCTGAACCTTAAGCCTCAGAGGGCTTCGCACAATGTGCTGTGAGGTGGAGTGACTGTGTATTTCGTGGGAGAGGTAACCCAGAGCCTGACCTCGGGGTGGGTTGGGGGTGGGGGGGAGGTACCCTATGGCGAGGCCATGGGGGCAGGGGGTGGGGTGAGGGGAGGAGGGGTGAGGTGGGGGCTCGGGAGAGAGCGATAGAGAGAGAGAGAGAGACAGACAGAGGGCGACAGGGCCCCGGGAGCGGCTGCCGAGCACCGACCTGACGTAGGGGCTGACGGCCGCCAGCAGGTTCTTCTGGACGGGGATCTCCTCGCCGCCCACCACCAGCACAGCGTCGCAGTAGAGCGGGTCCAGGCGGAAGGAGCGCAGGCTGAGCAGCAGCTTGTTGGCGTGTTGGGGGTCGCCCACCATCGACACCGAGCCCGAGCCCGGGCCGCCCGGCTCCGCCGTCATCTTGTCCCCGAGTCATCACCTAGCGACCGCGCCGCTCTACGGCGGCCCGACCCGGCCCGGCCCAGCCCGGCCCGCAACTCGAAACGCGTTTGCATCACCTGCTGCAGTGACCGGACAGGGCTCATCGTTTGTCTGCACCTCTTCACCATCCATCCACACACCCACACACCCCTCCCTCACCCACCCACCAACCAACCCACCAACCCCTCCCTCACCCACCAACCCCTCCCTCACCCACCCACCAACCAACCCACCAACCCCTCCTCACCCACCAACCCCTCCCTCACCCACCACCAACCAACCCACCAACCCCTCCCTCACCCACCCACCCACCCCTCCCTCACCCACCCACCCACCCCTCCCTCACCCCACCCACCCACCCCTCCCTCACCCACCCACCCACCCACCAACCCCTCCCTCACCCCACCAACCCCTCCCTCACCCACCAACCCCTCCCTCACCCACCAACCCAATTCCACCCAATGCGATCCCAATCCCGAAACGATACCTGACCCCCACCCAAAAAAAAAAGAAAAGGTTTCCGTTCAAATTTTCGAGACCGGGGGTGGATGGAGTCGGGTTAGTTCAGGGTGCCGTGCGGTACGGGGCGAAGGCGGGCGATTTGATTTGAGGTACGGACCGGTCGTGGTCTCACGGGATGGCAGAACGGGCTCAAGTGGAGTCCTGTAGCTCAGTGGTTAGAGCACTCGCTTTGCAAGTGAGAGACCTGAGTTCAATTCCAGGCAGAGGGCGAAACCTTGGGCAAGTTTCCTTACTCCACACAGAGCCTAATAATACTCCCTCCAAAACCAAAAACAATAATAAATTGGTCATCTTCAATCTACGACCGTTTGTGGGACATTGCTGTGCGCAATTGGCTGCTGCGTTCGCCCACAAATATACAGTCAATTCACTTTACACTGTGTTCTGTGAAGCGCTTTGGGACGTCCTCCCGACGTGAAAAGCGCTATATCAAATGCAAGGATTATAATTATTATTATTATTATTATCAAGGGGGCCGAACGGCCTCCCCCCTGCCCCCCGACGGGATCGCCTTCACTTCCCCGCCGCCAACTCAATCCCATTCGCCATTCCACGTCGTCACCAACACCCCGTCCCAATTCTACCCCACCGGCCAATCCAATCCCGTCATCATCCAATCCCACGCAATCCAAACTAACCCTATCTCATTCCATCACCATCCAATCCAAACCTAAGCCCACCCTATTACCCAATCTGAACATTAAAGTAACATCGGGTATTGATTTGAACCTACTGTGAATCTCCAGCACTTTTTCTGCTGTTAGCTCTCTTGCCAGTGGATCAAAGTTAATCATCTTTCCATTATGTAAAGTGCTTACAACATCCACAAATATCACAGCCTTTGAGTCATTTTTGACCCAACAGGGCACCACAAATAGCCATGAAGTGGATGACAAATTTATCTGGGGAATTGTCCAAGACACCAGGAGAAACTCCCTTCTCTTTTTGAGCTGGTCCTGGTATATTTAGTATCCCCCTTAGCAGGCCAATTGGATTTATCTTGTCTGAAGTAAACCTGAATAGTTACATTACAATCATCTAATTCTTTAGATTGTTATCATCCAACTGCTTCCCATGCACTGGTTGTTGAACTAGTTTGTCTTGACAAACAAAATAGAGACTAGAACGTCTCAGGAGATTCCCAATATGGATTGAAAGGGAATTAATACATGGAAGTAATTGAAGGTTATAATCTTTTCAGGGTTCAACAAATGGCTATATAATGCTTATAATCTGCTTTATTATGCAATTTAACTCACCCAGTAATATTTGCTGGTAATATTTTTTCCCTTAGTCAGTACTTATTTTTCAAAAATGTATTCCGATCTCTCCCTCCCCTGCATATACACATCAATCATTATAATAATCCTTGCATCTGACATAGTGCTTTATCACGTCATTGAGATACCTCAAGCGCTTCACAGGATACACTGCAAAGTGGCCAAGACCAATCATTGACCAATGCAATAGAATATCTGATGGTCCCAAGGCAAGGTTGCTCAGCAACTGGTTCCAAAGGCCCATGAAAGGTAATTTGATTCACATTCAAATATTGCTTTCCTTCCTTTGGAGAATTGTCTCCGTTCTGTAACCTAACGTGTCTCCAATAATGTAATCTTAACTTTGCAGAACCTATTGAATGTCCAAGGGTTTCTCGTTTGGCACCTTATATCTTCAAAATAATAAATAGAAAAATGGCCAGATCATGATCCAAATCCGCAAAAGATGACGCATCCCACTCAGCAGAGTTATTTTTATTGCTTGGTAACCACCAACCCAATTGCAAGATCTCCTTGCAAAAAAGCTAACAGCAGAAACATTGCTGGGAGTTTCCAGCAGCGTCAATCAACATCTGAAGTTACTTTAATGCTTGGATTGGGTTTTAACATAGGTTTAGATTATAAATATTTTATAGATTGTGTAAATGGGTACACTTGCCCCACCTGATGGCCATTGCATGCATTGTGCATTAATAAAATTGCTTTAAACGAAACATATAAATGGTTACATTTTTGTGTTGCGTTTGATCCGTTCATAAAGATACAATTTGTATTTGATTTATTTGTGAACAAGCAATTTCACAAGTTAAAATAATCTAAGCGTCCTCTTATTTTTAAACTTCCCATGGATTATCATTTGTCACTTTGTTAACTTTACTTTGAAACAAAAAAGGGATTCCGTAGGCTTTTAAGTGTTCAGCTGCTGTACAGAAATCAAGCGACATCGAGGAGCTTCTATATTAGGCTACAACAGTGGACTGTTTTTCCCGTGTAATGTAAGTGGAACGACAAACACTACAGTTTTGATTTTTCCAGTTAGATCAGTTTTTATTACGAATTAGTCTTTCACTATTAAATTGCAATGTAATCTGTAGAAAAAAAAGCTAAAATCGAGGCCATCTTTAATGTGAACATCATAGTTTTCAATATAGCACAATAGCCTGGAAAACAAAACAAATACTCTGCCACAGTGTTCATAGTCTAAATTACAAGTCTGTCAAAAACAGAGCTCATCACTTTGATATGCATGATGAACTAGGTTGTTTTCAATGTACAAAGTAAAACATTTTATGTTAATTAAAACCTACCATTGACAGGTTAAAGATTAAGGCTAATATAGTTCATCTTTCAATTGCTGATATTCCAAAACAGGGAAGATTGTGTAAATTATAATGTTACTTTAGAAAACTCATCTATTTGCATTATAATGTCTAATTTACCAGAGTCACGTCAAAAGTGCACTCCTCATAAATTACTCTTGCTTCTTAAACCAGGGGTTCTTGGCACACAATCCACCACTAAAGTACACGGAGAAAGCTTTTCTCATTGCTTAGGATAAAGAACGGTTCAGTCCTCGATAGACTTTAAAAACTTCTCATAAGCCTCTTCGGTCATCAGCTCATCGACTTCAGCAGGATTATCCAAAGACATTTTGATAAGCCAACCTGCCAATAGAAAATACTACGTTCAATACAATAGATTTTACTGTAAAGTGACACGCTTTGAGACATTTCAAATTTAAGGGTGCTTCTTTCGCCTTACTCAGTTTAACGCCTCATCTGAAAGCTCGCATTTCCGAAAAGCCAGAGCTCCCCCAGCACTGTAGGGGATTGTCAGCCTAAACCATTTATAATATAATAATCCTTGCATTTGATACAGCGTATTATCACGTCATTGAGACATTTCAAAGCGTTTCACAGAATATGTTGTGAAGGGGATCAACTGTGGATTTTGTGGGCGAAATGCGGCAGCCAATTGCACACAGCAGTGTACAGGAGTATAAAATGAATATGCCTTAAGCAAAAGTACAGATTTCCCCCAGAATAATAAAACTGTATAAAGAATTGACTTTCACATGGAACAGTTCATGCTGACCTGATAATTTTTTTTAAAAAGGCTGAACAAATATCTGGGTCTGAATAAGATTTGAAGTTCTATGGATAGCAATAGACAATGTATTTAAGGGAAAGCTAGATAGGTACATGAGGGAGAAAGGAATAGAAGGTTACGCTTGAAGGCTGTGTTGAGGAAGGGCAGGAGGAGGCTCATGTGGTGCATAAACACCGGCACAGACAAGTTGAGCCGTATGGCCTGTTTCTGTGCCTTATATTCTAATGTATTCTAATGTACAATAGACAGATGATCAAAAGTTTAAAGAACACAGAGTACCATGGAAAAAGTAGTCAAAACATGGAAAGAACAAGCTACTACTTATCAACATGTACATAATAATAATCCTTGCATTTTTGATAATCCTTGCATTTGACACAGCGCCTTATCACATCTTCAAGCTGTATCGAAGCGCTTCACAGAATATACTGTGAAGTTAATTGAATGTACATTTTGTGGGCGAAAAGCGACAGCGGATTGCGCACAGCAGCGTCCCACAAACAATCGTGGATTGAGTGACCATTTTAAAAATATATATTTTTAATATATGGATATTTGTAGAATGGAAAGTAGACTACAAGACGAGAGACAGAGAGCGACACAAATTGTAATATAGTTAAATGGATTCTGTCAGGTAAAGGACTGCACATTTGTTGGAAATCTACAGGTAGCTTAACATAACCCCCTGCGCCTTTGAAAACTCAGTATTCTTTATCACATACCTTCACTATAGCAAGATTTATTGACTAATCCTGGCTGGTCAGCAAGAACCTTGTTTATGTCAGTTACCTCTCCAGTCAGAGGTGAATATAGTTCACTAGCAGCCTTCACGCTTTCCAGAGCACCAAATTCATCTGAGAAAAGAAAAGTACGTCAGTGCACCTAAAAAGATAGAGCCATACAAGTTATTTCAGTGTTTCCATAAACTCTCTCCCTCAATCCCTCTGCCTTGCCCCCTCCTTTCCCATTTGCAGATCACGCCTTAAAACGTTCATCTTTGACCGTGCCTACAGTCACCTCCCTCCGGCTCTGGCTCTGCCACTGTCAAGTGCTCTGAAATACTACCCTGCATGAACGGAGCTACAGAAGTGCAAGTTGTTGTTCATGAAACTTTAACCACAGCATCTGGCAGTGAGTCCCAATTTCTCACCACTCTCCGTGTAAAGATCTTTCTAATCTTACTTTTAGGTCTGTGACTGGCGGCCTTATATTTATGCTCCCTCATTTTGGACACATCACCAACAACTGATCACATCAGTTTTGATTTTAAAAATGTTCTCAAGTAGAGGGGCTTTGCAAAATTAATTTGACACTCACCCAACTGGTTCAGCTTTGTGCCAATTTCAGGCAAACCACAATATACAACGTCGCCTAATGATTCCTGAGGATAGAAAACATAACATTCTCAGTTATGGAGGTGTAACCACTCATCTTGTTTCAAAATACTCTGTGTAGGTGGTTCGGTTGAGTTTAACTTCAGGCTGTTGATGGAAACAGGTTGAACAAACCAATTTTAATCACCATGCTGATAAAGTCAGTGCTTTGTTTGCTCAAACACAATTCATGCTTTCTATTGAGATATCTACATATTTGTTAAAAGGGCCCAAGGCCTCCTTGAACTTGAGCCTCAGTCCTGCTCTATCCTGTCATTTTTGTACAATTCTCAATTGAGTATATTATAGAATTAAAGGCTTACACGGATTAAGGTAACAATAACTTTTAAGAAGAGCAAAATAAATATTTTTCATAGATGGTAACTAGACATATCTGAACAGATGTGCAACATGATTAAGCAGTATCAAAGAGCCCACTGCATTTAAACTAAAAGGTGCAAGTGAAACAAAAATAATCCTTTTTTAGAAAAAAGATAGTGGGAAACCACGCAATATCTTGTTATGACTGTGGCAAAGGCATTCTAACTATAAGGTTTTCCCCATCGGCAGAATAAACTCTATTGGCTGCATATCTTCAAAGGCCTCTACTTTCCTTTCTAAAATGTCCACTTCAACTTAAAACTCTCAACTGCTTTTGTATTTGAAATCAAAAGTGAAGATTTGGGAATAAAGGTCCAAAGCTTTGGCTAACTGCAAACCTTCCCTTGGCTTTCCTTGGAATGACAGTTCAACTCTAAGGGAGACTTTTTCTCTATGTTGGAGGTGTATTTAGAATTTACACAAGTTACTCATTTAATCAACTCTGAAAGGGTGAAGGGCTGTGTGGATTACCAGAACCAGAAAGTTACAACTCGTTCCATATGCAAGCAATTTGCTAAGCTCATAAGAACTTAAAGCAAACTTTGTTCCCTGTAGTAATAAACTGGAGAACCGATAACTGATTAGCAACGAGCTGACACTGCAATAGCATCAAACTGAGCGCTGGGCTAAGTCCAACAACAGCTCGAAAGGGCACATCAAATCAAAGCGATCAGATTTCACATCACTCGGGTTCAAAGGTTCAATCAGTGTGTAAAAAAAAAGTACCTACCTGAGCATAATTACTAATTCCCACTGTCCCGATTCCATTTTCAACTGTTACCCATTCATGTTTGTCTGTAAACTTGCGAGCTGGAATAGTATATATATTTACAAGATCAGCTAATATTGCCCAAAAAGGCTCAGTCAAAAAGTTTGATTTAACACTTTCCGTAATCCATACGGCGTCTTCTAGAAATGTATGTATATAATATGCCGTTTGATCTTTATTGAACCTGTGATTTGCTGAGAAATGGTTTTAGGTTTCAGATATTGTACAGTATCCGAAAAACATCATAAACCAAATTGTGCCATGTTACAGGAAACTAGATAAGCGTCTGGGTTCCCACCGACCTAACTATATAAAAAAAAAGTCCAGTGTCAGAAACTGAGTGGAAAATGTTAAATGCTGTCCACATCAAAATGTTGAGAAGTGATCCTATGTGACAGTCCAGTCCCTGAGCCAGGCAGGTCCACAGCACACCAAATACATGGTTGATGATGGACTGTGGCTTTTAAGTGGGACATGGAGGGACAGACCAGTCAGTGGGGCTGGGGTTCTTCTCACATAGCTGGAGAAGCAGTTGAAATGTTTACAATAGGAAGCTGTGTGTGTGGTTTCAGCAGGTTAACTCTGGCAATACAGTACTCCCAATGCTCGCTCAGGATCCCCATGACTTGATTTGGCTGTCGTCAACTTGCACATAAAACTCCCTCCAGGGACATAAAGAGTGCACACTCTATACCAGACAAATGAAAATCATACGTATGTAGAAGTATGTCTGGTTTGGTTCGGAGAGACTTGTGCGTCAGACACATTCCTGACCCCCAAAGAAAGTTTTGAGGAATCATTACAAGTACACTAAATCAATAAAGTTAAGTTAATTACCAATTCCACTCAGAAATCATGTAGAACAGTGGGAGAAAACTACATCTACATTGTACTCCATCCATTATTCCACTTCAGTTGCATAATAAAAAAAACACCAAGTATTAATACTTAAATCCTTCTTAAAAATCATCTGCAACCTCATTCATGATGTTTGTATACTGCGCTAATACACATTCAGAAGTCCTGAAGGTCATTCTTTGTGTTCTCAAGATAAATCTTCAGAAAAACAGCTTCAACATCTCACACGACCATTATCGCACAACACAACCTGCAATGATTAAATCAAGGTCTCTTATCTGCTAGAACAAGCCAGCAGGGCAAAATCTTGGGCCTGATAATAATCCCTCAAGAAAAAAATAATAAATTGGTCACTCAATCCACGACTGTTTGTGGGACGCTGCTGTGCGCAATTGGCTGCCACGTTTCTCCCTCAAAAATGCAATCAATTCACTTTACAGTATAGTTTGTGAAGCGCTCTGAGACGTCTAGAAGACGTGAAAAGCACTATATCAAATGCAAGGATTATTATTATTATAGAACTCTCTAGGCCACTTTTACCCCATTTGCCACAGCTTCTCCTCTACCAGTCACCTATGCTGTATTTCCATGCATTCCGACAGAGCAATAGGAAGGTTATGAATTGAAAGAGGCTGTTGTGGAGATTGCCAAACACAAGAGCAAATAAAGTGCCACAAGATCTAAAACAGCAAAGCATTCAATCCAAAGACCAAACGTATTTATACGTATATACACTTGTACCAGGAAAAATCTGTTTGACCCTCAACTCACCCGGAGGAGTCTGGAAAGTAACTAACCCTTAACTCACCCAGAGCAGACTGAAGAGTAATTGAGAGCTGGAAACTGCATGACTGTAACGTAATCACAGTGGCAACGTAAAGTGCATTGCCTAGAAATATTATCTGTAGCTGCACTACGTACTGCTACGGAGTGATAAAAACATGTTCATCGCTTCCGCTCCCCATTTCATATAGATTTTGTAGGTTTTCTTTAAATTTAAAATCTAACCTTTGCCCATTTAATTTTAAGTTGACGTGTGTATTGGATTGCCATTCCCATGACATCAGTGCAAAACCATCTTTTTCTTGCAGCAAAACGTGCTGGAACACTGCCTGTTCCTGTTCTTACATAAAGAGAAATGGGGCAAGGATATTGTAACAAAATGTTCGTAACGTTTCAGGTGGGTTTTAACAACAGACTTGGGATCCAAAAGTTCTTAGTTCAAATCCTGGTGGATTCATTCAGCTCTTCACCCTTCTGCGGTTGATAAAATGGTATCTAACAGGAAGCAAATCACTAAGCTGGCAAAGAATTATTCATTTAATGGAAAGGGAAACTGAATATATAGATTCACTCTTACGTTAATAACTAATAGGCACTGAGGACACTTGAAATGATCGCACACCACCAAATAGATTTCAGAATGGCCAAAAACATTAGCCACGGCGGGTTACAATTATTGCTCAGGATACTTTATGCTCCGTTATCTTATTTTAACCGTGATTAAGCATTCAGCTAATCTCAGCAAATTTGTTGGCAGATGCAACAGGTTTAGAAACGAAACTGGGAGCCACAATATCTAAAACAGCAAGGCTTTTAAAAGTGTGGGAAAGGCACTGACTCTTAGCTGGCCTTACATGTACTGTAGCAGCAAAGCTAATGAAAGGCACCAACACAGTCACATGAATAGAAACTTCTGCATTCTTCACTGCGTACGACAGACACAGGAAGTGTCCTGGTGGGTCGCTAGGACACTCAAAACTACCAGTCATCAGCACTTGCTATAACTATATGCAGTATTCTGAAGTATTGCATACAGTTGGATTGTTATAACCATTTCATACAGTTATAGAATTCATACAGGAGCAGCAATGGTCACTTTCAGCAGTGTAAAGCAATTCAGAGCAGTATTGCAATGGTTGGGACTCGAGAATCCTTCTTCGCATGCCTCAAAATGACGGCTAGTTTCATTTAATAGGATTAAGCAGGCAGTCACGAGGCCGACTCCTTAAGTACATTAAGATGCTCATGAGGCCCAAGAAAAAAATGTATTAGCTGAAATTGGAATTACTTTTTTTTTAAAAAAGCCAGCAACAGCGCAATCCTCAATCACTGACCCCAAAAGCTAGTTCCCTGTGCACTCCAGGCATAGTCACTAAAAAATGCAGTGTAATATTGCCTATAAACAGCATTGGGCAGAGGGGTAGGGGGTTCCATTACATAACACTACATACAAACAGTGGTCTCGCCACCACTAGACTTAAGGTTGCGCATAATGTTGCCCGTTTCAATGTAGCTGACAGCTTAAAAAAAACAAGAGTTGTTCATATTCCTCGCAGTGGAAATTGCAATCTGCCTCACTGTTTCTTCCCGACCAAAAGCGGAGTGTTGGCACCAATTTAGGATGTCCACACTGAGCAGTCAGACACAGAATATGTAGCAGATTGCTAGGCTAACTTACTGGGGATCTCTGCTTCATAAAATAACAACGGTTACATCTGACACAGCGCCTTATCGCGTCAGAATGTCTAAAGCATTTCAAATAATCAGTTGCTATGAAGTGCAGTGGCTCTTTATACTGGCAAACACAGGAGATAACAGCCACCACCAAGGAAGGTTGCCCAACTTAACTGGCATACAGCATCACGATTAGTGTCCAAAGGTCGCCATCTCTAAAACGTGCCCCCCCCCACCCCCACCCCCACCCCTCCAGCACTGCGCTGTGGTGTCAGCCTGGACTCTGAACTCAAGTCCCAATGTGGGGCTTGAACCCAAAACCCTCTGACCCAAAGCCCAGTGCCTGACTGGCCGAACAAAGAAAGCTGCCGAGTTTTCACTTCAAACGAGAGGCGCCAGATTATCCAGGGAAAGATTCTGCCCGAGTCTGCATTTAGACCCGGGTGCATTTAGATGGGGGTCAGCAATGAACTCACACGCATAAAAAGCCAGGATTTATCCCTGCCCCTACATGTCACGGTGGCTAAGGAACATTACGCAGCACCTAAACCTGTGCAATTGGATTCCAAAACTGTCAGGAGGTAGAAAAGTCAGTCTGTCGAGCTCAGGAACTAACTGAAGGTGACTATAAATCAAAAGTCTAACCAGAGGGCAACTGGAAGGACAAACTATGAGTTGCAAACTATGGGTTGCAAAGGAAGTGAGTATTCCCCCTTCTCCTTTACTGATACATTTTAAAAACAACAAATTAAAACATCCTTCTGCTGGGGTGGGGTGAGAACTTTTAACGAGCTGGACACAAAGTTTTAACCCTTTGGGACGGGTCAGATGTTTTTAAAAACGCAACAAAATACGCTGCAATAAACAACTCCAGACCACAAACAAAATATCTGCAGAAGTGACTCGCGAGAGGCGAATGACCTGAATTAGTGGAGGGTGGAGAGGAAAAGAGAATGAAGAAGAGAGAATTTGTTTTCTAGATGTGATTTGGGAGAAAGAGAAAATTGGGGGGGCGGTGAATGGAAAGAGAAAGGAAAAAGAAAATTGAATGAAAATGCACCTTTTTTTTTGCATTAACAAAAAAAAATCACAAGAAACATTGCAAAAGACATCTACGATTCTACAAAGCAGTAACCCACGCGGAAAATACAGGATCAAACCAGATGTCCCAAAAAACATTAGGAGAGCCACTGTTAGGCCGCGCTTTGCAGACACAACGAGTTGTGGTTGTTGCTGCTGCAGATTTTTTTTTAAATGGGGGGGAAAAAAACACACATTTTAAACAGGAGAGAAAGAGGATTGCAAAGGAGTTTTTTTTCCCCACATATTTTAACACTGACACAAATCCGCACACACACAGACACAATACACATATACACACACACAATACACATATATACACACACAATACACATATATACACACACACACAATACACATATATACACACACACAATACACACATATACACACACACAATACACATATATACACACACAATACACATATATACACACACAATACACATATATACACACACAATACACAAATACACACACACACTACACATATACACACACTACACATACACACACAATACACATATATACACACACACAATATACATATAGACACACACACACTACACATTTTAACACACACAGACACAATCCATACACACATACACATATATATATATATATATAATAATAATAATATATATATCACACAGACACACACGAGCACTGCTCTTGACATCGCAAAGTTGTAGCTACTTTCAACTGCTGTGGAAAAGGCACTTTGTTTCTTTTCTGTCTCCTCGGCAGAGAGAGGAGCACTGAGAGAGGGAGAGAGGGAGTGAGAGAGGAGCACTGAGAGAGGGAGAGAGGGAGTGAGAGAGAGGAGCACTGAGAGAGGGAGAGAGGGAGTGAGAGAGGAGCACTGAGAGAGGGAGAGAGGGAGAGGGAGAGAGAGGAGCACTGAGAGAGGGAGAGAGGGAGTGAGAGAGGAGCACTGAGAGAGGGAGAGAGGGAGTGAGGGAGGGAGTGAGAGAGGGAGAGAGGGAGTGAGGGAGGGAGTGAGGGAGAGGAGAGGGAAACATGCCCAGAGGGCAGAGTGAGGACACAGAGGGTGACACAGACAGAGGGCAGAGTGAGGACACAGAGGGTGACACAGACAGGGGCAGAGTGAGGACACAGAGGGTGACACAGACAGGGGGAGGGTGAGGACACAGGGGGAGGGGGGGGGAGGACACAGAGGGTGACAGACAGGGGGTGGGGGAGGACACAGAGGGTGACACAGACAGAGGGCAGAGTGAGGACACAGAGGGTGACACAGACAGAGGGGAGGGGGAGGACACAGAGGGTGACACAGACAGGGGGAAGGTGAGGACACAGAGGGTGACACAGACAGGGGGAGGGTGAGGACACAGAGGGTGACAGACAGGGGGAGGGTGAGGACACAGAGGGTGACACAGACAGGGGGGGGAGGACACAGAGGGTGACAGCAGGGGAGGGGGGGGGAGGACACAGAGGGTGACAGACAGGGGAGGGGTGGGGGAGGACACACAGACAGGGGAGGGGGTGGGGGAGGACACAGGGGTGACACAGACAGGGGGAGGGGTGGGGGAGGACACAGAGGGTGACAGACAGGGGGAGGGTGAGGACACAGGGGGTGACAGACAGGGGGAGGGTGAGGACACAGAGGGTGACACAGACAGGGGAGGGGGTGGGGGAGGACACAGAGGGTGACAGACAGGGGGGGGGAGGACACAGAGGGTGACACAGACAGGGGGAGGGGGTGGGGGAGGACACAGAGGGTGACAGACAGGGGGAGGGGGAGGACACAGAGGGTGACAGACAGGGGGAGGGTGAGGACACAGAGGGTGACACAGACAGGGGGAGGGGGTGGGGGAGGACACAGAGGGTGACACAGACAGGGGGAGGGGGTGGGGAGGACACAGAGGGTGACCAGACAGGGGGAGGGGGGGGTGAGGACACAGAGGGTGACAGACAGGGGTGGGGGAGGACACAGGGGGTGACAGACAGGGGGAGGGGGAGGGTGAGGACACAGGGGTGACACAGACAGGGGAGGGGGTGGGGAGGACACAGAGGGTGACAGACAGGGGGTGGGGAGGACACAGGGGGAGGGGGGGGGGGGGGAGTGGGTGACACAGACAGGGGGGGGAGGGGGAGGACACAGAGGGTGACAGACAGGGGGAGGGGGTGGGGGAGTGGGTGACACAGACAGGGGGTGGGGGTGGGGGAGGACACAGAGGGTGACAGACAGGGGGAGGGGGTGGGGGAGGACGCACCCGCTCGGGCAGGGCTGCCGGTGCCGAGGCTCCGGAGCTGTTGGCTGAGGCCGCACCAGGTCCCCGCGCGCCGCCCGCAAACACCGGCACAGAGCCGCGCAGCGCCGCACAGCGCCGCCATCGCCATCTTAGCAGCTGCTCCGGACACTGAGCCGCGACCCTGAAACCCGAAGCCGAGCGCCGCTGTGCGTCTGTGTCACTGTGTCACTGTCTGTGTCCGTGTCACCGCGCGGCTGTGACTGACTGACAGCGCCGCCTTCACCACACGAGGAAGCGGCCCCGAGCGCGGGGCGGAGCTGTGGCTGCGCAATGTGTGGCTGTGTGTGTGTGTGTGTCTGTCTGTGTCTCTCTGTGTGTCTATCTGTGTGTCTGTGTCTGTCTGTGTGAGTGTCTGTCTGTGTGTGTGTGTGTCTGTGTGTGTGTGTCTGTGTCAGTCTGTGTGTGTCTGTGTGTGTGTGTCTGTCTGTGTGTCTGTGTCTGTCTGTGTCTCTGTGTGTGTGTGTGCGTCTGTCTGTGTGAGTGTCTGTCTGTGTGTGTGTGTGTCTGTGTGTGTGTCTGTGTCTCTGTGTCTGTATGTGTGTGTCTGTGTGTGTGTGTCTGTCTGTGTCTGTATGTGTGTGTGTGTCTGTATGTGTCTGTGTGTGTGTGTCTGTGTCTCTGTGTGTGTGTGTCTGTGTCTCTGTGTGTGTGTGTCTGTGTCTCTGTGTCTGTATGTGTGTGTGTCTGTCTGTCTGTCTGTGTCTGTGTGTGTGTGTGTGTGTGTGTGTCTGTCTGTGTGTCTCTATGTGTCTGTCTGTGTGTCTGTGTCTGTCTGTGTCTCTCTCTGTGTCTGTCTGTGTCTGTGTGTGTCTGTGTGTCTGTCTGTGTGTGTGTGTGTGTCTGTGTGTGTGTCTCTGTGTGTGTGTCTGTGTGTGTCTGTCTGTCTGTGTGTGTGTGTGTGTGTGTCTGTCTGTGTGTGTGTGTGTGTGTCTGTCTGTGTGTGTGTGTCTGTCTGAAAGCGCTTCACAGAATATACTATAAAGTGAATTGACTGTGTATTTTGTGGGCGAAACTCGACAGCCAATTGCGCACAGCGGTCCGTCCCACAAACAGTCGCGGATTGAGAGACCAATTTATTATTTTTATTTGAAGGAATTGTGCAATGAGAGTGCGGGTGCCGGCGAGTGTCCACAACTTTGCTGTACGCGTGAGTGTGTGTTTGTCACTGTGCAACGAGAGTCAAAAGTAACAAGTAAAACCCGACAGTAGACACGTCAGTGCTTTTCACTACTTCATACTTTATTCAGACAGTGACAACGTAGAAATGAAACTTGTGTTTTGCCCACAAAATATAGTCAATCCACTTTAGAATACATACAGTGAAGCGCTTTCAGACGTCTCAACAACGTGATAAGGCGCTACATCAAATGCAAGGATTATTGTTGATGACAGAACAAATACACACAGTATTTTTGCGACCAATCACACACATTGCGAAAGCCCTCTCAGGTCCTGTATATTCCCAGATACCCAATTTAAATGATATAAGCAGTAACATGGACCTACTTTAATGTAATGTAATGTTTGTTTTAAGACATTCTTGAATGCTTTACTTCCAAATTAATCAGTGTAGAAGATATCAGTTGTAAATTGTGAACAGATACTCTGGTGCTTTGGTTCAGCCTCCTGACTGACACGTGTCCTTGCTATATTTAATCCCAAAAAAGCTGAATAATTTCATCAGCATTAAGTCCACGATTTCTTCTTCCTCAGAAGCCTGAATCAAGAGAGAACGGTACAGAATGCTCACTTTACTACAGTATTTCTGAACATTTTTAAATGAGAGCATTTCTAAAAAAATTCACCCATTTGGAAAATCAAGCACAAACCACTTGTAATTCATACCATATTCACTCTTCACATACACTCTTCACATACACTAGTGCCTCAGAGCGCTTTACGGGTACAGTGCAGTAGAAAGAGCAGTGGAAGTGGGGAGAAGGATGGTGATCACAGATATAGTCATGCACAACAGTTACCTGTACCTGTCAGATTGCACGCGAGACTGTGACATTTTATGCTTTTACAGAGCAACATTCTGCCTAGTTCAAAACTTGGTAGAATTATATATAATAATAATAATAATCCTTTTGATACAGTTCCTTTCCTGGCTCGAGGATGCCTCAAAGCGCTTCGCGGGATATACTGTAAAGTGGAGCGACTGTGTGTATTTTGTGGGTGAACACGGTTGCCAATTTATTCACACCAACTTCCGACAGACAACTACATTTTCATGTTACAGATTGTATTTTCTTGTTAAATGAAAAAGGGAAAATAGTAATCTCACCCTGCCTACTATTTTGGATGAATGGCAGAACAAGTCCTGGCTTATTGCATGCCTGACAGTAACACAGTAAGCTGGCTATTGAAATTCAACGCAAACCTTATAATTCTTCTGCTCTTCACTAAATGCCACAAGTATGACAGAAATGAAGAGATTGAGGACCACAAAGGTCATAAAGATGATGCAGGATCCAATGAGAAATGAACCCAGAATAGGGCTATAATCCAACACCTGGTTAAGTAGTGAAGAAAAAATATGTTTAAATGAGATATTAAAAACTGTTTTTTCATAAGATGACAGATCTAGTGCCCTTATTTTAAAAAAAAGTTAGAAATCAAATTGACAGTAATGTGATGCTGATTATTACAACATACTTCATTGGTACTGACAAAATCGTGGCCAGTTCTAACAGTACGGCACAGGAACGATTGTTTTAGAATTTAGAGAAAACGAGCCTTAATTTTTGAAGCAGTTTTTCTGCAAGTCTTTTTATGCTTCAGGTGGTTCCTGCCCTAACCTATCTTCTTCAGCAGTGTTGTTCAATAAGTGCTGCAGAAACTAACGCATAGAGTATTTATGAAGAGGCTTATTTACTTATCACTTCAAATCAGGGCACTTCTCCATTACCTCAGGCTGAAACGCAGACTATCCACTTCCATTGATCAGATAATTGTGGGCAGTTTGATGAAATGTGGTGCAAAAACCGGCTGTTCTGTACATGTACAGAAATTTGCATGCAAATTCATAGGCAGAGCTTCACATGTAGAGTGATTTCAAGGGAAAATTACAATGATATCATAAAAGGTAAGTCTAATTTGAACCAACTGGAATATCCTATTGAAGCTGAATTAAATACATCTATTCCATATAGATGTAGTTATGTAGATTTGGAATCAAGTTCCTGTTCTTAAATTGATGAAGCAAATGCTATTACTTATTTCACTAATAAGGTACATTTTGCCTACCTCTTCATAGTTGAAGATTCCCAACTGAAGGCTGACCATTGTCTCTGCAGCATCCAAAATGGTTTTATAAGAAGACATGCTCCATCCAAACATCAGATTTGTCTGTAGGATACAAGTATTGTTTATTTGTGAATATCTAACTGGTTTATGAGAACTGTGTTAGAGAGACATGAAATGCTAACCTCCAAGATGAAAGGGAGAAAACCTAAAGTTTAAGTTTAGGTGAAAGTTTAGGTTTTCACAGTTACGGTACTGTATTCTCAAAATGTCGCATTTTCTCAAATATCAAACTTCAAGAGACACAGACCACTCAAATCCCAACAAAACAGGAAGGAAACATCTAGGTTTGGTGAAATTTCAAGGCATTTTGTGGATTATTTATCAATTAATATTTCTGGAGACTTTGGGAAGTCTAGTATTTGGACAGTCAGTAAAACTGATGGCATTTCAGCTGCCTGTTTCAACTGTAAGCGGATATATTCAGTGAGAAAGAGGCCAAAAAAAATTAAACGTTTTGTAAATTGAGGCAACGAGCCAGTACTCATTTGAGCTTGGAATATAATTTTGCATCCTTTTTTGAACACAGACAAATTCCGCACGGATACGTTCTTAAACAATATGCTGAGTACAAATCCATTTGCTCTTGACAGTATTAAGCTTCAATGAAGGATTCACAGCATTTTAAGAGGATGTGCATTATACAACAAATGATCATCACTTACTGCAATGGAGTAGGCCACAAACATGATTATCATGACAGTTAGGAACCCCGAGATGTCTCCCCATGCTCTCCTTATGGTAGACGTGATCATATTGAGTTTGGGGTTAAGGCGCAGGAGATGCCAAAGTTTGACAGTTGCCAGGAGAACCAGGAAGGCAATCAGATAACCCATGACCGCGTCTGCCATAGCGGTTTCATAGAAACTCACAAACCTGAGAAAGGAAGACATGGAAGAAATCAAATCAAGCATCGTCAAACCTATTCAGGAGTGCTTTCGGCAGACTGTCAATTTCCATCGACGCTGCTGCCATCACATTGGTAGCCACTATTCATACACTTTGTCAGTCAGCAATGACATTAAACAAGCGTACTAGGAATTGGCCCACAGTTGATTGGTGGGAAATTCCATTTCAGAATATTGATCGTAATACTGAGAAATAAGCATAATAGATAATAAATGATGGATTACCCTTCTCTGTGATTGTGATAGTGATCAATGTCTCTCTTGCCCAGAAGTGTTCTCTTGATGAACACTGAAAATGCACTCCAACTGATCATTATAATGGCCATCTCCAGTAGGTTCCATTTGCTTTTGAAATAACCCCATTTCTGCGCCTTGAGTAGCTTTCCCTGGAAAGAAACAACAAAAAATGTTACTTTCATTACTCCATGTTTGGGTGAAAATTACTCGAATATCACAGCACATGTCAAAACTTTCATCCCAATTTTCCCTGATGACTTCTGAAACAAGATAGAGAAAACTGAAGCGATGAGATGCAAAAACCTCTATTTATCTTAAACGCTTTCATACTTACGTAAAGATAAACATTACATTTGTGTAGCACTTTACCCATAAACAAATGTCTCAAAAAGAGTTTTATAGAATTAGACTCATTAGAAAAGAAGTGCCAGTTGCAATATAGGCATGCATATACCAACAATATGTATTCCAATGTTGATGTACATTTGTTCGGGCGCTGAGCGTATTTGGTTATACCACTGTGGCACTGTAGGTCTCTTTAGAGTGTGTGTTTGTGACATTGTATAGTGAAAAACAAAATCTCCCCATCAACTGATGCAATTTTACTGGAAAAGTGGGTCACTGGTTCTTGGGTGCCCACCTGAATCACCATGTAATAGATGAGGAAAAGAAAATATGCCACTTCAGCTGCAATGACAAAAATGTGCAGCCCGTCTGTGTACTGGTACAAGCGGACGCTCTTCAGGTCAATGTGTGTGAAAAAGGCTCCTGCAAAACAAAATAATAAAAAATAATTTCTTACTTTGCAGGACTCATATTCTACAAGAGAGCTGTAGTGAGACCATAGCTTGAGATCCAACTGGCTGAGTCTTACTACTGAAGTTCTTACCTACAGCGTTACTCTCTAATACTAATGTCGCAATGCAGAAGAGATTCACGTTTGCATTGTAGACTGTGAACTCCACAAAGATACTCCTTGTGTAAATGTCCAGCCAAGTGTTCTGAAACAAATATTGAAGTATTCTGTGGAATAAATAAGAAAAATATCCCACTGTATGCTTGATTAGCAAATAAAAGCCATCAGATGTCCCTTATGAAACAATAACTTAGAGGGGGAACTTCACCTAGCTCAAAGCAACCATACGACTATCCTTGAGTGGGTTTTAATTGATTGGGAAAACAAACGTATCCTTTAATAATAATCCCCCCAAAACCAAAAACAATAATAAATTGGTCATTTTCAATCTATGACTGTTTGTGGGACACTGCTGTGCGCAATTGGCTGCCGCGTTTGCCCACAAATATACAGTCAATTCACTTTACAGTATGTTCTGTGAAGCGCTTTGGGACGTCCTCCCGACGTGAAAAGCGCTATATCAAATGCAAGGATTATTATTATTATTATTATGTGTATTTTGAGCATTTCCCGCAGTAAAAATAATGCAACTAATTGCTCTAATACTGACTTTAAGCTTGTTTGACAATAACGCTTCACAATCTGCAATAGTGTGGGAGGCAACAGAGCTGTGAGCATCAGTAAAGTTCTGGTGAGCAGTTTGGGCTTTGCTGTGAAATCTGCCCTGCCCTGTACACTCAAATATTATAGAGCTGCTTCAACTTGATTACTTTCACATAGCATAAGACTGAGACAGTAATTCATTTAGGCATCAGGAATTTAGCTAAGAGGTGGGGTAGCTGCGAGCCAGATCAGAATAATCAGTTCTGTAGATTGAATTCACTGCTTCAATGCATGTTGAAGGTTAATAATCTATTATTTGTGCTGTTGGATAATCTTGCAAATGTGCTGCTTTGACAGAATAATTATGAGTGTTGAGCTGTGTATTACAGGAGAGATTCAAATGAAGAAGACTCCATTGGGCCATTTGATCTCATCCTTCCAGAATATCCAGTCACCCATTCACAATAGGGTTCTGCAAACTCAGTACAGTAGTGCCACACCCTAGACATACTTTTTCTGAGGTGACATATTGAGTACATTACATCAGCCTGAGAAAGCTTCCGAGCGCAGCCACTGCAGAGGCAAATATTATTATTATTATTATTATAACCTGTGGTTATTAGGTGCCAAGTAAATGAGCGCTGCAATGCATGAGAGACATGGAACCTGAAAAGCAAATTGATTTACCTGTAAGCGTCCTGTGCATCTGTACCGAGCTCTGCGATATATCCACCTCCCCTGTACATGGCCAGTTTTCCCCAGATGGGAAAACTGCGCAATTCCGATTGGCTCTGGTATTGCCAGACAGAATCCAGGTCCGAGGAATTCTGTGACGCACTTGTGTTCCAGTGCAGACCATAGTCAGACAGATCTTCGTTACTGAGAGAGTACTGAGTGTGGCACTCTGTCATAGAGTTCCTCAGTTTTGCGGGCACTGGGCAGGAACTCCTCTTTACTCTCAATTGTCGAATACGAGCTGATCCAACCAGGTTAGAGTTACCATCAGTCACAAAACCTAAAGTGGGAATCCGACAGATTCTAGGTGAGATTCTAGATTAACAGGATTAAATGGCGTTTTTGAAGTTTTTTCTTTGCGCTATCAGCAGATAAAGATCTATGGGTTTACAGTTGGGCGATATTAGTTTTTGTTTACCTGGGTAGGAGCCAAATAAATTTGATATGAGAGTATTGTTCGCCCATTTGAAGAAATCGCTGTAGCTTAAGACGTCACCGAAACCATGACTGAAACTGTTTCCGATAGCTTTGTTCAGGTAATATGAATTCGGATCACGCTGTCCGTAAGCAACTAACAGCAGCATCCAAAGAAATCCCAAATAAGCTGCAAATAATAAGAGGCAGGCAAGCAAGTAATCATTAGTACCAAATGTGGAACAATGTGCTGTGCAGCTTTGTCCTCCAATACCACAGGGGCTCACCGAGTATTTCCCGAATCAAACCGAATACTTTCTGCTCTTTTATGGAATCTTTCTTCATTTTCTCGACGTCGTTTGGTGGAGGCGGCTGGTAGACACTGCTGCTGCTGTCTCTTCGAGTCGCCAACAGAGCGCTGGGATCTCCCACTTTATGATAAAACACAAATAGTGAAAGTGACCCATTTAACAGTACGTAGGGATAAAGATTGCAAGGTTTCCTTGACAAATTACCCAAGCACTAAGCACATTAGAAATGAACAGCTAGACCAGAGAAGGTCAGTGAAACACAAAAGAGGGTGAGATATCCACAAACAGGCAACAAACTACAAAAGGAAATGAGATCAGATCGTTTTGGTCCTTCAATCTCTCGGGACCGATTGTGACAAGCAAATCTTGTAAAACAAGGCATCCCAACAACAAACAAAGCGCAGACAGCAATCTAAAATCTTTATATTGGAGACATTACCTGTAGTTGATAATGAGTTGTTAATTGGGCCATCCTCTACCTCTTCCTCGTCAACTTTCTTCAAAACCAGAGCAAAGAAAGCAGCAAAGCCTAATACCTGGAAAGGCGATAACACTTTGAGGTACCACATAAATTACAATTCATAATTTGTGTATATTCCTGCTCACCAAATGCGACAAGTCACACACGACCCTTTTGTTTTGCCTATATTGCTTAACTGCATTCAACCACCTCACTTCTCAATGCCGCTGCCTTACCTTGAGCGGTTGTGTGATCAGAAGACTCTCGAAGAAGGAGATTGACATGGAGATGAGCCACTTGATGGAGTTGTCCTTGCCGTAGCTCAATCCGTAGAGCATGGTGAAAAAGGCAGAAACACCACTCGTGGCCGCGACCAGGAACCAGCCAACAAAAACAAACCACCAGGGCAGCCCTTTAGCACAGACACCCTCCTTCTTACTGTTCCCTGACAGACTGGGGGTGGGGGAGAACCTGGGGGTGCAAACCAGTAGATGCATTATGTTAATTTTTATTCTGGTGTACATGGACCAGCATAGATCTCAGGCTGGAGATCTCAAGTCTGTGCCTTTAGTTGAAGGACAAACAACTGGAAACTAGATTCAATATAACTGTGATAGTTTTATACCTGTCTGATGCAGAATTGGAGCATGGGATGGTGCTCTCCAGAAAGTCCTTCATATTGTGGACCTGGCAGACGGCCTGAGTGTAACTGTGTGGGCTCTGGAAGCTGGCCGGCCCCAGATACTCCAATTCTTTCTCCACATGTTGGAGCTGCAGGTACAGATAGTGATTGTGATCACTGCGTCTCTGCTTTTCATTCAGACCTCTCTCAGTGTCAGAGTTTGTGGGGTTTTCTGAAAGCAAGTCAGGAGAATAAAAGGTCTAGATTTACTCTATTTACGTAGCATTTCAGAGGGTCCAGAATTTGACAAATCATTCAATTCAGAGTTAACTTTGAAGTTGTTTTTCCATAGTTTTTAAAAGATCTTATGGAAAAATGGTTTTGAAATCCAGGCTGCATTTAAGATTTGCTGAATTCTGAAATGTTCTGAAATGCTACATAAATATCATAAACCTAGACACGGGTGGAGGTCCTCCCCAAATCTTATTTTTTAAAAATTAAGAAAGGGATTACATCAATAAAATTCTAGCTATTGTCATTTAAGTCGCGACAGTGTTTTGGAATAAGCACCAAAGCTCTCACACTCACCTTGTAAATTAACAGATCCCAGGCTAAGGATAAGAGTTTCCGCTTTCTTATGATTCTCATTATAAAATTCACGGTCAGTCTTATTTTGCTCACAGATGATCTTTTCAACCAACGCCAGAAGTATGTTGATATCTGTTGTTTTTATACAATCTTTCTCAAAAGTTGGTAGTGGGTTCTTCAGGGTTTTTGTCAACGAGTTGGCTATCCTCTGGATATCCTGTATAGACAACACAAAGTGGTGCTTTAACTCCACTGGTAAAAGTTTCTGAGGACACAGCATAATTTGTAAGTGATTGCTTATTATTTTCACTGGGCATTTGGAGATAATAATAGGTGATCACGGGTTTTTCATAAAAGCGGGAAGACTGCAGATTGGTTGATTTGAGATGAATGCTATTGCTTCTAAAGTATGTGAAATAATTCCTGGTGGAGTAAATACAAACCCAGATCATTACTTCAGAGTAACCAGAAAGTAGGACTATAAACCCTGTATGGAAATTGGTGAAAGGTTAATTTGGAATTGGTACCAGGAATAACTGATTTGCTTTGAGTGATGAATGTTTGGAATGATTATTAAATAAGGTAATGGAGGGAAACATGAGAGGGTTGAGCTTGGTTGTGCAAAATGGCCTTTTCTCAGCCAAGTTGTGGATTTACAAAAGTAATGAAAACACAAATATCCTCTTTCACTTTTTGGTAACCTTTATGACAGCTTCAGGCGTGAGCGAGCAGCTCGGTGGAGACGAGGAAGGAGTCGATGAAGATGGTGATATACGGCCATGTTTGCCTTGTTTCCTTTGCGTCTCTTTGCCCTTTGATTTTGGGCGGATGTTTCTGAAGATCTGGACAATAAGCAGATTGATGGGAAACATAAGCAGGGAGCTCTCAAAGCCAATCACCACTTCCTGCCAGGTAAACTCGATTTTACCTGAAAGACAAAGAAAAGTATTTTATTTAAATAGTCCGTTAAGAGCTAGGGAATGGAACACTGTCTTATTTCAGGCACCCAGTGAACAGTCAAATGTAACATGGTATTTATATTTAGTCTGGAGCCTTTCATGTTGGGAGGATGTCCCAAAGCGCTTCTCAGGATTTACTGTAAAGTGCATTGACTGTGTGTTTTGTAGGTGAACGTGGCAGCCAATTCATATACAACAATGTCTCACAAGCAGCCAAGGAGTAAGCAACAAGGGAAAATGATAGCAAACTTGTTCTAGTTTCTTTACAAAGGCATAATGCAAGAACAGAATTGAAGTGGCAATGCATCCTATCACCTAAGCATAATGAAACTAACACATGATTCTTCTGTTTTTTTTAAACTGACTCAAAATAACAAGAAAAGTATGGGGGGATTGAGACTCTGCTCTTTAACGCTGCTTCATTTGAATAACCATGGCATGAAATCTTCAGATTCTTTCCAATGAACTCACACATGAAACCATAGACCACTGACCAAGGAATATTTCAATGTGCTCTGATTGTTACTCTTATCCTCAGTGCAATTTCTCCTCAAAGCTAAACAACGTTTAGATTACCGCAGGACGCACAAAAGCATTGACTTTACCCAGGTCCATTTTCTGCTGAGCAGGATCCTTTGGTATCCCCCAAAATATGATACTTGTTAGCATTGTGCAGAGGAGCAAAGAAAAGCAGCACGACACACGCTGAACTCTTGTGAAGGAACTTCTTGGCGGGCAGCTGAATACCGAATACCAGATGTGTCCATCTCTGAAATCCTTGGCAGTCTTCATGAAGAACAGGTTACTATTAAATAACAGCAAAGACTTCATATTGATAATAGCACCATCAAACATTGGCTTGTGCATCGAACAAATGTAGGATGAAATGTTTATAAACAGAATAAAATATCAACTGGGTTTATCCTTATCACAAGATTCTCTCTGAGTTTGCAGTCATATCCAGTACCTGAAGCGTTTCAGGTCTGTCTCAGTTGCTACTGAAAAGGTTTTGTCCAGGAGACATTCTCCAACATCAATGGCAAGCCAAGAGTTGCACAAGAAGCACCATCGTTGATCTGTTTCTAGGTCATGCACTGTTACACGATTCACGTACCTGTGAATAGAGTGCGGAGGAAGGGGAGAGGGACAGGGGGAGAAATATTAGCCTCATTCAGTGAGCAATGCTGTGTTACTTTGCGCTTGAAAACAAATTTTGAAAATTCTTCACTGAGGAACTGAGAGCACTGAAGAGCTCGAGACAATTGGATACTGAATCTGAGTTGCCCAGAGCTATACTTTACCAGGCAGGACTGGAGCCTGAGTTGTCATGCCACATTCTGATGCTCTGGAGATCACCAAGTGGGAAAAGAGTCGCAAGGAGAAACACATCCACTCCTCCACTCTCAAAGACAGGCTTCTCCGAATCAGTCAAGTGATGAGGGTCGCTCTCCCCCTCAGAACCATACAATGTGATCGTCACCTTCAGGAGAATAAAAATATGAATAATATTAATAAATACAAAGCAATCTGGGAAGCTAGCAAGCAGTGACTGGCATGATTCATGAAGGTTTCCAATGATGATCTCCCACCCTCCAGATTCATAGGCACCACCTCATGTGTGAAACTCTCACTAAGCACTGGAGAGTGGGTGGAATCACGGAGTTAAACACTAGGGGAACATTTCCCCTATGGGAACCCACACAATACAAATACAACACAAAAACGGTGTTGATTGTGTTAAGGATGAGGTATACATGGTTTATTTGATCAGATTTCACTGAATAGTCATATTTTGAATGGGAAGTGAAGAACAGATACATTTATTGGAGAGTAAAATCAACGCAAAGGCCAGATGGCTGAGCAAACGTGTATTCCCGCTGGATTGCTGAGTGACCAGGACAGGAGTCGCATTGCACGGAGGCAAAACTCTAAACTAATAAAGCAAGGTTACAGCAAGTTTGTTGAAGATTTTAGTAGCAACAACAACAACAACAACTTATATTTATATAGTGCCCTTTACGCTGGGTAGTGTCCCTAACAATGGAGACATCTGACCTCAAACCAGAGTGGGGAGGTGAACGTAAGCACGATCAAAAAGGATGGTCCTTAGGTAGGATTTGAAAGTGGGGAGTGGGGGTGGGCAAGGCGAAGGGATTGAACGAGGGAGTTCCAGAGCTTCGGTTCGTAGTGACTGAAAACCATGATACAGAATGTTAACCAAACCTCAGCTGTGGTAAAAGCTCCCCTACGATGTCCAGTATAAACTGTCACCAGATAGCGATACTGGGCAAATGGGTCGTTATCAGCGAGAACGGTCATCTTCACCTGTGTGACAAATCGACAAAATATTTTCAATCGTTAGCTCAGGAAAGATTGTGAGGCGCTATAATATTCCACTTGGCATGCAGAGAGGTCTATTCCACAGTAATCACGAACAATAGCAATATGTTTGCTACATATTCATACCAGTTAATTGGCATGCACTTGAGAATCAGAGGCTAGATTCAAGCCTAGGTCATTTTGTATTGATTGGGTCTAGAATTTGAAATAGAATTTCTATTAGATAGCTCTGAAGCTACACTTCAACTGATTTTATTAAAGGCTCACCTTTGCCACGTCTTGCTGGTCTTTCCGTCTCGCCCAAATAACAGCGAGAAGATAGAGAGCAAAGATACAAGCAACTGTCATTACCACCACTGGGTTATTTGAGAACGTAGCGAAGAGCTCCAGGGTCTTACTGACATCTACTGTATTCGGCATGACAAAGAAGGAGCTGCTGAAGAAGGTGAGATGGTTGCACAAACACTGCGTACTGGTGGGAGTCGTTAAAGGGCCAACCTGTAGCACACACACACACATACAAAAGAGAAAATACACAAAATTAAAACGTTTTTTTTTCAATAAAATGCTTTTTTATTGAATAGTTTTCTGGGTCACTTTCATGGCAAAGGAACAATTTTAGCAACATCAAAAGAACAGTAGCTGCTAAAGTAAGATATACAGATACTTACACGACACCCAGATGTACTCCAGTTGCTGCTAATTTCATCCCAGTATACACACTGAGTGGCAAAGGAAGTGAATGCTAGCGTCATGTTGTGTACATCAGAAGAGTTCAGGTCAGGCTGCACAGTTATATAATACGTCCCTATTCCATAGGTCAGATCTGTCGGAGGAAGAATCCAAGTATATCTTGCAGCTTAACGGGAGAGACAGAAATAAGAACATCAAAACGCAATGCTATTTATTCCAATTACAACAACAACTTGCACTTATATAGCGCCCTTCACACAGAGCAGGGTCTCGGAGCACTTAAATAAGTCTTCCGAGACACTGTGCATGATTGTAACTCTGATCTCATTTTTAATACTAAAATAAGAATTTCTGATGCTGGCAAATAGGCACATTTTAAGATGATGAAGGAAGTGAGCCTTCTTACCTCCAGCGTATTGCACGTAAGGTAATTGAGTGGATCGGTGAGGGCTGGTCTCGTTAGCTTCTGACTCAAAGCCCAGGTACAGGAGCAGTGAAATGTCCTGTTCTGGTTCCAGATGCAGCAGCAGTGTGGCGTTCTCCGAGGTCACGTTCACTTTAACAACGACTTGGTTGCCTCTCAGCTTCAATTCAGTCTGATTCTCGTGGGCCACTTCCAATCTGGGCAGTATTATCTGTCGTAGAAAATGGGCTTCATTACGATTGTGAAAAACATGCAAGGTATAACCAAAGCTGAACAATCTATAGACCAGAGGGAGGGAGGGAGGGAGGGAGAGTTCCACTTGATTTACTCTGTTTTCTCAACATTTCAGAGCATATTGAATTTAGTAATAATAATAACCCTTACATTTGATATAGCGCCTTATCACATCATCAAGACATCTCAAAGTGCTTGACAGGATATACTGTAAACTGGACTGACTGTGTATTCTGTGGAGGAAGTGCCCTTTTTTTTGGCTAATTGGTGAATTCATGTCTTTGGCATTAGACATTTAATTAGAGTTTTTCTGTCATTCTTAAAAGAAATTGCAACGAACTGGAATACCAAATACCAAAAAAAAAAGGAGAGTAAATCTGGGCCCAGATGAAACGTCTATCTCTGTGTATTACTTTCATGGTGGAATGGTATCACTTTATTGTCATGGTTTTCTATTCTACCCGTTTCTATTTGCCTTCATCGCAGGTCCCATTTGTTCTCACAAGCATACACAGACACACACACACTAGAGTAGCTTGGAGAATAAGGCAGGTCTGTACAGGTCTATTGGGAATGTCCACACACTGATTGAATAAACCAGCAATTGTTTTATTGCGAGTTAATAACCTGTGTATTTTCCACTATTGATTTGAAACGCCAAGGGAACAGAACAAGGGGATACAGGTTCAGGTTTGTGTAACAGTACATACAGTTAAAATACATACACGATGACGTCTATCCACCTGTGGATGTCATCATGTATGTAACATGATAAGATCACGCGTATACCATAAGATCCTGTGTGTAATACAATAGAATCAGATGTGTAACACACTGGGATTGGCATCGGGGCAAAGGAAGATGTTAGAGTCAGAACTTAAAACTACCGATTCTTGTCTCGAGCTTACTGACATGCCATCACAGGCTAATCTTCCTTTAAGAAAGTTGCAAGCAATACAAATCAAGTCAGTTGTTAGCCATTAATTCCCACTCTAATTGTTTGTTGTTCCAGCATCTTTCTTTCTTTCTTAAACAAAATTGTCCCCTGAGCAAAGATACAGAGTGTTCAAATTGGAAGAGATTTGAATCAGCCATAAACAGCACCATAACGAGAGACAGATCTTAAAGATTGACTGCAAAGGGTCAGTATTATTATTAATGAAAATTGGAGCAGTTTGCAGACTAACCTCAATGTCCTCAGACAGTTCGTTAATGGGCTGGACTGTGCCATTCACCAACGTCAGTGTCAGACCACCCACAGTTCCACTCACTTCACTCTTGTTCGCCCATGTGAAAGGATTCACTGAAAAACTCACCATCTAAACAAAGATAAATAATTTCAAGATCGAGATAATCATAGTAAGATAATCATAAATCATTTCAACTTGTCTCTCCAGTATTGATAACCTTGTAAATTACAAATGGGATTGTGATTGTCACACACCGTGCTTGCAAATCCTGAATAGATTATGTATTTTATTTCAGTTCTAGTCCCTCACAATTATACTGATATACAATATGGCACGGTAGAACTGTTACAGTTACTGTGAACCTCACTCACCCTTACGTCCACTGTGTCAATGCCACTCTTAAGTTTCAGAGCTGAGAGTGGTGGGAGGGTGAAGCTCGCAGCAGTGGAATTTGGGATAATTATGGAGTGCCCTTCCTCACCGTCTGCTGAAAGCCTTTACAAATGAATAAAATTTTTTAAAAAATATTCAGTCCATGCGCTCAAAAAAATGAAAACTTCAGGTTATTTTCCAAATACACAAAGCATTGGCTGTCTAGATTTTTCTTGATTTATTCCAACTTTTTGCTCCGTCAATGGTGTAATTTTACTGTATCAGTTTCAGGTGTTAGGTTGTCAAATGCTTACGTTCACTGAGTGATCATGGCACTTGGGGACAATTACAGACAACTGCTGTGCCGGTTCAGATCGGGGTTAACATCGCTGTGCTGAATTTCTGATGTGAGATTTCACCTGGAAACTTTGCGTGATTGTGTGAGTCACCTGAGTCAAAGTTTGTTCAGAGCAGTTTCTAATATACATACAGTAAACAGACCAAGCATCAAAGGAACACTTTTCACACAAATCCACCAGGTGGCCCTTATTTAATAATCATGCCAGTTATTTCCAGAAATAATTGCAGTGCCTATCCTTGTTCACAAATCCTCTATCGAGTTGTCTTGTTTTAAACTTAGATGCTTCCGATTATGTTTCTAAATAAAGGTATGGTGCAGATCTTTAATTTTACACGTCTATAGAAGGGGGTAACAGCAAATAACCAGTTGCCTAAAAATGACATATCACTGTATACATATCACTCACTGAATGACACCAACCTATGAATTTCCACAAGTGGCTGGCGCATATATCTCAGAATGGTTTGGGTACTCTTAAGCAAGGCAATGGGTTTCCGCGTGTGTCAGACACCTGGCTGACCAAAAACAAAAGTCACAAACCACAATGGGCCGTTAATCCACTATTGAAATATCTTGACGAACGTGGAACTACTGTAGTTAGAAATACAACACGCTGGTGTCAATCTTCTACTTACCTCTGCAGGAACATGGTTATACTGGGCGCCATCAATATAATTGGTTCATCCTCTGCTTGCTTTTCCATCAGCAATGCATTCTGCAAATGCTCGATTGTGCTCAATAAATTCTCCAACACTTCCCGTTGCTGAAACAATAAAAATGCATCACTGTTGTGCAGCATAATTTTCTCTCCGTTCACTCGGGACATGTCACTATGAATTTACAGCTCCGTAGCATGAAGTGTTGTCAGTGTTAATTCATTGCTGATTGACGCACATTCACCTGATCTGCACCCAAGTTACTTTGCATTTCATTTCCTTCTGAAGCTTCCAACAGGTCATTAACTGTCCTGAAGAGGGAATTTGCTGCAATAGTTCTTTTGTCATAGTCTTTGTCATCCGCGACAGTCAGAGTGAGCAAGGATTTCGCCATGTTCAGGAGGATTGTGTTGGCTTGCAGCTTAAAAGCAGACGAGAAGGAAAATTATCAGATATTCTAGTACAGAATAAGAAAATATATGAGAATAAGAAAAAAACCTGATTCGCTGCTCTATACAATGAGGGTTTTATTTTGTTTCATTCCTTTCTGTGCAGGGGCATCAATTTGGGTTGCTTTGTCAAAATCACATTCATGTCAAGAATTTTCTTTACATACGAACACAATGATCCATTTGCCAAATGCAAACAATACTCAAATGTGTTACTGGCAGATACCAAAACTGCTTGCAGCTCGCAGGACTGAATGCTCAATACATCAGTTACGTAAGGTAATTCAATCTCCCCTTCCGTCTTGTTTCCAATTTCTATTCATGATTTCAATTAAAAAATACTAATAGTTGAGGATTTATGCCATTCTTAGTTTGTGAATGTGATCACTCGTGCCATTGTTAAACAGCATGTCTTACACGCTAAATCAATAGATAAAGAGCAGTCAAGAATGGAGAAAACAACAACAAGGTTTAATTTATAGAGCGCCTTTCACGTTGGTAGGACGTCCCAAGGCGCTGGACAGTTGAAAAGTGCAAAGACATAACAAATGGTACACTTGAGGTACCTGTGCTTTAGCGTTCAGTTCCTCAGGCCTATGGGTTATCTGTTTAAGAACCTCAGACACCTCCAGGACTGTGTGGAATGATATGACGTCCACAGTGAACATATTCAACAGCATCATTTCTCTCAGCTTGTAGATGGTATTCATACAGCAAAAAAAGCATATATTCAGAGTTGTAATACATTTCTGCGAACTGCTTCTTTACAATTAAATCAACTAATTGATACAGCATCTTATCATGGCGTTGAGATGTCATGCCAATACACCCTCATACCTCTTTATTCACTTTGCTTTCTGCTTCAATCACAGCTTCTGGCAATTAATTTTGCATTCTCACCACCCCCCTGTGTAAAGTCCCTCTAAACTCCTTTTTAAATCTGTGACTGGCTATCTTACATTATGCCTTTGTACAATGATCCTTCTGTTACCTGTTTTCTATCATCCAGAGTCAGGCTGCCCGTGTCTCCAGTGTTAATCTCTTGATTTAGGACTGAAGAAACCGACTCAAACAGTTGGATGAGTAAAGAACTATTAGTTTCTGACATATCCTGTATGCTTTCTGACAGTATCGTCTGTAGATCTTTCTTGCTATCAGTATTTGAGAATTTATGGACCTGCAACAAATAGGGAGAGATATAAGGAAGCCTGGTACAATTGTGTCATGATTATTGTTGATGAATCTTCTCCATTTCATAGAAAAATTTAAAACTCATAGTAGCAAAGTATAATATTCAGTAAATGCCAGATCAAATTTGAATGTAGTCAATTTACCTATTGGATTGAGGCTCAATTGCAATTGAGTTGGTAGAAAACTATGAATTATGATTTCATACCCAAATTTATGACATGATAGCCAGCCGAAGAGTGAGAGAAATAGATATACAACTATAGGTATCAACTATAGACATATATATATATATATACACACACACCTACAGCTTTCAAAAAAACATTGAGAGGCATTTGTCTATGGTATCACTTTTGCACGAGCACATTGATTTGAATGAAACCAAACCACAAATTGCAATTCAGTTGAGATTCAAAACCCTTCATGTAACAATGATGAATATACTCATAGGTGTAAGTGATCTCATTTTAAAATTCAGCATTAAATATTTTAAGAAATGTAGTCACAATTAAACCTTAGTAAAAACCAGTTCCAGGTAATAAACATAGCCTTATGAAGGTCTGGAAGACATTGAAATGAAAGAACAATTTGCAATATTTGTGTGTACTGGTCTGTGTGGTTTGGAAACTCTCAGAAGCTTGAGGGAATACATCATTACAAGATGAAAACAAAGTTGAAAATATTACCGTAGCGTTAACAGTGACACTGGTGAAAGTGTCTGCACTGTTACTGACGATGACTGTAATTGTCAGCTGGTCGCTATTGTCTGAATCTCCGTGTGGCAAGTAAACAGAGGGCAATATTGACTCTGATCCGCAGTGCAATGCAATATCTGCGAAAATATTTCAACGCAATATTAGTCATTTTCTGGATCACCCAAACCATCTTTGTTTTCCCAAATCAATGTAACAGTAAATCTGCAACTGACTAACATACTCCAGTGATTTGAATCTAATTTTGAATAACTCCAACCCCGCAGTTAAAATAAAACAACGCTACAGTAGTTCTAGAATGAGCCTTGGCTTGCAATATTACTTGGTTTTACGTAGAAGCAGTATTTTAGGTCTGAAAGGCTGCAAGGTTGGTCAGAGTTGCAGTTCACTTTGCAGTTGATGCTGAATGTTGTGGTGACCGTTGATCCTTCTTCAGGGGAAATGGCGCAGGATGCGACTGGTGGTGGAGGTACCATGCTGATTGTGTGATCTCTGTATCTGTAATCGCCATTCTCACTTACACCTAAGAGAAAGTAAACAAATGCACAATTGTATCTCAGCTAATTAGTCATTGCATTTTAAGTGTTAGACTAAGCAAACAGAGCATCTTAAACTTTCTCAAGCCGGGTATCCATTTGACGTACCAACTGCTCTCACTTTTAACACTGGAGTGATCTTAGCCAATTCCTCACTTGTCAAAATCAACACATTTGTGTTCTCCTTCATTAAAGTAAATATTTTCAGAACACCATTCTGTTTTTGGCTAACACAAGCAGAATGCCGGTTCATCTGAAGAAACAAGAAAAAACACAAGTATTGGATGAACAACGGTAGAAATAAAAGCCATATACGGTCAGTTTTGTTTGGAGTATTTAAGTACGAAAAACTTCTTACCTCTTGATTTGAAGTGCTAACTCTATACCAGTTATACGTCAGTGAAGTCGTACATTCTGAGCAGGTGACTTTTAATAGAGTGTCTTCTGAAGAATTTAATGGTTTGCAGTTGCTCTCACATCTAAAACACAGCACAAGGTAGCTGCAGTTGTCAGCACTTTCCATTTGAGCCAGTGGTATTTTTGTCTATTTATTATTAAAAATTGAATATCTTTTATCTGGATCACTTGAACATTTTAGAATTTAGACAACATTCCTAATAAATCAACATTCATATCTAGATTATACAGTTTTTCCTATTTAAGGACTAATCCCTAATCAGTCACCAGGCAAGATTTCACTGCTCAGGCTCTGCTACACACAATTATTTCCATTGAGTCACTCAAAGAGGTTTTTCCTGAACAAACTCATACAATCATAGCATGCAATGGCATAGGAAGTATCGTCGACAAACTAAGCCACGCAGTAGTCTTCAATGCTAAAGGTTATCTTTGTACCTGATGCTAAGGCTCATCTTGCTGTTCTTTGTGAAGTGCAGACATTTCTCCGTTGTGCTGTTGGTCTTGCCGGGTTTACTTACAGTTAATTTGATTGAAACCAAAGAAAAAGGTGGCGGGAGGCAGGAAGGACTGATGATCAGATCTTGCTGAGTGTCTTCAATTTGGTTGTCCTGTACACACGTGCTCCACAATGGCCAGCACAGACCTCGATAGAGAGAGATAATGTATTGAATGGTATTGGAAGATAACATTCGTCTTTAACCTCTTAAGGGTCTGTGTTGTCACAGCCCTGGAAGGGTTAATATTCCAGTCACACAAACTTATTCTCATGTCTGAGTAGCTTTAATACCATAATCTTAGTATTTGTTTTTTCACTGTCACGGTGTCTGTAGTTCTGTCAGCAACCCAATGCTTAAGGCCTGATTCAGAACCTGTCTTAGCCAAATATTAAACGAATTCATTTTCTAGATTCCCTGCTTCTTCTTTTGAGGGTGCATCTCATTGTGCTGAAACATGCAGACCCATAAATTTAGAAGATATTTTCTATTCAGTTATCCTCTTCCCTTCACTGAAGTTAATGCCTTGAAGATATGACAATTCGTTCCAAATTCCAAGTGTTTCAAAAACGTACCACATGACCATTGGAAAATTAAGGCTCTTTTGTCGGTTTTGTCACGATCCTCCGATTGTTTCCCTCTCAAGACAAGTTTGGTAAAAGGATCGACCACCTGGAAAGCGCTGCCATGAATAATAGCTTGAAGTGTATCCTTTTGATGTGAGATTTGATTTTCTTCAGAACCACGTGACTGCAAAAGATTAAGAAAAGGGGTAAACTTTTGTTGGTTGTGTTAGCAATCTGATAAGTAAAAGCATATGGCTATAACGGTTAAAACTTTTCAAAACATTTCTACACACCCCAGAAGGCTGTAGTGGCAGAATATATGAATTGGACTTTTAGAAGCCATATTATATAGACACCAGACAAAAACTATCCAAAGATCATTCTTTTAAAAAACTGCTACAAATAGATTTTTCAAATTGATTTTTCAAAAGTATGGCATGACCTGTTTCCAACCTGTAAATTTTAAGTAAATTTAAATTCCTTACTTCCACTGGAGATAGTCTGGCTCCAGCTTTGATCTCGTGTGAAGGAGCTGTTGAACAGAAAGAGAAAGATGCGATTGATCTCTGAGATCCAAGAATCTTTCTGGATCTTGTAATGTAATGTGGCTTTGATAAAGTCAAGTCAATTATTTTCTGATTGTCGTAACTTGAGCATATCCAGGCATATTCTGAACTCAAAATCTTGTATTCCAGCACTTTAAACGTTAAAGTTATTAATCATTTACTGTAAACCACTTATAGAACTTGGTTGGAAAAATAGATGCTTTTACTTTTAAAATTACAATAAACTAAATCCTATATAAAATGGGGATTAAAATTAAGAATTAGGTATTGGGCAATAAAATATTCTCACACATTTGATAATTTTAAAGTTCATAGTTAGGAATGTTTCAACAAAGACTCTCATTTAGCCCTTTGATACGTGATTAACAAATTAAGTACCAATTTGAAGATAATTGCAATTGTATTTACCTTCATCTATGGCATCATCCACATCACGCTCTATCAGAATAGAAGAATTTGCCTTCACAGTGATATTCCCAGCATTAAAACTCATGCTGGAGAAAGCATTGACAGCCTCCCCTTTAACCTGGAAAATCCCTGCATATGGACAGAAAACAGACATAAGAAGATTTAACATTAAGATAAAGAAACCCCTTCTACATTTCACTTCTTAATAACCATTAAATAAACACAACATGCTTTCTTGACTAGAGGAGGAATTTCCAATTAAAGTTGCCCTGATAAGCAGAGGATTCAAGGTGATGTTACAAACGCAAACATACTGTTTTTCAGCATTGAAACAATAATTTTGTTTAAATGAAAGAGCTAGTAAAAGAATAATAATATACTGTCACAGCGAATGTAAAAATCAATCGTGTAATATATGATTGAACTGTCATTCCTTTATGGCAATGAATAACAAACAAGAAACCCATACAGCTATTTGATTTAATAACAATTGTAACAGTTAGAATAGTTAAGGTCATTACACTGTCACGGGAAACACATCAATTTAATGTGACAAATCTTGATGTCTTGCTCTCAAATCAATAGTTTAATGGATGTACTGTATAAACATGGAGGCATTTGTGTGCAATTCAATTGGAGATATCCTGCAAACAATGCTGGAAAAAACAAGAGAAAATTGTTACCTTCAGAGTTCATAGGAATGCTATAAGCTCCTAATTTTCCATCAGGACTTTCAATTGTTTCAGAAAAGGTCCCATTAGGTCCAATAAATTCAAACTGTAGCTGAATCGGAGCACCAAGGGACACAGAGATGTTAACAGTGAGATCTTTCCCCAGCTCCAGGACAGCGGAGTTTAACACAGCCTCCAAACCCACAATTGGCTCCACAAGGTCAACCGTGATGTTCTGGGATACTTCGCGAATTGTCACATTGTTTTTGGCAAGAATTTTGAGCTGATGTGTGCCTGGACCAATGAGGTGCTGAGCGGCACTTTCTATGGTGACATTCTGAGGAATATTTCCACTGAGAACAGTGCAAGTGTGAAGGACCGCAGTTCCAGCTGATAAAACATAGGTCACATTTGTGCCTGTGAAAACATGAATCTGAATATATTATTCTCATTAGAGCCTGCTACTAGACTGTTTTAGTACAGTTAACTACCTTATTGTCAAAACTGTGAACTAATACTTAAGCCACTGTTTCAGACCATATTCAATCATTACTATGAACAGAATAAATATTCAAGCAATCAAATAACTAATTATATGCATCTATCCATACCACGGGTCTCCAACTGCTATATGGCACTGTCGCACATGATTTAAAAAGACAAGAGTTAGGAGTGATAGAACTGCCTAGTTATTGAGTCCAATTCAAAACAAAGCCAGATGCACAAAGTATTTCATGCATCTCGAAAAAATATGTAAACTTTGATGTTTAAACTGAGGTGAATATCTCCTTCTTCTTGTCTTTATTGAGCGTGCATGAGATGTCACCTAACGCTGATTGACTGGTTTGAAGACCCCTGGTCTACACTGTTGTGATTGCAGTTTCACTTCCCACCAACTTCTAGTTTCTTTATAGCTAAGTGTTCTAAATCCAGGTCATCAACAACAACATCAACAACAACAACTTGCATTTATATAGCAGTTCCCACGCAGGGCACCATGCCGAAACCTGAAGTTGGACAAGGAGGGGGCAAGGCAACAAGCAAACAGTCAACGGAAAGCATGGTCTCTTTGCGGCTACAGGGGCAGGATCAACATAACTCTTCTCAGTCGAAAGTAAAACACAGACACACATTGCATGTGCACATTGTGATCCCACTGAGCGCAGGAAATGAATTGTACCTTCTTCAACTTCCAGCTGAATCCACAGTGGTTCTCCATACAGAGCCCTGCAATTATTAACGTCTGCTGATTGGTTACCATTGGCGCACTTGAGCGTCCCCAAATCACCAATCGGCTCCTGGATTGAGATGGTTTTCTGGGCGGCCACATTCCATTCACTAGTCGAGCATTCAATGCTGATGGTGAAAAGTCCTGCAGCTCTGTACCTGTGGGTCACTTTGCTGGGAGACCTTCACAAATAAAACAGTGACAATAGTCAAGCAGATTTACAGTCCACAGTTGGTCTCCAGCACAACACTGTGCTGTTCACGCCAGATTCATACTGTAAGAACTGTAATTTCATTATTAGAACTGATGAAATAACACAATAATGTGATAGGACATACATGCCACAATTCTTGACCAAATATCCTCACACAAAGTAATTATTATCCTTGGGGGTGTGGGGAAGTAACGGGGGAATGGGGGCGGTTCTCAGAGATCAACCAGCTTTCAGGAGTTACATCAGATAAAGCCTCTATGGTTCCATATGACAATTCTACACAGCTGTGTGTATCTCTCTTGCTTCAGCCAACCTCACCATCAGGCAAAACTCACTGTAACGGATTATAGGGGTCAATCACAAAGCCGTCTCCAGTGCTGAGCGTGCAGGTGAGATTCCCAGAATATGGATGCAGCAGCCACTGTTGAGAGATTGTTACGTTTTCTAGGAGCGAGTACAAATCGTCAACCAACAGTCGAAGACCTAAGGAAAACATCACAAGAAAAATCAGGTTTCATCTTCTGCAGCAGCTTCACCCAGGTGGGGATACTTTCTTCTGATCCTTTTGCCATCATTAAATGTAATGATTTTATCACGAGAATATTTTATGTTTCTCACCAAAGACAATCATCGTTCTCAACAAAACAGGATTAAATAGCTCTGGAGCATCAAATCAACAAGGAACTCAGCGTACTTCAGTTTATTGTTGTAGTTAACGCAGTTGTTAATGTTAATGATTTGCTGATGTTTTTCTTACCCTCTTTGCAGTGATATTCCACCACAAGATAGCTTCCCAGACTCGGACAAGGATCTCCAAAAGATGTGGGGTCAGCTGAAGCCTGGCAAACCTGCAGTCCATGACAGTCACCTTAAAGACAGATGGCTGATTTAGATTTGGCATCTTTAAATAGTCAAGAAAACAGCAACAACTTGCAACAACTTGCATTTATATAGCACCCCTTACACAGGGTAGTAGTGTCCCAGAGCCCTTAATGTGTAAAGCATTAAGCACTAATATGACGTTACTCTCATTGAACAAAAGGGAGAAGAGAGAAGAATGAAGAAGAAATCAGGTGAAAACCAACTCAGAGATAATATGAAGTTGATGATTCTGATTGGCACAAATCTCCCTGCTGAGGAAGCCATTCTATTCTTCAATGGATTTTTTTTCTAAACAAAAAGAAAATACAAACTTGCTTCCTTCTGTTTAATGTTTGTTTTTTTATTCAATTAATAAATCATTAATCAGTAATTAAAGGACTTCATTCTCGGCTAAATATCTTGAAAGAGAGCAGCATCAAGCCTGTAACAAATGGTTTGGGCAACGTCATGAATAACGAGATCGTCCCTCCAATATATCTTTACGCTTTGACAGAAAGACGTTATAGAAATTATATAACGATAAGAACTTAGAACTCTTTACACACCATGAAAAAGCTACCGGTACCTGCCACTTGCTCTCTCACGTCAACCCAGCCGCATTCTTGTGTCTCGGGTGGAGAGGCAGTCTCCGAGGAACAGTAAGAAAGGGTTTTTCGGCCATAAAAGCTGTTGTCAATTTGAATCACCTTCCCTGACTCGCACTGCAACGTTGCGTTAACGTGATCACAGGCCAGTGTTCGACCAGACTCTGAGAAAGATAATGCCAGCTTGAATCAGTTATGCCAACATGTTGTGCAAACAATAATAATAATGCACCCGGTATAGCATCTTTCACATCAGGAGGATGACCCAAAGCACTTCACAGGATTTACTGGAGTGCATTCTTCCCTCTACACCCCTCACTATGCTCATTGTATTTGTACATACTATTGTTCATTATTGTGATCTACTGCACCGACTGTCCCTAAATCTACACTTTTATTAAAGAAACGGGATCTATTTCTTTCTTACCAAATTCACAGATGAAGTAAAGCTCTTGGCTGCAGTTGGGCGTGCTGAGCCAGTGGTAGGCAGAGTTTTTGGCGATGAAAGCACACTCTGCCGTGGCAGGCAATCGATGTGCTGGAGACCAGTTACTGTAGCTTAATTTGGTACCATCTAGCCAGGCCAGACCTCCTGCAGAGAAGCATCAGGCAAAATTACACTCCGATTTCCAACAGAAATATAACCTTCAATCTTGATAGTTTCAACATGTTAAAGCACTCTTTTTGAGAATCTTTCCCCAAAAAGTGCAAGTTACCCTCTTGTTTATCATCTACAGTGTATTCAGTGACCAACAATTGGAGCATGTGGCAGAACGATGACAATTGTATTTAGAAGTACTGAATTGTATTCAGTATAAGAGTTTAACCGTATTTAGACGAGAATTGGTGTGAGCGAGCACCATTTTCATGGCAGGTAATGATCCATCGCCATGTTTGGTGTGACAGGTTCCTTAACATGGACGGAGAGACGAGGAGAAATGGGTCTCTGACAGCTTGTTTCACCTCCTCCATAGTTTAATATCACTGTTTTGTAACAGGGCGTAAGAGAACTTTGTGGACATGCTGTACAGTTGATTTGTTGAATAAAAAACAAGCATTCTGGCACTATCCCCTACAGCACTAAACTACTGCACACAGACCAGAAGGCTGCTGGTTCAGTTCCTTGGTTGATCACAACTAGATAGATGGCGGTGTTGGCTTTGCAATTGATCTTAATGCTCCTGGGATAGAGGGGAGGCAGAGTGAATGAGCCTTCAAGCTACTGATTAAATGAGCCTTCAAGCTCCTGATTACTATTGATCTGGAAAAATGAACCGTGTGCAGGCATTTTGTGGGAATGAGTTTATACATGTAATCAAATGTAGATTATCTAACAAAGAAAACATTTTTTTTATTATTATTACTAATATATTACTAATATGTTTGAAAAGAATTTCTTGCCAAATGTAAATGATTAACTGAGCAGAACAACAATGTGACTAACCTCAAGTGTGAAACAAATGAATAAACTCCGAGTGAGTTGGCAAACTGCTAGCAATATCTCAAATGGCAGCTATTTGCAGTTTTTTCGTATCAAAGGTGCTGCCAAAAATTCAAAATCTTATTTCCATGATATTTCTTTTCACCCAGCAAAACCCACAATCAAAGCAGTGTAAACCAGAGCCCTATGTGCAGTCTGCTTGCCAATGCTAAGCACAACTGTGAACATCATTTGCACGTGTCATTAAAACATTTTATTAAGTAAACATTCACAATTCCTTTTAGATACTGATCTAACTGATGCACATTTCTAACATTTTTTATTCCCCCCACCACCCCCACAATTTCGGCTACTGATTTAGTACCTGTTGGTCTGTTTATAAAAATCTGTTTTATTTTACAGAAGTGGCTATTTTTGTCCAACGTAACACATGCTTTTAATAGCTTGGAACAGACATCACGGTACTGTGCAGCATAACCTTCTGACTCAGAGGCAAGACTGCTACAGAATGATTCAAACCATTAACTAAATCCATCCATCGACACCAACATCGTAAACAAGCTCACAGAGCTGTGAAATAAGGACGTATTTTAGAATCTGTGGCTTTGATTTCCATGCGACAGGCTTGGTAGCTTTCCGGTGAAAAAAGGTAGTAAGTTATACTGTAGTTTAACTCAGAAGAACTTCCTCTTCGACCTTATCTACGGTCACCAATCCCCGCTTGGCGTTGTGCTCACCCACTGTCAAGCGCTCTGGTGCGCTACCCGGCTGACCAAAAAAAACTTATCATTCGCTTTTTATCTGTTTGTCAGACCTTGCTGTGCACAAATTAATTGGCTGTCTGTATTTGCCAACAAATACACAGTGACCATGCTTGACCTGCGAAGCAGTTTCAAATGTTTCAATGTTATAGCACTCTATCAAATGAAAGGATTGTTATTATTGTTATGATCTGGGCCAGATGCTCAGAATTTAGCAATATCAGTCAGCAGCGAGACGGTCCAGGCTACAAAATATTCTAACGTTTGTTAAATAAGTAGTTCAAAATTATGAGGCAAAATCCAGCTAACATAAACAAATAACTAGGAGTTAGTGAAAAGGTGAAAGACAGCGTTTATTCCAAACTCCTACTTTCATCCACTTTCATATACCTTCAGCGATGGTTCGTTCCTGGGTTAAGTTCTCTTTCCACGGTGCCAGCCCGATCCACCAGTCTCTGCCTGCTGCCAGACTCTTCTGCAGAAACTCTTGCGTTTCCTGGCGGAGGATGAAGGCGAGATGCCCACCTCCCCGCTCACACCAACCCTGGGCGCTCCGAAACGTGCGCTGCAACTTGACTGCTTCATAACAAGCATCCTGAAATGCCAGCTGCTGCTCAAAGCAGGGCTCTGCCTCGCTCCCTCCACCTAGAGACAGCGCAAAAATTAATAAGAAGAAACCTTCCAAACACATCTCCATCTCTGACCGACCAGAGGATCAGAGGTACTTTGCTGTGCAGGGTCTCCTCTTTGTAGTGCACTCGAAACTGATCCCAAGCTGCACAGGTCTATTGAAAATCTGAAAGGCACTGAAACAATAGACAGCAATAGATTTTGTGGCATTGTTTACAGCAGAATAATAAATTGCCATCCCCGGTAAGCAAACAATAATGAAACCATTACCAGCTATTGAGGCCTGTTGTATAAAATTTACCACAATTGCACGGAGCCATCCATTAAAGTATCATCTTCCCTCCAAGCCCATGAAAGTCAAAGATAACACAGATAGACGTTATTCTTTCTTTATTAGACATGTGCAGGGTTGAGATAATAGTCTTTTTAAAAAGAAAAAACACTAATTGCCATCTGTTGACTTGATAAGGAGTGGCATCATTCTCGCTGGTATTGTTATAGAATCAGATACAATCTTATTGGGAATGGTAAGACAAGTAATACAAGTGACATAATTCACTACTATAGAAACACCCCATCATTCATATTAATTGCAGCTCTTTTATTGCTGTTTTCCCCTCTTGCCCTCTTCCTACTGCTTCGCTCCAATGGCTGTGAAAGGTCCATAGTGGGCAAGAACACCTGATTGCCAACCTGCAAATGATGCCAATTTCCTTATTTTCCCTTACATTCCAGCAACTTTACCGGAAAGTTTTAATTTCGTTAAAAAGGCAAATGTTCAATACCAATGTTTAATGAATAGCCCTGGTTGAGTCATGTGGGTTTAACAGTAAATCTCTAGCTTATTCAGGGAACTGAGTGCTCCATCCACAGATTAGAATGACTCACACGCATATAAACAAGAATGTCACTCACTTCTTACCACTGTGGTTGAATTTGCTGTTTTGGTAACCGGGTGAATGATCATAAAATTTCCGAATTACAGTTTTGCCCTCGAATCACCTCAAAACAAAAACATCTGAAAAGTGCTTTAAATAAAGCACAACGGTTCAAACAACAAACAATGCCCTTGGAAACAAAAGAAAAGGCAATAGAACAAAATAATTTTCTATTCATCGAATTTTACAACCTAGCTTCTTCTCACTTGTTGAACCCCAGCTGCTTAGTATTTAATAACTCAGCTAGTCCAGACTCTCATTATGGCTCACATTAAAAAATACGAGGTTTCATAACTGATTTGATGTGATAATTATCCCAAACAACATGTTTTTCATCCTTAATGGAGCAAACTTTGTTTTTTCTCCCAAAATCTATGGGCTCAGGTCCCAGGGCATTGCCGTCAAATCGAAACACATTTGAAGGCCCTGGCATCATTGTCGACAACTTATTGTGAAGCCTCATTCAAGGTTGCTCTCAGGCAAGCTCCGCTAAATATTTGCAGACTCAAAAGAACAGGGACAAAATTTCATGGAAACAAAGTCTCGTCCTCTGCATCTGTGAGGTTTCAATACAAAAATTAGGAAGAACTGGTTTGTTCAAAGCATCCATCAGCACACCAGCCACCCCTCAATGGAGAGCCATTTGTAAACCACACAGTACAGTAATAATGCCTCTGTTTGATATGCAGTTATTTGTATACAGTGTAGGAAACAGTTCAAGAGAAAAACAATAAAAAAGCAAACATTGCAGTTCTCATGTTTATCAGCCAAATTCAATTAAGTCATTGAGTTATATGACCATATTTTGATTAACAACCCACAATCTCTGTTTTGCTTCAATGCTGAAAATCAAGTTGACGAAGTACAAAGGTTCTTTAAGAACTTATTCCATTATTCCAAGAACTTATTGTCCTTGGTTTAAAGAAAAAGCAATTAAAGCTGCTACAAGTATATCCCAGAAATCTTACAGTTTTTTTAAAAAATAAACCCCTTGGAGGACAATGCCCCTTTTATCTGCTCAAAATATAAAACTCTATCTGATGGTTAAGCAAGTTTCATGTATATCCTCTATTTTGATGTGAAGAGAACAGGAAAGGGTTAATCCCCTGCCTCTTTCTTTGATCAATGCTTGAAATCCAGCTTTTTAAATCAATTTGTTCACATTGGGATTTGCTTCACTTCGGGCTTGCAATATCGGTGGTTGGCAAACAATTTCACTTTAAAGTTTTAAACCCCAATCAATATTAAGACCCAACAATTAACCCAAGAGCCCACCCTCACACTGCCCTGAGCAACAATGGTAAATCAAGTCTGCATGGAAATATTTAACATACAGAGATAGATTGTAGATTCAAATCTTTAACTATTCTACAAATACGGTTACGATCTTGTTGGCCTTGGTAAGTATTCTATAACTTTCTTTTGACACAACATAATTTTATTGGCTTCTTTATCAAAAAAAACCCCACTAAATCTCACATCATACTTTAAAAGTTAATGATTGCCCTGCGTATCAATGTAAATATTCATAATTTGATGCTCAAGAATCAAAGCAAACCCTCGTAAGGATTAACCTTTTACATTCTCTTCATTCTTCATTAACTGAAAATATAAAAGTGAAGCTTGTTCACCACGACTCATAAGTTACTAATATTCTAAGAATCTAAACTACTAGGACTCTCAGAAATTCAAAGATGGAGTATTGGATTCAGGATCACCTCTAGCATCCCATCTTCCAATCCATTTTGATAGGCAACCCCAAAGGATACACAGTTCAAGTGTTAGCTCAATACAATACATACCTGCCATCTAGGCAATTCAAGCAAATCAATCAGCTGTTTTGCATTCTGCCACTATGATCCCTGTATTCACCATATAAATTATGTGTGTAAGAATAAATAATAATCCTAACAGGTTACCTAATTCAATTAGATAAATATTATCTAAATATATATGAGCGATTTGGACTTTGGGACATGCAAAGATCATGCACATACTTTCCTATCTGTAAGATATCTAACCAATGTACACTTGAACACTGATTGGATATTCATTATATTGTATAGATAGAGGAAGAATATTTCACTCCTTAATACTAGACAACTTTGAGTGCCTGGGCTCACTGCAGTTAACTCACAACGACCTGATTTACCAACCAAGCATGATTACTTTCACAGAAGGACTTTAGATTGTGGTTTCATTAAGACATGAAGGAATAGCTTTGCACAGCATTACTGAATTGGTCAGAACAGTAAATTGTCACAAAAATCACTATCAAATAATCCTTGCATTCCATAGAGCGATCATGATAACCACGCATTTCATAGGTAACTGATGTTAAATGTGCATTCGTAGTTAAGTACAGCAAACACTTTGCTCACACAGCAATGTCTGACAAACAGCTCTGAAGTGAAAGTCTTCCCTTTTTGAATTGTGTTATGGGATCAACCATGTATGTCCATATATAAATAAATGAGCCCAGCATTCACAAAATACTGAAAGATCTTCTGAATGAGGATTCATTTGAGTTGAAAGTTGAACATGTTGTTATGTCAAACATAATTGCTGCTGCCTTGTTAATCAATTTTGCACAAGTGTGTGAGAAACAGATGAAAGATTCAGAGCTTAGCCTCATTTGTAATATTTCAGAATAATATTGTCAGGTGAAATGTTACAACGAGAGCAAGTTGAACAACTATCACATTTGAAGTCTGTTCAAACCTACTCAAACTATGAGGATTAGGTATTAACACATTACGGATTACACTGCAGTTAAAAAGCTTAGTGGTGGTAATCTCATACACATGATATGTACATAGGTGTTTTGCATGTGATTTCATTAAATAGGATTAATAAAGCAGAAAAGATTGAGGGAGTATTTCTCAGTTTGGTAAAGTTAGCAAACAGTGAGACTGGAGTAAACAAGTGCAGATTGTTTCCAAGAACAGAAACATAACATATTACAGAAATGTCTCAATTTGCTCAACCCTAGGAACAGGTGGAATAGTGGCAGCAGCAATTATGTTTGACATTCTACTTCCAACTGAAATTAATCCTCATTTAGAAGATCACTGCCCTCTTCGACTGTGCTTACGGTCATTTCCTCCCTCCCCCGGCTCGGCATCAGGCTCTGCCACTGTTAATTGCTCCCAGATGCTACCCCACGTGAAGGGCTCTATATAACTGCAAGTTGTTGTTGATACGGAGTTATAACGCTGTGGGTTCAAGCACCACCAAGATGTCTGAGTGAGCAGTGCTGACACTTGAACATCACCCATAGTCTCTTTAATGAAACAAAAATCTGGTGATTCCTCAGTTTTGAGGAACTTGATTTCAGGAGCACTGCCTGCAGATGAGTTTTAAATTGCAAATAATGTAAGCACATAGCTCTTTCAGAATCAGCACAAGTATGATGGGCTGAAAGCCCCCCTCACTCTTCTGTTCGAAAGCTTTTATCCTAGTTCTGGGACCAGTATTTAGGAAAGCAGCACAGGTATCGCAACAGGTGTACAAGTGGCTGAGAGAGAGAGCTCTACAGCCCATATCACCCAGTGTGTGATGGGCTTTGCCTGCACATGGCTGAGACACCATTGGAGAAAGGTGAAACGAAAAGCGCTTGTTTTTTAAATAAACAATGACACATCTCACTTTGACGTGTTATATTAGATAACAGAAAGCAACTTGTGATTGTGTCCCTCCTGCAGCCTCCTTCAAGCCTCTGCTTTCCCATCTTTGTTTTCATCTGGAACCGGTGCTAAATAACTTGTGTTCTCATTAACTTATGAAGCTGAACACTGCATAAAGGGTCAAGTCTAAAACGTTCTATTCTCAGCGTGCAGTTAACAAAACAAGAGAATGAAGGGGTGAGTGTTTATGGTTGTGAATTTTTTTCAGCTATGTAATCCTCCTGTTCGGTTTCCGCATTTCAATGTAAGGTTTACCCCATCTGCAAATGTCTTGGGAAACTCCTAAACTTGCAAATGAAACAGGGTAAATCAATCACAAGCACATCAAGTGGAACAAAGACTCCTGAGCCAGGTAAAAAAAAGTAGCAGGTAATGATCAGGACAAGAGATGCCGTTCAAGTCAAACAAATCAGAAAGTGTAAACAGAGCAATGTTCCTTTAATGAGGAAAGTTGATAACATCTTTGTCTTAATCCATGAGTGCTTCACGTTAAAAAAGGACAGAGGAATGACTGAGGCTCGAACAGTTAAATCACTTTGAGAGTCTCTGTTTCAGAGTTCAGGAGCACTTTGAAGGATTGTTGATAAAAGTGAAGAGCGTTTATAAACGGCACTTTCTTTCCTTGCAAAATGCAGTCACCTCATTTTATAAGATACCGTGTGAAGAGCTTTGAGGCTTCCTCTTAATGAGAAAGGCGCTGTGCCAAATTAAAATATCGATACTTTCAAGAATAAATTAAATATCTGTTAGGAAATAACATCTCGGGATACAACATATAGTTTGTGACATGAACATGTGTGCGACTGCCAGGATGATGGAAGGCAAAGTAGACGAACCTTGGTCTTCATTCACCTAGTAAATTATGTTCTTACGTAAAAAGTTTATTCTTATGAGATGAGAGAGTGGTGAGGGGGAGGGCGGGACCTAGATGTAAACATAATGCAGAGAGGGTAGTTTAAGCAGGCTTTATGTTTCCACTTTAAATAACGGTTGACTCAAAACTGTTTAAACACTTGCTGTGGGGCTTTAACCATGTGCCTGGCCTTTCCCCCAGATCGGGTCAGGAAGCTGCAATTTCTGAGTGGAGCTGCAATAACACTGAACAGCAATGACAACTTCCCACCCCACACACACACCACATAAACACACACCTCCTGGATTGTCAGAGTGGAGACAGCGGCTGTATAAATAGCGTAAAGATTGCGAAAGAGACTGTACTTTCTGTGGACTGTACTGAACTGTACTCTCCCTCTCGCGCTCTCCAGAGCAGCTCATTTGCAATCGGTCATCATGCAATCATTCTTCGGCAACAATAGGAGGGAGAGCCCAAAACCTGTCAAAGCACAAATTCGAGGTGAGATTATTTCTTTACTGTTATTGCTTTTCTTTTAATAGTCAAAGAATGTTTACGGCACAAAGCAGGAAGTTCTCAGCGGCAGACAAAGAAATGCACTTGATACTATAATGTCTTTCATAATGTCTTTGTACTTTGCCTGTGGGGTTGGGGTGGGGGGTGGGAACAGAGTTAAAGGGACATTTAAAATACGAGAAGTAAATAGGGTTATGTAACCTTCCATTCACATGGCAAACAGTCAACAATTGATCAATGTTGAACCATCATAAGGTTATGAACGTTTATCAGTGAGTAAATGCAATTTATATTGTATTTAATAACTGATATTTTCTATTCGATTATATAGGGAGTGGAGCTTCCTGCTTCCCTAAATTGTTAGAGAGAAATCCCTGAGCAAATGCAACAGTCAGTGAGTGACAGTTCATGACAATTAGCAGAAATAACACAATAGCAGACATATCAGAGCAGCAGCTTGAACCGCTGTGATGTGTTGGTGTATGTACATTAACATATAAATCGTATAAACTGTTGTTTATACAATGACCTGTGGAATAACATGTAATTTGCAGGCTGCGGGGTAAGAGCAGGGGAGTGGGACTATTTGGTAGCTCTCTCAAAGAGCCTGCACAGTCACGGTGGGCTGAATGGCCTCCCTTCTGTGCTGTAAGATTCTGTAATTCTATAACTCAGGGAGTACTTGAGCTGTACAATGGGCTTCACAATGGAACCTGTTCCGTCTGCCTCTTCAGGTGGACAGTTAAAGATCACTCCCAACTCGAAAAACGGTGAGAGTTTCTCTCTCCAAGTATCCTGGTTGACAATTCTCCAGATAAAATTGGTCATTCACAGCATGGCTGTTTGTGGCACATTGCTGTGTGCAGATTGGCTGCGAAGTTTGCCTACAAAATACGCACTTGACAGTAAATCCTGTGAAGTGCTTTAGGACGTGCTGTAAGATTCTATGATTCTACAATTCCATAACACAGGAAGTACCTGAGCTGCGCAATGGATTGCTCGTGTGAAAGGCGCTTTCCCAAATGCAATTATTATTGTTAGTTATTTCAAAATTGGAAGCGATAATTTGTGAATTGCATATGGTACTCTTGTTCGCATTAACTTCAAACGCTGTGAGCAGTGAATAGTAGCAGTCATGTTACGTTGCGACTTTTTTTTAAAAAAAGGTGAAATTCCAAAATGGTTACAAGGGACGCTTATTCGGAACGGACCCGGAATGCACAAAATCGGAGACACTGTGTACAACCACTGGTTTGATGGGATGGCATTGCTGCATTCTTTTACCTTCAAAGACGGTATGCTACTATTGAGCTCAAATGACCCATCGTTATATGTGGGATTTAAGAATATTAGAATCAGCTAACGAACCATATCCATTTATACCCAATTATTTGCAAATTGATGTTATCAGCAATAGGAATGAACCTGAATGTTACAAATCATAGGATCATAGAATCCTACAGCACAGAAGGAGGACATTCAGCCCATCGTGCCTGTGCCAGTTCTTTGAAAGAGCCATCCGATCAGTCCCACTCCCCCTGCTCTTTCCCCTTGAATTAGTGCAGATCGCTAGCTCGGGCTGGTTGAGACAAGTGGCTTGTTTCCGTGCTATACATTCTCTGTAATCTTTGCAATTAATTGCCTCCTACCCTGTTCCCTTTTAGATTCAGATAAAGTATGGGTCAGTTGAGGCTGACCAACTCCAGTACTCATACAACCCAGATGCTGTACTCCAGAAAATTGGTAAAGAAAATCCAATTCACACCTTGAATTTCTGATTCGCAAAAACTGAGATTGTGAATCAAAGCAGAACTCTTGTGAATGAATGGGGTTTTTTTTTTGCGTTTTTAAACATAGGTGAGATATTCTACAGGAGCAAGTACCTGCGTAGCGATACTTACAGGAGTAACATGGAAGCCAACAGGATTGTGGTGTCCGAGTTTGGAACAATGGCTTACCCAGATCCTTGCAAGAATATTTTTGCCAAGTAAGAATTACGAGCACCGAGAGTTCCAAAGTTATTTTACGGTCAAAAGAATGTTCCATTTATGATTAAAATTTGAAAATGTATTGCCGTCAATTTTATTTTAAGGTCAGTTTTTTGTTAAATATTTACAGGGCGTTTTCCTATCTGTCGCACACTATTCCAGATTTCACTGATAACTGTTTGATCAATATAATAAGATGTGGTGAGGATCTCTATGCATCAACAGAGACCAACTATATCAGAAAGATAGACCTGGAGACTCTTGAAACAAATGAGAAGGTGAGGTGCTTTAGAGAAATATTCACGGATTCTAATTCAGGCCTTTAGGGTTAATATATAAACAAACATAAAGGATCAATTAAATAGGTTAAATAGAATACATTCAGCGGAGTTGATGACATGCTTTTCAGACCAAGTTAGATTGGAAAGATTCTCACCCTCACAATGTAAAAGGTATTTTCACCACGTATTCTCCTTGATTTTAGGCCATGGTAAATATACAACAAATTTGCATATATATATAGAGTTTTTTATAACGTCAGGAGGATTTCCCAAAGTGTTGGTAAAAATATATTGATTTAGTTAACAAATTAATTTTAAGAGGGATGGAGATGTCATTCAGTGCAAAATACATTTGTCTAGTTGTGGTTTAACAGTGGCTGGTTGTATGTACTGAAGGCAGTTGAGATGGACATGAACTGGGATAGATCCAGTGAGGCAAGAGGTGCCACTAATTGCATTATGGCTAAAGTATCTTGTATCAAGAATGAGTAATTCAACAGGAATGTCATAATTGATGGAAAACATTGTACATCGAGACTATTTTAGTCACCCCCAGAAATTGTGTGATAACAGGTTTGATCTCTTCATGTATTTTTTTCCCCCGAATTCAGCACTGTAACCCTGAGGAAAATTATTGCTTTTAAATTGGTAAATCGCACTGAGCAGAAAATAAAAATAACCGTTTTAAAAACCTTTGTTCCATTAAAATAGGTTGACTACAGAAAATACGTAGCTTTGAACTTGGCCACGTCCCATCCCCATTACGATACAAATGGAAACACTTACAACATGGGCACATCCATAGGAGACAAGGGGAAGACAAAGTACCAGATTATAAAGATACCACAAAGTAAACCAGGTAATTCAGAGCTTGGGTTAGCTACTCCTGGAGTTTTAGGTGCAAGTCGAGCTACTGTGACTTAAGGGGGTCTTCTGGGTTCAGAATAGAGCAACTCAACTGAAAAGCTGAAACTTTCAGAGGAAACTCCGTGATACCTTTAGATTGGATTGCATAGTTGTTAACTTCCCCAATCGCCTCTAAAACATTTCTCTTCAAGCACTCTGTTTCTCTGTTTTCAAATAGGTGACAAGGAGCACGCGTGCTTTACAAATTGTGAAGTGATATGTTCCATCCCTTCTCGTTCGCTACTCAGACCCAGTTACTTCCACAGTTTCGGAATGACTGAGAACTACATTGTCTTCATCGAACAGCCGTTTAAACTGGATATTCTTAAACTGGCGACTGCCTACTTCAGAGGAGTGAACTGGGCCAGCTGTCTGGGGTGGTATCCGAATGACAAGGTATTCTCATCCTGTACAAGTAACTGGTTTGATGACGTTTTATTTGCTTTGTACAAGCCCAAGTACTGCTGATTAACATTAGCATGTTACAGAGGAACCCTGCTTTAATGCGCTTTATTTTAACACTGGTTTGCTTATTCAGATGTGCTATACAACATTTATTTTCCAAACAATCTAAGATACACACAAAATGCCTGTTGCACATGTGCAACACACAGGAATTGACAGCAGCAGCTGGAACAAAAGAATTTCTATGCTCACACAATACCCAGTGACTACACTTTGCAGCAAATCCTGTGAAGCGCTTTGAGATAGCTCGAAGATGTGATAAGTGCTGCATCGAATAATGCTGCAAGGAATATTTATCATTCATTTTATATATTTTTCAGACATATATTCACCTTATAGATAGAGAGACAAAGAAGATTTTATCTACGAAGTATTACACAGATGCCTTGGTAGTTTACCATCATGTCAATGCCTATGAGGAAGATGGCCATGTAATCTTTGATATTGTCGCGTACAATGATAACAGTTTGTATGATATGTTTTACCTGAAAATCTTAAAGCTGGATGATGCTGCATTCGAAAAACAAGGCAAGACTTTCTCCTCTCCATCTTGCAGAAGATTTGTTATCCCACTACAACATGACAAGGTAAAGCATCACCCTGTCTGTTTTCCTACAATAAGCTATTACTGTCTAGCAGGACAGTATATTCTGTGTAAGCAGTGGAACTGAGAGACTGGTTATAGCATTGAACAATTGAGATGGCACAGCATAAGACCATTTCACCAACAATGTCTGTGTTGGTGGTAAACCCCCCTGATGAAATCATCTGATCCACTCCCAAAACCCTACTCTTTCATATTATTTTTCCCAAAGTATTTATCTAATTCCAGGTTAAACGCTGCCATGGATTCAGTTTCAAGTGCCATTTGGGGGTAAGGGAATTATTATTCGACCAACCCTCTGTGGAAACCTCCTCCTTTTGTCCTATCGGCAATAATCCTAAAATTTGAATAAAGTAAAGATTTAGCATCATTGGTTATCTGCATCTGAATCCATGCCAGCAGAATAGGATGCTCTCCTTGGGAAAAGTTACACAATCTCACTAGAGTAAATTTGTTAAATTAATGGAATAAATACAAAGGACTAACCATTACTCATTCATAGTCCCAACAGCCTATCAACAGCCTATCAATACTATCAAGGGAAAATGTTGGAGACACTTGGACCAGTCAGTCTTGTTAATCTGCACTTGTGCACCTCTAGTATGACTACAGCTCTCAGGAGAGCGGTATGGCAAGAAATGGTATTGTATTAATGCTGTCACTTTTATAGAATGTAGAATTAGGCACAAACATTGTCACACTTGAAAACACAACAGCAAGTGCACTGAAGGAGAAAGATGGATACGTGTACTGCAAGCCTGAAATATTATTTGAAGGTAATTCAAGCAAAGGTTGTTGATTGATACTGATGGATTATAAATCAGTAAGGGCTTAAATAGACCTTTATTAATTGTTGGNAAAAAAACATAATTAAGTGTTAAACTCTTCTATCTTCTTTATCAATTGTCTTACTAACTGTAACAGGCCTGATGTTATAACCAAATATTAATGATGTAATTGTTTACAAGAATGGAGAGATAACAGTATACTTTAAATCCACTTTTGCAGTACATTTGTTTGTCCCATGGTAGCTCCATACTTCAAACAGCAATAATTGGGTTAACAGGAATTGATTTGGAAAATCAGCTGGAAGCAAATTAAGTTCACTCTGTGCACTCTGTGAATTTAGTCATTCTGTTTTATATTAAGATCACATTGCCAATGAAAGGCCTTCCTGCTTTTGAAAGTTAATACAGACGAGAAACTGCAAACTTCAGTTTATCAATAGTAAATTATCTTCATTGGAGTTATATCCTACTTATATCCTACTTCATAGAATTGTGTTGCACAAACATAATCTGCACTTCAGGAAAAATACAAAGATATACAAAGCAAATTTTACTTTCATTCATTATATTATATTTAATTGCTTTCCAGGAATAGAACTGCCGCGGATAAACTATGATTACAATGGCAAAAAGTACCGATATATCTATGCATCCAAGGTTCAGTGGCGTCCAGTGCCAACAAAGGTACAGTGTGGGGTTGTAAAGGAATGAGAAGAGAATGAAGTAGAAAATGGAGTATTTATTTTTACATAAGTCATTTTTGACAATTTGTATTGGCCATATCGCTTTGTATTTAAAGAAAAGCACTCTTGTCATGTCACAATCTCTCTGTAAATTCCTTGAAAGATGGTGAATGACAAGCTATAGCCTTGAATTAAAAACTATTTCTCACTTACCTAAGTCCTTTCTTAATGCAAGTGTGAATAAGATGATGAATCCAAGGAAAGTGTGGCAACTATCACTTGTGTTTATATAGGGCTCTTCAAGGGGATAGTATCTCAGAGAGTTTATGCACCCAAGTTCTTGAAACAGCGCTTTCAATTAGACTTCATAAATGCTTGAACCTCGGAGCTTCAAAGCAGAAAAAAAATGGTTTGCTCTTTGTATAAGGCATAGTTTGAGAACACAAATCACTTTAAGCCTCTTCTTTTTTCCATTTCATTAAAAAAAATGTAAAAATATTTTCCAGATCATAAAATGTGATATTCTGACTAAAACCTGTTATGAATGGAGAGAGGACCACTGCTGGCCGGCAGAGCCAGTCTTTGTCAGAGCTCCAGAGGCCAAAGAGGAAGATGATGGTGACTATCATTTGTTTCATTCCATGTGTCTCTGAGAACTAGTATCTGAGACTCAAATCAGATCTTTAAATCAATGTCATTAAAGTCAATGTCAATAAAATAGGCTCGTATCAAAATAATTAACTTTTTTTCTAAAAATATTGATCACTTTCATTTTCTTAATAATTGTTAAGTCTACATTATTAAGTATCCCCGTATATAAAATAAACAATTTATACATAGATTTATTATAGTAAACTTCACAAAAGTCATATCAGTTGGAATTGTACATTTAATATGACTTCTGCAAAGTATGAGATACCGTGTATGCATGGATGTAATTATATATATAACAACTTATATATAATAGATTTATTATATATAAATCATTGATTTTATTTATAATTTATAATGTATAAAATAAATGATTTATTTTATTGGTAATGACTAATCTGATATCAACAAGTGTCATCCAGTCAGTTCCACCACTCATAAGTGATAGCATTTAGAAAACAATTTCAAGATTAGGTATTTTAACTTTTGCAGATTAAACATCAGTTGCAACAATGCACTACACTGAAATGCACATTTAAAAGAACCTATAACATACTGGATTTGTATTTGAATTGTTTTCCAGGTGTCCTGCTTTCTTCCATTGTGTCCTCTGATCCCAAGACATCCTCGTTCTTGCTCGTCCTTGATGCGAAAACTTTTAAAGAACTGGGTCGCGCATCAGTTACAGCGGACATACATCTTGACCTGCATGGTCTCTTCATTCCTGAAAAGTAGCTGAGTACAAAACTACAATAAAACTAAGTAATTTCTGGAGAAGTCCATCATCAAGAAGTTAGCTTCCTTCAAGTCCCGCCTCAAGACCCTCCTCTTCGACCATGCCATCGGCTACCCCCCTTCCTCTCCCCTCCCCAACTCCAGCTTGGGTCTGATATGCTGTACACTGTCCAGCGCCTTGGGGCGTGCTTCTGACGTGAAAGGCACTATACAAATGTAATCTTGTTGTTGTTAGTGATATCCAAATTGGACACCGTCATAGGACTAAATGAAATGCTCATAGCTGGACATAATACTGAAATTACAAAATCTGTGGCACTCATTCCAATTCTGAACCATCTTACATAAATTATTTAAATGAAATTGCTGTGTACAAAGAGAAATAATTAAGTCAACTTCTTATTTACCCTTTTGCAGAACAAAACATCACATTTATCAGATAGTTTTTATTTAAAAACAGCCATGATGATCTGCGAAATCTGAGATCAGTACAACTTATTGACAAGAATGTAATCAATATTAATTTCATGTTTAGTGAATGTAATTTTTTTAATATTATTCCATGAAGGTTGTTTAGGCAGAACTGTAGTTTTTGTGCGTTCTCTAACAACGTATGTTTTCTGTGCAACCACTAACATAATGTATACTTACTTTTATTTATTGTAATTCATTTTGGTTTCTCAATTAGTGAAAGCGCCATAGGTGTGCAATCAGATTGTTCAATGTAGTGTTAGAATTGTGAGCTAATATATTTTTGCAAGTTGTGACAAATATTTAATTGTCTGTGTGTTAAAATACAGATTTGTCTAACCATACAAAAGCCCTGAACAATTAAAACATAGCTGCTTGGAATGAACATGCTTTGTAATGTGTACGATGTTGAGTCCATGGATCATGGGGAGGGAATAAACACGTTAATCACTAGGTCATAGAAAAATAAAATAGTATTATAATGAAAACACTAACACTGTGCCAAAATGTCATATTACCAAACAATAAGTCTTATTTTATCTGAAATGTGATGTCGAGAGTCCTGCGCAATAGCACAGCCTTTTAATCCAATTTGGATTCTTGTGAGTGTCATTTAATTAACATTGCTAAATCCTTATTAAGGCATTATTTAATAAATTACTGTGATCCTAATCTTACCTAAATACAAATGGTTCACTGAAATAAATGTTTTAAGATTAAGCTATTAAATACTTCACAGATTCCGTGACTGTTGGCATGTTTGATTTTGTATCGTTGTGCGATTACTATGGCATTGGATGCTCCCCATTCTGAACTGCAGTTGGAGTCAATGCAACAAACAACCTGGTGACCTTGGCTGTTGTTATTCAGTCACTGCTTTAAACACAAGTCCAATCAATAAACTAGATTATGAAGTACTTTACCTCCAACAAAGATCTCTTTCTGACCTATGTTAGTAAACAAACCTCGTACCCCCTCCCCAAAAACGGTATCATTTGCTTCTGCGAATCAGTTTAACACATAGTGATGAAAATAGACACAAAATGAGTGCCTATTGTGTGTGACTACATGACAGGAAAGAAAGTGAACAAAAATTTCAACTTAAATGCCAGTTTGTGTTTGTTTCCAATCAAATGAAAAAGACCTAACATTGGCTGTCATCACCTCACACAAACCCACTGAATTAGGTATGAACCTCTGACATCCCACCTTTAGCTCTTGTGAAAAGAGCTTCACATCCTGACACAAGTTCTCAAAGCATTCAAACAGATTTCCACCACAGGGATGGGGGGGGGGGGGGGGAAAGTAGACAGTGCAACACGACACAAGGGAAAAAGCACAACAACACTTTGAATTGGGGAGTAATGCATTTTATTCAAGAAGATAGTACAACATTTGACAGCAAATCCATAAAAAAATGCTTTCCATACATCCACATATCCTGTGCTTCGGGATCCAGAAACATTCTGAAACAACAAATACTGAATAATGACACACAAGAACTGTTTGCAGAACATGAAGACAAATTAATTTCAGTAATTGGAAAGATGGATTTACTTTTTTTTTAAAAACAGTATCAAATTTTGCTGATGGGTGAATATCGTCAGATCAACATGAAATTGGTGCATTTTCAGTCTAAAGCCACCATTAATTTGACATGGTGTAAAACTGACTGAAACTGATGCACGTTTAACTACAACTGAGGGTAACTACTTGATACAGTGGAAGAAACAGCCAACAGCAACAGGATTTAATTTTCTGAAAATTTTCAATTTAAATTTTGTCAATCGTTCAAAAGAACCTAATTTAAGTGTATTAAATAATCAGTCATTTGCACCAGCAATATCCTGCAAACAGCCATAAGGTGAATGAACAATTCAGATGGAGAATCAGTAGCTGAGAAACCAGGGAAAACGCCATTATTGAATAGTAGCAGATGGGATTTTGGTTTAACATCATCTGAAAGACAGCGCCTCAGGCAATGCAACATTCCCCCAGTACCACACCAATGAGGTGAATGAATCTATACTCCTTTATATGCCAAGTGAAGACATAATTGCACTTGAGGCAATTTGTTTCTCTTCCCTCCTCCACCTCCCCACTTAATACTCACTGGCTAATCTCACACCCCAAAGGGTCATTGGCTTCAGATGGGAAAACAAGAACAGAAAGTGCAATATTACATATTAGTAGAACCACCAAATCACAGATTGTTCAGTTAACAGAAAGCAATCTAGTCAAGACAGCCCTTTTAAGGAGAGTTCAGCATTTGATTCAGCAAGACACTGTGATCATTGGTTACTTTGATCACTTATGTTTCACCCACAAAAAATACTGCAGTCTCATCACTTTACGGCGAGCGCTTTGAGATGTCTCGATGGTGTAATAAGACACATCAACTGCAAGGATTATTTATATGTTGTACATTGTGGCTTCCCATGAATGCTACACAAGTGCACTCTAGTGGCAGAATTAAGTCTTGACATCTATTCCTCCCACGCCCTTCTTAAAACAAATGCAAAACCAGTTGAGATTTAAATTCTTTATTTCAAAATATAAACATACTAAACAAAACTTTGAACAGTCAGCGTCCACATTAATTTGCACGTGGAGGCAAATCAACCCACCAAAAAAAACTGATAAGAATCCAAAAGAAGCAACACATAGCTTAATCAAATTTACCAAGTACCAGATTTTTTCTTCCAAGTAAGAGTCTTTAATTAAGTATCTAGCTTATATTTCAAAGAATAGAATAAGCAAACTTCAACCTTTACAATACGTATAGTCACAGGACTGAAATAAAAGTCTTAAATATTTATTTGTTAAAATAAACAATTTCCCGCACCTTTGCAGTGGAGGTTAACATGCATATTCAGATCTTCAGTGGTGCTATTATTTTGCGCTTCACCAAAACAACACAGCAAGAATCATTCAGCCACCATTAGACAAACCATTTGCAAGGCAATATTTGCACGACAGAAAGTTATCCATTTAAGGAGTCTCATATCGGTCTGTTCTTCAATTTTAAAGCAGAGCAAAAACATCCACAACTATTCCGTGATTGATTTCCACCTTAAAGGTTGCGGTTGTGAAACGTCAATTACATTTTTGTAAGATGTTTGGCTGATGAAGTGCTTACATTCTGGGATATTTGAGAAACGTGGCCTTCCGCTTTCAAAACCTAAAACGACAGCTGCACATTTTGTGTTAAATTAACTGAGGTTGAGAGAAAACTGCTGATAAAGAGTCCATTGTGTACTATATTACCAGTAGTATTTAAATGATAAATGAGCAGATCGCATTTTCGGGGTCAAGAATATGCAGTCGTTGGTGTTGACAAGAGACAAAACCAAACACTGATAATCTGGTCACTACAGCTCTTTGTTGGAGAGTGAGGTTCAGCCAGGGGGGTTCAGCCAGAGAGTGGGGTTCTGACCCAATCAGAAACCCTTCACGATGCTTAAGAATATCCAAACAAACAGTTTCATGCATTGCCACCTAAAGAAGGAAGTTCTGGTGTTTGGAATGGAATGCTCTCTCTGTCCCCCCAAGAGGATCTCCTCCCTCCAGGGGATCTCAAAGATTATCCTAATAAAATAGGCACAATGGGAGGGAATAGGGAATGTCTGTGTGTGGGGCGGGTGGGAGGATGGGGGGAAGAGAGTGGGAAAGGGGTAGAAGGGGGGAACACCTTGTTCATTTGATTCTGGATCATAAGTTAATTTTTTTTTAAAAAAAACAAAGAAAAGTAGTACATCTTTTTCCAGATTCAGCTGCAGACATTATTTTGATTTTCTGTTTGTGAGCAAAGTACTGCACTTCATTCAACAATGTGACCAGCTGTGATGCACAAAGTAGTGATATGTCCACATATTACTACACTTCATCCCATCAGGAAATCACATTCAACCTTTCCAATCCCTAAATTTGCACAGAAGGCAAGAATGTCAATTATTTAAAAAAGCTGCATCTTCATATATTAAAAACTAGAATGATACCAATACCAATAGTTGGGGTGAAGAAGTGGGAGTATTTTCAACATGACAGGGGCACCATATTTATAAATTATGCATTTATAATTCATAATTATTTCTAAAGTATTTCAAAAGCACCATTACAAAACCTGAGGCGACTCCATAAATACTGCTATGGTGGGCACACCCAGAAAGTACTATGGAGATTCTAGGTTTCGCAAACAAAAAAAACCCAACAAGATGCTGCAGCCCCTTTAAGACTGAACCGCACACATTCCAGAAATCAGAATACAATAGAAAAAGGTTACACGCAAATAAATTGTCTAATGTAAAAAACTGGCATGTTCCAAGGTGAACACTGCCCCAGTCACCACAAAATAAAGTCAATTGTAATGCAGAGAGAGCTGCAAAGCGAGCAATGTTTACTACTGAAACGTCATCCACTAGCACACAATCAGAAATAAGAAATACAGGGCAGAATTAGGAAAGTTTCCACTGTACAAATGTAGTTCTCAATTCCATGGCACTTACTGTGCTAAACATACAGCATCCTGTCTGTGAAGCAGAACAAAGGTCAATAACAAAGCTGACTCAAAAATAATAGTGCAGAACCTTCATATCAACTCTTAGGTGACCTCAAAGACAGTTTCAATTGCAAGACACAAAAAATAGGAATAAATAATAGGAAAGTAAACCAAGCACCCTTCTCTAGGACAGTACAAACATAAGTGTACAGTCTTCCTCAACAGCAGAGAGAAAACTGCTGTTAGCCAGCCAGTCGTACAAGTGCAGCAGAAATCAATGCTGTTCAATTCAAACCATTTCTGGCTGAAAAGTGCACCTGCATTTCTGCAGGACAAGATTAGTATACATGGATATATTTATTTACACAAAAGAACATCTTAAAATCCTTAGGCATTCATAGCTCCACTTTTCCCATCAATAAAGCAGCTAATTGTTGTCACTGGGGCAAAAAGTCTGCATTGAAAGTTCCTATCAAGAGTTGGAAAGGCAAAATACTTGAAACATCAGGTTTTTTTTCCAAGGAGGAAGTGGCACTTATAATTTGCTCCCTCTCTTCTCTTCTCTCCTTAAGGCTTGGCTATGGTTCCACAGGCGTTGCCTTTGGCTATTTCGGTAATCACAGGATAGCCAGATCTATCTTCACTTGACATCCCAACAAACTTTACAAGTCACTTCACAGCGATCAAAAGCAGGAACCAGCTGATTTCTATTCCCCTCTCCCTTGATCAGCAATGCTAAGGCGAATTCTAGGACCTCTACCACTTTTACAGCCGAGATCAGCTTTTCAGTGCCCAGACCTGACCCCTTCCATTGGTGTAAATTCCCTCCAGACATTGTTTTAATCAACTGAACATTCTGGGAAGTCCCTACAATTTCACACAGTAAAAATAAAATGCAAACTGAAACTTCAAGCCATAACTGATCTTGTGCATTCCGACAATGTCTAAGGCTAAGGTGTTCAAGTCTATTGTTCGTCTCATTGCAGGGTTAAGGCTACAAGTTTGCAATTTGTATCGTACTTTCACTGCAGAATAAGTAGAATTAAAAACCAAATATACATCAGGAGATCACATTAATTAAAAGAATATAGGGATCTGCCTGCTACAAAACAATCATTTTATTTACAACCCCACCATAACAACTAAGATTTTAACATCTGCACATCCCTTAATATCGCTCCTCTTACAAAGAGCCGTCTGATTGATACCAATTAAGGATTAAAAAGTTGAAGCTGCTAATCTAACTAACAGGTCAAAGTAAGTGTTTCTGATTGTGTGCATTAAGTGTCACAAGACCATTGTACAAGATATAGTACAGGGTGATAAAGCCTTTCAGGATGAGAATGCCATCTTTTCGTTCGAATGCATCTTCAATTCCTCAGGGCAGCCAACCTGGAAAAGAACATTAAAGAGTCACCACAGAGCAGGACAGGCTGAAAACTGTTAACATTGACGTTGGATGGTTTCGATTTTAAAGTGAAGCTCTATATTCAGATGAATGTATCCTCTATTTCAGAAACAGAGACGAGTTGTGCGTATTTACTCATCAGTTTTTCTCTCCTTTCTTGAAACCCTTGGCTTTCCTACTATTGGAAATTCAGTTCCAGAGTTGGCAGTTTTGTTTGATAGCTCACCTGGTTAGCTATTTCCAAGTGAGCATTGACAATGAACATCTGCAAGCTGATTTTCCCTCTAACCAAGGCTACTGAGACTTATTGCAGCTCCCTTAGGGCTAACCCAGATACGACTAGCAAACCTGTACACAGAAGTTATTAAATGTGTATACATTAGGGAAAAAAGCAATACCGTGTCGATATTGTTTTGACTTTTCGCAAATCATGGATTTAAAAACATTCTTCTCTTGAGTTAATTGCATTTAAATCAACAACTAAACTAGTATTTCTTATGATCAATTAGTTATCTTGTGATCAAAAAAAGACGTTAGTGATTTTTATCACAACAACAGCTTCAGAATACAATATCTAGCAGTAAACTATTTTGACGGCTTTTGCAGCAACTTTTGAATTATTTTGCAGAATTTGAAGAAAAAAAAGTTGGAAACAAATGTATTATAGTTCAAAAAGGATGCTATATCCTTCACACAGAAATATTCTCCTGGACCTGTACCGCAATAACATCACCAGAATAAAAATGTACAAGTAAGTATATTAGTAAAGTGCAATAGTCTCACCTCCGTGAAAGCTGGTCCTCCCGGTTCTGGGTACCGACAGAAGATTCTCCAAGAGAGGTCGCTCCAGCTGGCAGTTCGTTCAGCTGGTCTATGACCTCCAAACCATTTTCCTCTGCAATCTGCACAATGAGATTATCTACTTGCTCCTGAGGAGTGGTCAACGTTGTTGCTGAGCTCATGGAGTCTTCCATCACCTGCAAAGATGACGAATAACATTGACAGTGTAAATTGTAACATACGAACGCAACCGGAAAACAAAAACCGGTGAAATATTCTGTCTAAAAGAATGAAAAACAAAATAGACACGATAGTGGATCAAACGTGATGGGATCTGAGAAACACAAATACATATTTATTAACTTAAGTCTTTAACTAGATAAAAAGGTGCATTTAATAAAATACTTACCGAAGTGTGGACGTCAAGGTTCTGAACCTGCTGCTCAAACTTGTCCATGACAGCAGATACAGTCTGTAGGTCCATAGACTTCATTGCCCTTTCCAGTCCTTTTGTTACGTGTCCCATTTGTTTTGTAACCTACAATTAAAAAAGATCCTTCATTCCACTTAAAAGTAGTTCAGTATTAGAAGCAACCAAGTAAATATTGATTCAATGATAATCTCAGGCTCAAGTTATTTCTATGGAAGCGCTCAATCAGTTTAATAATCCTTCAGAGTTACCCTGCTTGATTCCAATTAAAAACGGGCATAGTTATGTTTAACGTTTGCAGCCCTCGTCAATCACTGGGTCAATGCAACACATTGTCATATTTGGAAAATGAAGGAATAGCCATACACAGCTGTTCCATACCCCTTTCATTGTTGCTGCTGTCTGCACTTTCGAAGCGACTGCATCAACTCGAGAAGCCATCCGTAACCAGTTCAAACCTTCATTTTTCTTTCTAATGGCATTCTCTGCATAAATCTTTGCTCCTTCAATGTTTTTCTGTTGAAGAGCCTGGAAAGAAAAAAAACAGAAGTTGGTCACATTGTTGATAGAAAATGTTACCGTCAACTTCTCGTAAGAAATTGCTCACATAAAATCTATTACTGGTAACAAAATACACACAGGGAACATAAGAATTCAAACTCTGGCTCACGAAACCTGCACACATAATAGTGAAGTAAAAGTGGAAACATAATAAAATTTGTCTGGGCACCATTATTTACCAGCATTTATAGTCAGTTGTGCATTTGTTAATTTGGGTATTAGGAGCCACACTGCATTTGAATGTTTTCCCCAACCTGTATGGTCACAGAACAACTTCCAAAAAAAAAAAGCAAAACATTATTCCATCCATCACATCAAGCCTATTCCTTGTTCATCATTAGAGAAGAACCAAATTAGCTGCAAATTTTAAAACATAAAACATTTACTAACCTTCTTCACTTTGGCTTGTTCACTTTTTGAGTCTTTTTCTGCTTTCTTGGACAGCTTCTCTAGCTGTTTTGATGTAAACTGTAGAAGAAAAATTACAATGAATTAACTGCTCACAATAAATACAAAACAAAAAAGAAACAATGAACTTTTGGGTCTTTTTCCACTAAGTTGTTTGTGGTTTTCCTCAAACTTTTCCATTTGCCTTAACACCCCACTAAAATGATACATTCACCCATTGAGTCATTCATGTTAAAATATACACTACAACAAAATTACATTTGTAAAGCGCCTTCCACATCAGGAGGACATCCCAAGACGCTGATGAGTAATGAAAGGGAAATACAGCCAACCCAAAGTTGTGGTACAAACTGTCAAGATAGATATGAAATTAAATAGATGACCCAACAGTTTTGAATTGCAGACAGTACCCCAAAGCAGAAAAAATATAGCAAATTGACCAATTTCCCATAACCATAATGTATATTGACAACATGTAAACACATGCTTCTTCAAAAGAGTGTGAGGTGTATCTAAAATATTGCTATACCATACTCCAGCTATACATAGTTAAATTTTCTTAAATAGATAAATGTGGACAAATTTAGTTTTTAAAATCGCATCTCAAAAAGTATAAAGTTTTGTACTTACCCGTAATTGAAACAAAGTATCTGTAAGAAGAAGATAAACAGAGAAATACTTAGAAATATAAAATAATGGGATGGACAATAAATGGATATAGGTTTGTCCCTATTTAGACAAGCTTCAACAACAACAACTTGCATTTATGTATCACCTTTCACACGGGGTAGTGTCCCGGAGCTCTTTGGTATGGAAGAGAGAAAGCTAAAGAGTGTTGGTGAGAGAAAAAGAGGAAGATTTGCGATACTAAGAGTAAAAGTGAGCTCAAATATAGGAATGCCATATTATAACAACCCTCTCATTTGATGTAGTGCCTTATTATGTCATTGAGACATCTCAAAGTGGATTCACTGTGTATTTTGTGGATTCAATATACAGGATACGGACAATGGACAAGAAAGAGTATATGTGATTGAAATTATGAAAGTAGCTCACGACCTTCGCTTACAGTGAAGACCTCCACAAGGCATTTACTGTGAAGTGGAGTGACTGTGGCAAACATGTAAGTCAAACTCAGGTATATAAGGGACAAGACTGGCCCTGTGCCAGGAGTTACCCCAACGCACAGTTCCCCGAGCCTTGGCTCCTGCCACCCTACGCCTAATACTCTCCGGAATCAAGTAAGCAGGAAGCATCCCTCCCGGGGAGAGAGTATTTGATACAGCGCCTTATCACATCTTCGAGACGTCTCAACGCGGTACGCAAGGACACACCGTAAAGTGGACCGACTGCACACTTTGTGGGCGAGAGGTGTAACAGCAATGACAACAACAACAACAACTTGCATTTTTATAACGCCCTTCACGCGGGGCGGGGAGGAGGGGGGGAGGGGAGGGGGAGGGGAAGGCGCGGGTGGGGGGACACCGGGAGTCCTCGAGTTGGGTTCGGATACTATTAAGCGACGGTGAAGGGTTTCTGCGTGTGTCACCGATGAGGGCGGGGAGGGGAGGGGAGGGCCCGGGGCCTGTGACCTGGCTCAGGTATGTGATGAGGGCCGGGAGGGGAGGGCCGGGAGGGGAGGGGTGGGGAGGGGAGGGCCGGGAGGGGAGGGGTGGGGGAGGGCCGGGAGGGGAGGGGTGGGGAGGGCCCGGGGCCTGTGGTCGGCGGATACAATCGCAGCGCCTCACACACACACACACACATAGTGCCGGAACCTGACCCCCTCAACCCCTCCCTCTCTCCCCCTCCCCCGCGGGGGGGTGGGGTCGCTGTGTGTGTGTGTGTCTGGTACCATCCATGGTCTCGGTGGTTTCCAGGTAATTCCCCAGCGCCGCCGCCGCTCGTTTCCCAACTTCTTCCTGCAACAAGGAGTCAGGGCTCTCCCTCCCTCCCTCCCTCCCACCGTCGCTCTCGCGATACACTGGAGCGAATCACATGACGGGGGGAGGGTGTGGTGGTGGTTGTGGTGAGCCGGGAGGAGGGGGGGGGGCGGAAGAGGCCGGCGTGTATCCCCATCACGTGATGCTCCCACGCTCAGTCACACACACGCCCCGCCCCGCCGATGACGTCGCGCCCCGCGCAACAAATGCCCCTCCCACCGCCTGGTGCAAGTGCCACAGGTCCAGCTGGTGACTGACTGACTGACTGACAGACAGACAGACGCAGACAGACAGACAGCATGGGTGCCTCCAGCAGCAATCACCACAAACAGCACAAGGGTAACGTCCTCTTATACCAGTGCAGACGATAAGCTGCTTCTGTGTTATTTATGTCGATGCTTTTTGTTATTTTTTTTAAAAAAATCCCCCTCCATCCCTCCCTCCCTCCCTCCACACACCCACCATCCTTTGTTCCATTCACTTTAACATCTCTTTGAATTAATGTCTCCCCCTTTCACTTAATAACCATAAATGATCATTGTCCTTGCGTTTGGTACAATAAGATGCCTTATCGCATCATCGTTGAAAGGTCTCAAAGCGCTTCAGGGGATATGCCGCGAAGAGGATTGACTGTAATTGTGTGGCTGAAAAATTTAAATACAAATAATAATAATAATAATAATTCTTGGGTTTGATATAGCGCTTTTCACGTCTGCTAGAGATCTCAAAGCGCTTTACAGAAGACTGTAAAGTGAATTGACTGTATATTTGTGGGCGAAATGCGGCCTGTTTTGTCATCTGTAGGGTTTGATTAACATTGTTTTTAAAAAATCTTTTCAGATCACCACAGCGTTATTCCAAAGGTTTCAAAGAAACAAAAACTATCAGTTCCTGCAATTGTGGTCACGTCTGCATCTGCTACTTCCACCGCACAAATGGATATACGCCAAGATAAAAGCAACGAAGAAACATCCAATGGAAAAACAAATCAGCCAGGAAAATAGCTAACTAAATGTTAATCCAAAATAACATTGTCAGTTTGTTCAAAAAAAAACAAAATTATAAACAAAGGATTTTTTTACAGGCTGCAGAAATAAATTATATCATCTGAAATTGTAGTTATACAAAAAGCAGCAAGTATCTTAAATTTGCGTTGGTGTGACTGAAAACCCACATGGTTGAATGTAATAAGTATCTTACAGATTAATACTGAATTGGAAATGATTTTGTAATGTTGCTAGTTCAATTGAGGTTGCGTTCAAAGAACCGGATTTTGTTCTCGAGCTTATCAACCTCTGTTACATTACAAAAAAGTGTTACTTGGACTTTATAACAACAAATTGCATTTATATAGCGCCTTTCACTGTGGGAGCGTAATAATGGGGCGGCCAGGACAGGGGACATGAAGCCAGTGCCTGCTGAGCAGAGGGGTGGAGAGGTTGCTCGGGTTTCAGAAGGTCACAGACGTAGAGTGGGGTAAGACCGTGGAGACATTTAAAAGTCAAGACGAGGATCTTGAACTCAATCCTCTGGGGGAATGGAGAACCAGGGGAGCTGGGAAAGGTGAACAGTGACAATAATTGCAGCCTCAACTTCATGTTTTCCTCACTAGACTGTAAACGTTTTACACACGTCAGAATACGATTTTCAGTGTTATTTGTAATGTATCAATACCAAAACCTCTGTGGTAGATTTAGAATAACTGTGATATACTTGATGAACTGTCCTTTATACAATGTTGTAATATATTCTAAAACATTAACTTAAGTAAAATTCAACCCGGCTAGGTTGATTTTTTTTTCATTGTACATTTTTTATACCTACAAAAAGTAGAAAGTACACTAAAAGGTACATAGGAATAAACCAAGAAAAATATTGAACACATAAACACAGGTACATTGTTTATTTTGGAAAATTATTATGTGAAATGAACAAATTCATAAGCATCTGTAGATGTTTTCCTTCAGTTAGGCAAACTTACTGCTTGTCCAGCCGTGTATGATTGAATTTCCCTCCCCTTCCATCATCTTCCCTTTTGCAGACACTACCTTTTGGTAACTTACAAGTCCATTAAAAACTGTACCTCATCTGAGAAACTACCCTTGATGTATGAATCTGCACAGCAATCATCAACAGGCTAAGCAGGGAAGGCACCGAAGCCAACACACACCCCATTGTGGAGTCCTGAAGCTCAGTGGTTAGAGCACTCACCTCGCAAGCGAGAGACCTGGGTTCGATTCCTGGCAGGGCGAAATATTGGGCAAGTTTCTTATCTCCACATGCCTATTTACCTGGTAGCCAGTAGGAACCCGGTTGCTAGTCGATTGGCGGATGACTTTTCTGGGGGTAATAATTCCTGCAAAACAAAATTGGTCACTTCAATCCACAACTATTTGTGGGACACTGCTGTGCGCACAAAATATACAATCAACTCACTTTACAGTGTATCCTGTAAAGCTCTTTGAGACCCCTCTAAGATGTGATAAGGGGCTATATCAAATGCAAGGATTATTATCATCATCATCATGGAGGAGACGTCACTTGGTAGCAAACGTGAACGCAGCTGATGTCTCCCTTCCCCCTGGCGAGCACAGTAATGGAGGCAAACCGGATGCACGCAACACTAAAATCACATTTGTGCAGCGCCTGTCACGTCGGGAGGCTGTCTGTTCCAAGGCACTGGACAGACAAGTCAGGGGTTTGGAAACCTTTGAAACCCTTGTGGTAGTTTCAAAAGCATTGAACCTTAAATTGGCCACTCTGCTACCCCCAGCTGGTAACTCGTAACCCTGAGCTATTCTTTTTTATTTTGGGGTGGGGGGGCTGTAACTTGTGGAGTCCTGTAGCTCAGTGGTTAGAGCACTCGCTTTGCAAGTGAGAGACCTGAGTTCAATTCCAGGCAGAGGGCGAAACCTTGGGCAAGTTTCCTTACTCCACACAGAGCCTAATAATAATCCCTCCAAAAAACCCAAAACAATAATAAATTGGTCATTTTCAATCTACGACTGTTTGTGGGACATCGCTGTGCGCAATCGGCCGCCGCGTTCGCCCACAAATATACAGTCACTTCACTTTGCGGTGTGATCTGTGAAGCGCTTTGGGACGTACTCCCGACGTGAAAAGCGCTGTATCAAATGCGAGGATTATTATTATTATTATTATTATTATTATTATTATTTTAATTCCTGGCGCCCTCTTCAGGCTCCCACCAGAGGGCGACAATAAGGCAACGTCGGGGGAGAGGTTGGTTGGCCACGGCGGCGCCATGGGCGACTCCAACGAGGAAGACCAGGACACCATCAGGCTGAAGCCGCTGAAGTACAACGGTACCTTCCCGGTGCCCGCGGAGGACAGGGTAACGGCCGGAGCCATTTGTTAAGCCTCCAATCACACATGTATCTGCTCGCGGTCCCCCCCTCCCTCCTCCTCCGACACAGCGGCCTCGAGCGCCTTTTTTTTTACTTCGTGCGCGTCCAACCGTCGTTCTCCTGACTCCGACTGGCTATTGCGCACGCGCCGCGCTGTGCGCGCTGGGAGTTGTAGTCCCGGGAGGACTCGGCAGCATCCGGGACACCAAGAGCCCGGTCAGCGGCAGCCAATGGGAGGAGAGGAAGGGGAATGGGTTGCCTTCGTAGAATAAACCTCACACAAGTCGTATCAGTTGGGATCATACATTTAACATGACTTATGCAAAGTCTGGGTTATGTGAAACTTACAAATAATAGGAAATATAACAGGCTTTGGGCAGATGTCCGACTTAGCGATATATGATTTACACTGATCAGATGTGTGCGGGTTTTACTGTACGACCAACGATTGGTTTTGGATGAAGATAGTCCATTGGTCCATCCCTGCTTACAAGCCTGCAGAACATCCACCCTACCCTCTCTTACCTCCTATCACAGTATCAAACTGTTTCTTTTTGAATGAGACCTCATTCCCTGGCCTCAACCACACTGTTCCAGTCATTAATAACCACTGAAAACATCCTGCTGTCTATTCTGAAATTACCCTTTGCAATTTTAAACATTTATCCTCTTGTTCCAGTGTCTTGGTGTTTTCTAAAGTATTTTTCTGGATGTACTTTTTCAATCTGATTTAAATTTTGATACACCTCTATGAAGTAAACTATGAGTCGTCTTCTCTCAAGACCGAAGAGCATTAGCTTGTCTAATCATTCACAGTTCATTCCCGCCAACACTAAGCACCATCCTGGTTTCTCTCCTCTGCACTGCCTGCAGGGACTGGGCAGCTCCCTTACATCACAGTGACCAGAACTTTATGCAGTACTCTAGGTGTGTTCTGACCAGTGCACTATATGCAGCCTGATTTTGACATCTAAAGCTGTCAATGGCAATTACAGCACATCGTGTTTTGCACCTAAAATCTCAGCCAGTGAGCCCTTCAAATCAGGATTTTTTAAAAAAAATCTAGACAGATTATCTCAATTTAAGATTCCAAGGGTCAAGATCACTTTTCTTACATTAAATTTTCTCTCATATTGCAGCTGGGAAGAGGCAGAAGTGTCAAAGAATTTGTAAAACTGAATCGTATTGGTGAAGGAACCTACGGTATTGTTTGTAAGTTCAGTTTAACAAGCTTTTAAATTGGATAATAAATTCAACAAATCATTATTTAAATTGTAGATTTGTTGTTGATCAATGTTGAATTCCAGTGTACAGATTTTTTTTACTGCAACTCTTTTCAATGCTTTAGACCGAGCCCATGATACAAAAAGCGATGAAATTGTCGCCCTTAAGAAAGTTCGGATGGATAAAGAGAAGGATGGTAAGACAGCAATATCAAACCAATTGCTTACAGCACCTTTTTCTTCTAACTCATCGCTTTTTTATCTGCATTACTCCTTTTAACAGTTGTATATTCCATATTTAAACTATAATTGCTTTGGAAAGATCACTTTATCAATATTGCCAGTTAACCTGGTCGCTTATGTGCTTCAAAGTGTGCCTGGTGTATTCCTTATGTCACCACTGCAGAAAGCAACCAATGCTTTCTCTTCTCATTGAATAAAATCTTTTGAAAAAGATCAATGTATTACTTTGTGTCAATTTAAATGATATTTTTCAAATTGTAACAAGTTGTAAGGATAAAAAAATCAAAATGTTTGCAAGAATGTAATGAGCTCTAGTTGTGGATGAATGTTCATCCCAGTTAATTAGTAATTGTACATTCTATTGTACACAACATGTTTCGTCCAGCGGGGGTAAAAATAAATTTTTTTGCTTCTTATGTTCATTTCCAGGAATACCTATCAGTAGTTTGAGAGAGATTAATTTACTCCTCAAAGTAAGACATCCCAATATTGTGGAGCTAAAAGAGGTAGTAGTAGGAACTCACTTGGACAGGTCAGTAACTTCAGTAACAACATAAATATACCTAGATTGTTGTTGGGACAATGCATTTGGTACACCATGGCTTACTTCACCGCTCCCCCACCCCCCTCCAACTAAGCTTTGATACGTAAAGATGATTAAGAGACAAATTGAGTTTTCACTTGATATATTTCTTTAACAGCATTTTCCTGGTGATGGGATACTGTGAACAGGACCTTGCCAGCCTTCTGGAGAATATGCAGTCACCATTCTCAGAGGCTCAGGTAAAATCCTCAGGATTATTTTTACAAGAATGATGTTACAAGAATATTTTAAAGATCCCTTTCGAAAACCTCTTTCATTTGGAATTGTAACATATATTGTTCTTTGCAATTTGCAGCTGTTGAAGTGCTTGAAGTTCTGTACATTATGGATTAGGAAATGAAACCAATCTTTGTTTACTATAATCTACTATAATCTGTTTATCTTTTGAAAGAGTCAGTTTTGTGTATTTATGTTAAGGTGAAGTGTATCATCCTGCAAGTATTGAAGGGACTGCAATATCTGCATGAAAACTTCATCATTCATAGGTGAGTGATTCGAAAAAGGCAGTCAAAGGAAGACTTTGACCTACTCAGTGATCTGGCAGCTGTCACTGGCAGCAATAGTTTATAGCATATGGACGGTTTATCATTTCCAGTACACTGTTGGCATTGACAAATAGCTAATCTGCAAAAATAGGAAAGGGCTGAAAGAGGCTCCAAAAATCTAATGCAGCAGGAAAGCAAGAAAATAAGGAATGAAAGAGGAAAGAAATAATACATTTGAAGTGGAGGATGAAACAGACTCATTTTCACAGAGACATGTTTTTTGACCTTTTAAATCTGAAAAGTCATTCATTAATTGGCGTATGGAGTTCGCCAGACTTGGCGTTCATTGCCCACAACTTTATGTACAATGACCCACAATCCAAAACACTCAATTTATTAGTTTTTCTTTGTCGATCATTAGCATATAGACACACAACTTCTGATGTGTAATGCAAATATTCAGTCACTATTTTTGATAGCAATTCTGTGTGAAGGAAGGGCTGTGAGATCTTTCATTATGATTCCATTGTCTCTTTCTTCCAGAGACCTGAAGGTATCCAATTTGCTGATGACAGACAAAGGTTGCGTGAAGATAGGTGAGATTTTGTGTACCTCTTTCCATTTACATTGCAAGCTGTGCACCTATGCAGTAATTATTAAATTGAATTCATATGAGGTCAGAAAGTAATGGTCTTTCTTTCCTTTGCTGCTACCTTAGTGCAGTGACGAGCAATGTACAATATGTACATTTTCTGTTTTCAGGTGTTTGAGCATTTTAACATTCATTTTTCTCTGCTTCATGGCAGCGGATTTTGGGCTTGCACGTACATACGGAGTACCTCTCAAACCAATGACCCCAAAAGTGGTTACACTGTGGTAAGTTGGCTGAGACGACAGCAGACTTAAAAAAAAGCACTTTGATAACAGTAGTTCCATATTTTTGGCAACAATATTTGCAAACCAGCCCCAAGTCCCCATTGGAAAAAAATCACATTGGACATTTTGAATCTAATATTTGAAAGTTCAGATAACTTCTATTATGTGTCTCATATTTACAGGTACCGAGCACCAGAATTACTACTGGGTACAAAGACCCAGACTACAGCGATCGATATGTGGTAAGTGTACACAAGCCCTTAACTCTGCTTAAAAATACAGGGCAACTCCATTATAATGTGCCCCCCATTGAGCCGAGAATCGCTAAGAGCTCTGGGCTTCCTGCACTCAAATATGGCTGGAGGAAAGCATCATCTGCTTCTTGTACATACGTGCAGTGCAGCGAGTGATTGTCGAAGCATTGATTGCTCTCACAAATTGAGACAGAGTCACAGCACTCCTAAAAATGTTTTCAAGGCTGAAAGAAGTGTAGCATGTGAGCCCAGAGTCTGGCACGATTGATGGCATGACATTTTTCAGGGCAACTTTATGCAGTGTGCTTGGCGTGCATGAAAAGAGTTTCACAGCTGTTTCCTGAAGATTAAGTCAACCTTTCAACTGGAGAAAGGTTTGAGTATTCAAACAGAAACCTAATAAAGCAGAGACTGATGACCATTTTGCTTCATGCTCCACTTATACTGAGGGTCCTGAGACCCAGATCAACGCGCTATTAATGGGTTTTCCTGTACATCGTTTTGTGTCTGATTTTCTCACTGTCTGCTTCTCTTACCTCTTCCACAGGGCAGTAGGCTGCATCCTCGCCGAGCTGCTTGCCCACAAGCCGATGCTCCCAGGAAGTTCAGAGATCCACCAAATTGACCTCATAGTTCAGCTGCTAGGGACTCCCAACGAGAACATTTGGCCAGTGAGTGTTGCTGGGGACTTAACAGTAGCCTACGATCTCTGGCGCAGAATTCACCATATTTATCAAGGATTTTTTTAAAGCCTTCAGTTAAGGATATTTTTACATATTTCATTAATTTGTCCTGGTATTGTGTTTTGGTAACACTCGCTATCCAGGCTCACACAGTGAGGATGACTGTTTAGACATTGCCCAACACAGGTGGAAACATAGTCCAGTATAGCTTAGGATCTAAGGGGAGACAATAAATTGAAATGAGGAGAATATACACATTATCCTCCTATTGAAGGAGCATTCACTGAATACCTGAGATATTAGCTAATTGTGTTGATGTTGTGATGTAGGGCTTTTCCAAGCTGTCGCTTGTGGGGCAGTACACTCTGAGAAAACAGCCTTACAACAACCTGAAGCACAAGTTTCCGTGGCTCTCAGAGGCAGGTCTGCGACTTCTCAACTTTCTCTTCATGTACGATCCCAAAAAGAGGTATTTGAACGCTTCCTATTTTGTTTAGATTAAGAGATTTTAGTGACATGGAACAGTACTGCACACAAACCGATCATTTGACACAACTAGTCAGTGCTTTTTTTTCACTTCTCCTAATCCCTTCTCCCTCATGTATGCATTAAGTTTCCTCTTAACTGTTCCGTTTAGTTTCTGATGAGAACTGATCGACAGGGAAGTTAATTTGTAGTTTATTTCAATATTGGAGTTTTACACAGTAAAATTATAATTACAAATGTTGTCCTTTTACAGCTCAAGTACTGACGAGAGAACTAATTAATTCACACTAAAAATGTGCCTCAATTGCTGAACTGAGCTTTACAACATTTATAAAGAATTAGTTAAAAGATGGTGTTGCAGCTTTGTCTTGTCGGTTACTAAGCTTGAGACAGACTTGGTCTTTATCTAGTGGATATTGAAGGGTGCTATGTGAATGCAAGTTATTGCCTAAAGGTAATTGTGTATTCTGTGTAACTTTGAGGCAACTATCACTGGGTATTTAATATTCAATGCAAAATATAATTGTCTTAAAGGGCCACAGCAGAAGATAGTCTGGAGAGCTCCTATTTTAAAGAAAAACCATTACGTAAGTATATCCAGAAATATTTTTGCAGTGTTTGCATTGCTCATTGTTTTATGTTATGTACTAAAATATAGATCCAGTGTTTTTGCTAAATCAAACAAGAGTGAATGTAACATACACATTACAATGCAAATGTTGTCAAACCTGGTTAACCAAATAAAAAAGTTGATCTGAAATAAGAACTTTCTATCACTAGGAATGAAGTCACATTGTTCAAAAACAGGTCACCCGCAAACTAACATTTAAGTGAACCCTTGAGTTATTAGGATATAATCTTACCCCTCATTTTCTGGTTCCGTCACTGCTGTTCTCTATCCAGCGGCAAAAAATCCTAGTTTAAGTTGGAATGTAGGAATGATCTAGGTTTCAGTACTGCTGACCCTTGTGCACTGGATCAACTAAAAGGAGTGGGCTCTTCCAGAGTAGATATTTGGCTGAATAGGTTGCAAGTAGCAACTGAGTTGCTGAGCAGAGGATAGAACGCGAGCCCTGTTTGAGAATCCATCGTGCATCTCATCCAGTTAGATGCTGATATCAATGCATTAACAAGAAGTTGACCAGATACTGGCTATATTTTAATCAGTCCTGTATTTGTTCATACTCTTTAAAGATATGTCACTCACACGTCAGGCTTTAATTGCAGATTTCATTGGGTTAAGCCTTGAGAAATGGTCACATGAATGAAACAAATTTTTAAAAAAACTTCTCCATTTCCCTGAAGCATGTGAACCAGAACTGATGCCCACCTTCCCCCATCACCGGAACAAACGTGCTGCGTCTTGTGCAGAAAATCAGCAGAAGCGACTCAAAGTGTGACACAGCGATTCAGAACGACTAACATTACCGCAGGTACAGGATACTTTTTTTTAGCTTCATAGGACTGTTCTGTCATTTACCACAGCCAAGGAATATGAATTGTAAAAACTATAAATTGTGCATGTCCCTCCTTATGGGAATATAATAAATAAACGCCAACTGCTTTTCTGAGGCAGTTTGACAACTTCCTTGCAAATCTGTCATTTTAGTTGAATTCCTGTGAAGCGCTTCGAGATGATTTGACAATGTGATATGAAGCAATGCGAAATGCAAGGATTTTCCAACTATCCAACTGGTGTCCCAACAGAAAATCATACTGTGGGCACAGAGCAAGATGTTGATCCATCCAAAGCAATACGATTTTGTTCTGCTAATCCCTTTTACATACAAACATGATCGATCGGATTGGCTTTAAGCTTTTAAATTCAGGTTTAATTCATGCCGTTCGACTACTGTAAGAAAGTACTTGAATACTGAATACTTACCACTTCATTAAACTGAAAGAGCCACAAGTAGAAATTACAGTATTGTAATTGAGACTGTTACAGAACATTTTGGTTTGTCTAATTTCATATGAAGCTAAATAAAATGTAAAAATTGTTTTGCATTGATTTCATTGCTCAAATGAGATAAGGAAGATTGAGACAAATTGGGCATGTTTCTCAGGTGTTGTGTTCCATATCAATCGGCCTTCCCAACGCTTCCCTTCACAAGCTGCAGATCATCCAAAACTCTGCAGCTCGTGTCCTCTCACGCATCAGGCTCAGTGACCCCATCACTCCCACCCTCGCCCGACTCCACTGGCTCCCCATCCCCCAGAGGATCGAGTTCAAGATCCTCGTCCTCACCTTTAAGGCCATCCATGGCCTTGCCCCCTCCTACCTCTCTGACCTGCTGACTCCCTACGAGCCTGCCCGCTCCCTCCGTTCATCAGGCTCTGGCCTGCTCCATGTCTCCCGCCCAACCCGCCCTACCATCGGTGGCCGGGCTTTCAGCCACTCTGCCTCTACGCTCTGGAACTCCATCCCACGGTCCCTTCGCAGCGCTTCCTCCCTTGCCTCCTTCAAGATCGGCTCAAGACCTTTCTCTTCGACCGTGCCTTTGGTCTCCCTCCCACCTCTCTGCCTTCCCTCACCCCTACACCACCTCTCCCCCATGCTCGAGCCCCGACACTTGACTGTTCAGCGCTTTGGGATGTCCTCCCGACGTGAAAGGCGCTCTATAAATGTCATTTTGTTGTTGTTGTTGTGTGGGGTGAGGGTAGTTACTGATAAAAGTCTAACAGCAATGTCTTCCAATTGTCCCTCAGCTACGACAATGCCCAGGAATGGGAATATTCTGAAGAACACATGGATTGAATTCTTCAAACTGTGAATATACCCAGCTACAATACAATAAACCTTTGTTAAATTTGTGTGGGACTGAAGTGGAAAAAGGTGAAAATACTTAATCACCATCACATAAATCCAATTCACTTACTACTTTTATTCTCTCAACTTCCTGGCAAATAAAATCAGAAGAGCAGCCACCTGTAAAATTTGTCTTGATCAGTTAGTTTGAATGTTACCTGCCATTTATCTTGTGACCCCAGTAAATACTGTTTAACTATTAGTTCTTCCTACAATGAATGTTCTTCTTTATTAGTTCTTCCTACAGCCTCTTTACTATTTATGAATAAAAGCATTGCACATTGTAAGACACAAAACTCTCCAGGCTCAATTTCTTTATTTTAAGTCAAGCATCTGCAAGTCAACAAAAATAATTAGTCCCACAGAAAATGCAATTCTCTCTCTCAGGAGGACAATTGGAACATTAAAACGGATATAATCAGATATTACTACAAACTGCTTTATTCAAAGTGTACTGTTCAATCTTACTAGCCTCCTTCAGAAAACAGTGCTGGGGTTCAAATGCAATCTGAATTTGATCAGTTAGTCTGAATGTTATCTGTCATTTTCTCCCTGTTGATTCTTTATAACTGATACAAACCACATTTGTACATCACAAATTCTCCTCCCCATACTCTGCCATTAAAGTTCCACATTTGGTAAATTGTGGAGAAATTCTAGTGGGCAGACACATACTCATCTAGTTAAATTTCCAAAATAACAACAGTTCTTGCGGATAGATTATCTGTATTATACAATGGGTAAAGTACTATTTTAACCTTGGAGTGTTAAGACTCCTGTACATGTGGTTAAACATTGAAAATGGCATACAAATGGTGTTCAAAGCATTACAGGACAACCATTGGAATGGTTCCTTTGTAATTAAACCTCTGATATGTCTAACAGGTGCCCTTTCAAAAAGAAAGTTTCCTAAAAAAAGACTGTTATATTGGGATGGAATTAGAATGTGATTCGTTGGGAGTTTTCCAGTTTCTTGAGACTCTGATCACAGATCGTACACTCCATTCTATTCTGATAACCACAATAGTTGCACACAAGCATGCTGCATTCACATTGAAAATATACTGGCTGACGTTTGCAAATCTCACAATATTCATCTACTTTATCGGCTTTTCTGAACTCACAGATGGCAACAGAAGGCTGCCTCGATTCGCGAGTCGGAGCCTCGGGGCTTCGTGAATAGCTTGACTCATCAGGAATAGATCTGAAGGAATGATCTTGGCTGTATCTGGTCACAGGGTCACACAAAGCACCTTGCGCTGTATCACACGTTTCACGACCGTACTGAGCAGAATTAATGTTACTGATGTGATTGTGTTGTTGGTATCTTTCATCACCCACGTACTTTGATCTACTCAGAACATCCTCGGCGTTCACATTTGCATTGGTACCTTGGTTACTGTGAACTGAATCAAAGGGGAATCCATCCTTAAAGGGTGCTTCTGGGGATTCGCAGCCCAGGTGGTTTCTTGAAGCAGCAAAATTGAGTTTATTGCCCTGTTTCCTGTACAATCCATTATAAATGACACTGTCACTAAGCTGTGGTGTTGTTGCGTTTTGTCTGTTGGCATTTCTGCTGTCCTCTCTGTGTGATGGAAGCACACTCTCATTGCCATTCAACTTTATATCGGTGTAAAGATTTTCAAATTCTTCAGTTGATTCTCCTCTTCCGAATTGGGCTTCTCTCAGGCTATGAGCCCTCTTAAAGCTCAGCTCATTCACGCACTTATCAATGCTTTCCATCAATATTCTTTCCTGAATCAAATCATTGACTGAAAAGACACAGTGCTCTCCCTTTTCTACAATCTCCAATAAAATCTCACACTCCAGTCTTGCAGAGAAGAACTCAAACGCTCGCTTGACGGATTCCCGAGGCTCTGAGTCTCGTAATTCCAGATGGAAACCATCTTTTAGTCTGTAACCCATTTTCTTGAAAATACTTGCCAGGTCTTCACTGCAAAGTGCAGGTTTCAGATAATGCACATAAGCACCTGAAAATGTCTAACAATAAAGAAAAAAAAGTATGTGAGGTCCGGCTGCTTTTCTGAACTCACAGATGGCAACAAATGTACATCCACTTAAAATGTTCTGTCACCTGTTATTCTCCACCTTCACTGTACAATCCTGTTTACGTGTTGTTAAGCTTCAAATCAAATCTCTACATTGCACAACCCATAATGCTCACTCACAAGTATGAGATCTGCCCAACTATTAGAGAGAAACTATTAGAAATTAGAACTATTAATTAGAATTAGAAACTATTAGAGGGATGTATGAGGCCTGCCGAACTATTGAAGAGAGAAATTAGAGACTAACATCTTAAAGGTTGGATTATCCAGCCTTTTTATAGCCACAGCAGTGTAGTAATGAACAAGTTAATAATGTTCCTCAATTCTCAACAATCCCTCCCCACCCCCTTTATGAATGTTTGTCATAAAGGAATTACCTTTATCGTTTTAAACTCCTTTCTCCATGGAAACACGGCGAGGTTGACGGCAGCCAACTCCAATAATTCAAAGGCTCTAATCAGCAACTTCAAAGCGCTGGCAAGATCGCGCTTTCCACGCAGAGAATTGGCCACAATTTCAAACACGTCATTTCGTAGGACGTCGTGGCACTCCTCACTGTTCTGGGTCAGATGCAGCCTGGTCAACCGCTTCACCTCATCATCGTTGCAAATCCCGCCGGGTCCTGGAAGGCAGTCTTCGTACGACTGCCTGAGTTGTTCACAGGTGTTTTGCAAACTGCTATTCATTCTAAGAGTTAAAAAAAAACACTCATTATAGTTGGATCACAAGAATCGGAACCACTGAAATTTCAGTTCCTTTTTTTTTAAAAAAAAGCGAAACTGTTGTCTGACAAATGTGGAAACCCATCTTGTGCCAGTCACACGCTGCTATTGACCCAACTAGCCAGCCAGTCCGACATATATATGCCACTGACTTGATAGAAATTTCCTTGCATCTGGATTGCAACTTGTCCTGTCTGCCTGGAGGGACAGACGCACCCCGCTTACCTAAACCCAGACATTATTATGGTGGCGCGAAACATGGCTCGAGGGTCCCAGAGTGTGCGAGGACCACCCCCACATTGTCTTACAGGGGTAACAGGAGCCCAGTGGGAAGAAGCCCTGCTGCCAGTCTACTAAAGAGTGAAGTTGGGTCAACAGCAGAGCCTTGCAATACTCGCCTACCACAGCAACCACAGAGGGTTGCCATTGCTTGGAGCCAACTCAGCCCTAAAGAGAAATAAAAAGCAGAAGTCGCCGGTCAGGCAGCAGCTATGGATTTGCAGCCTCTGCAGTATTTTGCCTTCAGCCCGAAAGACGACCCCCACTTACCTCTCTCCTCAGGGGGTTAACACTGTTGGGAGAAGGTGAAATTGAAAGCAATGGCCTTACAGCTAATCTCTCCACTCCACAACAAGGAAACGGGTGAAATCGACAGATTTCCGCCTATGTATATATATATAAAATGTACTGTATATATTCCTATATTCTCCAAGCTTTATATAGTTTTGCCACGAGCACTGTATAACCATCCTAACCCCCACAGGTTTGCTCAGCTCGTGGAGTGCTCTGGCCGCTCAACACATCCGTTGAGAACTCTGTCCTCGGATGTTTTTTAACAGTACCTCTCAAGCTCACCTGCCAAAGACCCCCGAAACTCCGACCAGAGAGCCCTGGACACCCCCCCACCCCCCCACACCCACCCACACACTCCCAGCACAAGCTCCAGAGACACACGGAGAGGGACAGAGACACACGGAGAGGGACAGAGACACACGGAGAGGGACAGAGACACACGGAGAGGGACAGAGACACGGAGAGGGACAGAGACACGGAGAGGGACAGAGACACGGAGAGGGACAGAGACACGGAGAGGGACAGAGACACACAGAGAGGGACAGAGACACACAGAGAGGGACAGAGACACACAGAGAGGGACAGAGACACACGGAGAGGGACAGAGACACACAGAGAGGGACAGAGAGACACACAGAGAGGGACAGAGACACACAGAGAGGGACAGAGAGACACACAGAGAGGGACAGAGACACACAGAGAGGGACAGAGAGGGACAGAGACACACAGAGAGGGACAGAGAGACACACAGAGAGGGACAGAGAGACACACAGAGAGGGACAGAGACACACAGAGAGGGTCAGAGAGACACAGAGAGGGGCAGAGACACACAGAGAGGGTCAGAGAGACACAGAGAGGGACAGAGAGGGACAGAGACACACAGAGAGGGACAGAGAGGGACAGAGAGACACACAGAGAGGGTCAGAGAGACACAGAGAGGGGCAGAGACACACAGAGAGGGACAGAGAGACACACAGAGAGGGACAGAGAGACACACAGAGAGGGACAGAGACACACAGAGAGGGACAGAGACACACAGAGAGGGACAGAGACACACAGAGAGGGACAGAGACACACAGAGAAGGACAGAGACACAGCAGAGAGGGACAGAGACACACAGAGAGGGACAGAGAGACACACAGAGAGGGACAGAGACACACAGAGAGGGACAGAGACACACAGAGAGGGACAGAGACACACAGAGAGGACAGAGACACACAGAGAGGGACAGAGACACACAGAGAGGGACAGAGAGACACACAGAGAGGGACAGAGAGGGACAGAGAGACACACAGAGAGGGACAGAGAGGGACAGAGACACACAGGGAGAGCTCAGGAGGAGATACTCAGTCCGGGACTTCCTGCCAAGTGCTGATGCCGAGGTCCGGCCTCTGAACGCACACAAAACCAATCATCGGCAACTCTCGCTGCGATGTCACCTTCCTGTCTCTCTGGGGTTGGGTTCGGTCTGATCTCCGTCTTGTTTGCTGCTGATTGGCTTCGGTTGGACCATCAGAGGGTGAGGAACCCCATCAGTGGAGTCCTGTAGTTCAGTGGTTAGAGCACTCGCTTTGCAAGCGAGAGACCTGAGTTCAATTCCAGGCAGAGGGCGAAACCTTGGGCAAGTTTCCTTACTCCACACAGAGCCTAATACTAATCCCTCCAAAACCAAAAACAATAATAAATTGGCATTTTCAATCTACGACTGTTTGTGGGACATTGCTGTGCGCAATTGGCTGCCACGTTCGCCCACAAATATACAGTCACTTCACTTTACAGTGTGTTCTGTGAAGCGTTTTGGGACGTCCTCCCGACGTGAAAAGCGCTATATCAAATGCAAGGATTATTATTATTATTATTATTATCATCAGAGGGTGAGGAACCCCATCTGGTCCTTCACCAACTCCTGGGTCCTCAGCCACCACTGAGCAGAACCCCAACACCAACACAGAGAGAGAGAGAGAGAGAGAGAGAACTCCTGCACCACACAACGAATCAGTATCAAGGGGGTTTCTTTTTTTTTGCACACACAGGTGCACAGATTCTCCAGGTCCTAATCCTACAGTAAATCACCACTTCAGCTGTTGGGTCATTGCCCACGTTTTGCAAATGAATACACTTCGATCACTGTTTGAAAAGGAAAAGAAATCACTTTGCAGAAAGCGCTGGGGGCTTCGATGACCGGTTTGGTGGATTGAAACCCTTATGAAACCATCCAGAGAGTATTAAAAATATTGCAGGACTTGCAGGTGCCAATTGAAGCATTAATCATAATAATAATGATAATCCTAGCATTTGATAGAGCGCTTTTCACGTCGGGAGGACGTCCCAAAGCGCTTCACAGAACACACTGTAAAATGAATTGACTGTATATTTGTGGGCGAACGCGGCGGCCGATTGCGCACAGCAATGTCCCACAAACAGTCGTAGATTGAAAATGACCAATTTATTATTGTTTTTGGTTTTGGAGGGATTATTATTAATAATTATTATTATTATTAATAATTATTATTATTAATAATAATAATAATCCTTGCATTTGATATAGCGCTTTTCACGTCGGGAGGACATCCCAAAGCGCTTCACAGAACACACTGTAAAGTGAATGGACTGTATATTTGTGGGCGAACGCGGCAGCCAATTGCGCACAGCAATGTCCCACAAACAGTCATAGATTGAAAATGACCAATTTATTATTGTTTTTGGTTTTGGAGGGATTATTATTAGGCTCTGTGTGGAGTAAGGAAACTTGCCCAAGGTTTTGCCCTCTGCCTGGAATTGAACTCAGGTCTCTCACTTGCAAAGCGAGTGCTCTAACCACTGAGCTACAGGACTCATTATTATTATTAAGTGCTGCAATAGAATTACAAGCAAGCACCAGTAACTTTATTCTGTCAGAAATGCTAGTTTCGTGACATAATACAAAATACTGCATATCATGTTCATTTCAGGGCCAATCGTCAAAAAGAACAGGGGAGAACATGTAGATTTATGTTTCAATTGATTCATTAACTGGACACCATTGAGATGTTTTACAACAACATTGTTTGTTTTGCACAATATTGTATCGGATTCAGAAGAAGCGAAACTTTTAAGAATCTCAGAAGTTTTAATGCAAAACTTCACACCAAAAAATTCTGGAGCATTTCACATGCAGATGGCGCTCTCTTGATACGGTTCAGGCCTGGTTTATTAGTGCTGTGTCCACTTACGTCATGATATCATTTAATAGAGGACAAACTTATACCAAGAATCTTCAATCTGGAGAATTCGTATGATGGGCGATTAATATTACATACACAGTATGTTCGCCTACAAAATACACAGTCTCTACACTTTACAGTAAATCCTGTGACGTGTCCTCCTGACATAGAAGCGCTGTATCGAATGTAAGCATTATTTTTACATTCTTTCTGTAAATCCTGTGAAATCCTGTGAAATCCTGGGACGTCTTCCTGACGCCCGCAGAGATCAGTATCAGAGTTTGTACCTGTGCAGTTTTGCCAGTCTCTCTTTGTCCTTGGGTGTGTAACGTACACTTTGAGCAATCTGATAATGGTCTCCAGTGTGAAATCAAATTTTTTTAAAAATCTTAAAAATACACCACGTATGGAACATAATACAGAGCTTCTCACTGATGCCAAGCGCACAAACCAAAGAATTCTGTAGCAATTCAACTTCAGTCACCTCAAAAATGAATCTTACGTCAGTATTTCTCATGGAAGGATAAATCTTGCCAACAGACCCATAGGGCAAATTGATACTGAAAACTGTGAAAAACGAGACAGCCTTCTACCATCTGAAAGATACAAGTGATAGTTGTGATAACTATGCTGACTCATGACTTTCGTGAGACTCCAGTTCAGCTGACCCATGTTTTCTGGCAGTTTTTGAATTATAGGCATAGAAAGTAGTAGCGTAAAACCATATTGAATCGCCATGTTCACGCATATAAGGGTGTGTCACAGCTTCGGTAAGAATATAATATTCTCCAACAGCCTGCAACCTGAGGAAACAGAAGGTAATCTCACTCACTCCCACTCATATTAGCTTTTAAAAGAGAACTAGATAAATAATAATAAAAATCCTTGCATTTGATATAGCACTTTTCACATCTTCTAGACGTCTCAAAGCGCTTCACAGAATATACTGTAAAGTGAAATGACTGTATATTTTGTGGGTGAAACACAGCAGCCAATTGCTCACAGCAGTGTCCCACAAACAGTCGAGGATTGAGTGACCAAATTCTTATTGTTTTTTTTTCTTGAGGGATTATTATCAGGCATCTGGAGTAAGGAAACTTGCCCAAGGTTTCACCCTGCCAGGAATTGAACCCAGGTCTCTCGCTTGCAAGCTACAGGACTCCTGTAGATATCCAAAAGGAGTAAAGAGACTCTTAAATAATATATTTTTTAAAAGTCTTGAATGTGCCCAGGTGATTCAATAGACTGTTTAAGAGCATTCAGCAGACTAAGGAGGAAATGGTGCAGTAATGATTCAAAATCATCACCTTTACACTGCAATATTTCGCCCACAAATATACAGTCAATTCACTTTGCGGTCTATTCTGTGAAGCGCTTTGAGACGTCGAGAAGACGTGAAAAGCGCTATATCAAATGCAAGGATTATTATTATGGCAGAGGACAAATCACACAACGCCTTTAAAAGCTCCTCCAGGTGGTGTTAGGAATCCATCACGATTTAGTGGCTCAAAATACACAGGTCGCAATACTTTACGGTAGATCCGCTTTGACACGCTTTGAGACGTTGCAACGATGTGATAAGGCGCTGCGGCAAGTGCAAAAATTATTACTATTATTATTATAAATGTCTCAAAAGCACTTACAAAAATATAACGTCTAGTGTAGTATATGCAGTACAAATAAAACACTCTCTCACCACCCGCGCCCTCATCTGATCACAGAAGACTGTACAAGGCTGATTTGAATTATCTGCCTCAAGTGAAAATACAGTATTTGTAAGACATTAAATGTCTCACCCATCATTGTTGTGCTTTTTCACAAGCAGATACACAGGCACATTGACGTGATGGTAGGTACAATTAAGAGTGCGGTTCCATCAATAACAGCGTTGATTAACGTGCTATCCATAAATCACTGCAGCAATTAGCGTCAAAGCAACAGGCTTTTCTATCAACTTATAATGTCAAATCTATTCTTTCCTAAAGCTATCTGGAGCTGACCCAAAATACACTGGCAGCTTCAAAATCATGGGTAAACAGGAATCTACAGTTTTATCCAGGTTTAGTAATGACACCCCAATTCTCACGCAATTAAATCAGAATTATTCCTTCGCCTGTAACTCGTGGAGTTTGCTCTAACTTTTAATTACAATTATAGAGTGAGATTATATTTTTATTTGGTCTGCACTTGTTCATAGCCCAATGAAAGGGGTAATTTAGTAGCACTGGGGAGATCTATTCTGTTAATTACACGAAGATACAAGTCTTACTCTAAGAGAGATGACAACTAATCATATTTAATTAATCACATTTATGAATACAGTACTGTATGCAATCACATGAATTAATGGAAGAATCTTTGTATAGTTAAAAACATTTAAAATAATTTAACGACAAATAAAAGGGAGAAATGGATCTCGAATGTTATCTCAGATCCCATGGTGCTGCCTTGGGACAACTGACCTTCCTCAAATCTGTCCTGTAAGCACCAGGACTGAATGTCTAAAATCTTTTCCAAAGCAAAGTTATGATCAGATCACCCACTTTGCTTCCAAAAAGAAAACTGGTTTGAGTCACACAGCCAGTGAGGCAGGACAGTAAATTAATTGGGTGGTACTGCTGCCAAGTTTCATGAATTGTGTTCCAAGTTATCATTATCATTATATTATCATTATATTATCATTATATTCGCTACGTGTTAGTTATAGCATCGCTGGTGTCAGGTTGTGTTGGATCTTTTGAGATTGACCGGTCTACTACTGTCAAAGCAAATACTTAACAAACTTTCCAAATTAAAACACAGACAGACACATTGCAAAGAGTCTGCAAAGAAACTGACACCAATTCTTCTGAATAAGTGCATTGTAAGTAGACCCTCTTGCATTATTAGTGTAGCTAAACCCTTGTCGTTCTAGTCTAGTCTTAAAGTACATCCCCCCTCAACCTTTCTTCCCCATTAAATTCTGCAATTCTCCCCCCACCCCACACCCCCAACCCAATAAAATGTGGAGAGATGGTTTTCTAAACGCCTGAGCAGTGATGTGACAGAAAGTCTTTATTTAGGTAGGAAGAGCCCCAAACAGTGCGTGCAAAGTTCTCAATTTGCATCTCGGAATCACCTGCACAAACCCTGAGGCTGTGCAGATGCAAAAGTGCAGTAGAAGTGTCAGGTAGGAGGTAGGTCATGGGCACTGGGTTAATTGTCAGTGTGACAGGCAATTGCAGGGCAGGGCAGGGCAAGGCAAGGCAGGGCAGGGACTTGTGGTGTTATGTTGCTGTCAAAAGGGAGGAGCGCTCCAGTTGGTTCAAGTATAATAACTGGGGCTCCCCTTTCCAGTGGCTGCGTTAATTTCAGTCCACAGCAAACTCCCTGAACTCTCTCTCTCTCTCTCTCTCTCAGCTGTCAGGATGTCTGGTGCTGGAAGGACCGTGCTTGTGCTTGGGGAGCTGGCACTGTGGGATCAGGGATAGTCAAAGCTCTGCTGGAGAAAGGTAAGTTGACTGCAGATGTTTGCTTGCACAGCCACACACCTGGTTCCTCTTCTCTGTTTGCTGTTTAACAGGGTTCTGGTGCTGTTTGATGGACATTTCAGACTCAGTACGTTTGTGCTGGCTTCTACCAGCTGATATTTCCAGGAATTTTGTTAAACCCCCCCCTTATACACATAATTTGCATGGTGTTCTCATTGTGTTCTGCTTGCGCAGCATATTTATTTCTCAAGGGAACCTGTTGCACTATTATTTTTTCATTGCAAAGTACACTATTTATAAGCGACTGCTTCAGAGATTCCATATCTTACAGATATTTCATTTCACCTGTACTATTAACCTGTAGTCAGTAATACTTTGAGACGTCTTGACGACATAATAAGGCACTATCTTAAATGCAAGGATTATTATTATTATTACTACTACTGTACAACATTTTTTTCCCCCGAGAGAACTTCACTTCTAAGACACACCACACTCCCGTTATGACCATCAACATGTTATTGGCATAAAAGATTCCAAATAAAAGTCAAAACCTCACCTTAAAAATTCTTGAAGTATATACAGTAAGTTGATTATTTTGACATCTACTCATCTGAAAATTTGGTTTGATTTTTCTGTTTTCAGCAAATTTTTAAATCTTTCATAATAATGGCCATTTCTGTAATATCTAAGAAAAGAATACAACATTTGCACCAAGAATGTGCCGTGCATTTTAAATCCACTTTCCATTAAATCCCACATTCCANTTTTAATTTTCAATTCCTGCGCTGAAGAAAGATCACTGAGACTGAGTTAGAGATGGGAAGCCATTCTTTTGTGAACTGTTGAAGCTGCAAGTGATGTAGTTTTTACCACAGCCATCTCATTACCAGTGACACGTTTACCTTGCTAACACAGGCCTGCTGTGCATCTTCCGACCACTCTGCTCCACATCAAAGGCCATACCTTCAGCCTCAATGTCCCTAAACCCTGGAACTCCCTGCCTCAACCTTCCCTTATCTATCTTAAAGAATAATAATTTGCTCACTCGATCCAAGAGTGTTTGTGGGACACTACTGTGCCCAATTGGCTGCCCCTTTCACCTACAAAACTTACAGTCAATTCACTTTAGAGAATAATAATAATAATAATAATAATAATCCTTGCATTTGATATAGTGCTTTTCACGTCGGGAGGACGTCCCAAAGCGCTTCACAGAACACACTGTAAAGTGAATTGACTGTATATTTGTGGGCGAACGCGGCAGACAATTGCGCACAGCAATGTCCCACAAACAGTTGTAGATTGAAAATGACCAATTTATTATTGTTTTTGGTTTTGGAGGGATTATTATTAGGCTCTGTGTGGAGTAAGGAAACTTGCCCAAGGTTTCGCCCTCTGCCTGGAATTGAACTCAGGTCTCTCACTTGCAAAGCGAGTGCTCTAACCACTGAGCTACAGGACTCCACAAATGTTCTGTGAAGCGCTTTGAGAAGTCTCAATTACCCAATAAGGCACCATATTAAACGCAAGGAGTATTTTTATTATCTTTAAATCCTACCTTGTGATCTAACTCTTCGACTGTGCCTATGGTCACCTCCCCCTTCTCCCTTGCTGAGTGTCCAACCCCGGCAGTGCTATATAAATGTAAGTTGTTGTTAAACTCTCTGAGGACACCGTTTACGTATTATATATCACAAAAACTGCAGCATTCCACAGATATTTCATATTTTTTGTCCCCAGCGTGTAGGCAGCGGATCAAGAAATCCATTCAATACCAGATTTATTACTTTGATGTGCAAGATTTTCTTTGGCACGACATTTCTGATTTTAGCAGATTAGGAATTGTAGCCTGATAGCATCCCAGATCGCATTCCATCAATTCCATCTGTACTTTGTATTATAACAACACTCCATCCTGTTCTCAACCACATATTTATCCAGCTCTCTGTTTCCAATTCCCTGAAATCAACATAAAAGCAACTGCTTTAGCTGATTATCTATTCAGTATATCCACTATTTTATTGGAGTCCTGTAGCTCAGTGGTTAGAGCACTCGCTTGACAAGTGAGAGACCTGAGTTCAATTCCAGGCAGAGGGCGAAACCTTGGGCAAGTTTCCTTACTCTACACAGAGCCTAATAATAATCCCTCCAAAACCAAAAACAATAATAAATTGGTCATTTTCAATCTACGACTGTTTGTGGGACATTGCTGTGCGCAATTGGCTGCCGCGTTCGCCCACAAATATACAGTCAGTTCACTCTACAGTGTGTTCTGTGAAGCCCTTTCGACGTGAAAAGCGCTATATCAAATGCAAGGATTATTATTATTATTATGGGTTGGGGGGAATTTCCATTTGATCTCCTGACCTGTTTGAGACATGTTTATTGTCTTGTTTAGCAATTTTACACTTACAATCTAAAATTACCTGGCAGCTATGAGCTTTATGTCACACTATGTTAAAGCCACAGTTTATCAATCCCGATTAACTCTTACACTGCCAGCAGGTCTAGCTATTCTTTCTTTGAACAGTAAAATGTTTTTATAAAAAATCTTAAGCTTACAAAGGTAATTTAATGAATATCTCCAGTCTCCTTGATCACCTTTTCCAAACGCATGCAGATATACAATCTCCTTCTTTTTGTCAATTAAATTGTGTTTAGCCCCCTTTCCCTTTTCTCAGTCCTCCGATATGTTTGAGATATGTCAATGTCAGATATATCAATGGCTAATAGCGTCATGTAAATAAATTCAATCATCTCAGATTTTGTCTCTAAAAGTGAATGCGTGAATGTTGAAGCAAATTGATTAAAATTAAAATTAAATAGAAATAGAAAGATCACTCGATATGCTTTAGATCCTTTTGTTTCTTTTGAAATCGTACTTGAAATAGTCACTAAAGTGTTAACAGATTCTCTTGTTGCTTTCGCAACATTGGAAGGTAAATGCATTAGAATATTGTATGCTGTATCACTAAGCAGCAAGTCAACAGAATCTTTCATTGAAAGCAGTGCTAACAATCAGCTACAACAGAACAATACTGATGCAAACCTGCTGTACGGGCCGGGAAGGATATAGTGCAGAATATCCATTGTGTATTTTTAGATTGGAAATCGAGAGGAAACTTGTAGCTCAGAGTATTAGTTAACTTGAGCTTTGAGCTTGACAACGTGATAAGGTGCTCTATCAAATACAAGGATTATCATTATTATCAAAAATGCATACAACATGTGGGAACTGTTTGAATGTAATTTTATATAAAAATGTAGTTTCTTTAATCCCTTCTTTAGGTCCCGCATAATTGCTTGCTATTTGCATCAACATTAAAATTAAATTCTCGTCCTCCAGACGTTCTGCTGATGATTGATTGTCTGGCTCACTCTCTTAGGCTGTCGTGTCGCAGTTATATCCAGAGATGCAGCCCGGCTGGAAAAACTGAAAAGCTTTGTCCCGGCCTCCACCCGAGAAAGGCTGGTCACTTTGGTTGGAGATGTGGGTAAGATGTCTTTCTCGATACGCAATTTGTTGTGAATAAAATTCTTTCCATAATCCAGTTCCCATTTCGTCAAGGAACTGGATTTGCCTCTGAACACTCTGGGACGCTACCCTGTGTGAAGGGCACTATATAAATACAAGTTGTTGGATTTAATTTTTTTTATGTAAAAAGAATCAATGCAAAGTAACACCCATAACAGATATCAGTTAGCTTCCTTTAGCAACTGAAATACTTACCATATTCATAGGTATTAAGAGGTCAAAGCATTCTGCTCCTGCCTATTTCTTTCAAAAAAAATTCCACATCAATTTATTCTGAGTAAATAAAGCTGCAAACCAATTACTTTTATGCAAAATTGTCAACAATATAAACAAGTACAGAATATCTCTTCTCTGTCCAAATAGACGTTGAATGTGGATCTGGGCTAAAACTGCAAAAATATTTAAGGAATGATGAAAGTTTGAAAATATCTACCAAGAAGGGCAAAAATGACAAAAACAATCAGGGTTATTCAAAGTACAATTTTGATGCCAAGATATGAGACTTAAGGAAATAAAGGGATGAGTTTTGGTGAGTACACTAAATCACACTCTCATCCCAATGTTTCTTGAAGATGATTTCTAGTAATAAAAGTGTAAGGTTAATAAATAATAGGTTCTGAACCAATATCATTTAATAAAGCTTTGATACTTAGTCATGGCATGTTGGGAGCTTTGGGATTCCATCTGATTGGACTTTTTAATAATCTTTCCAGGGACCGAGGAGGGTGCAGAGGCAGCTAAGAACAGTGTGGTGAAGGCACTGGGGAAAGTGACTGACATTGTGTCATCCTTGGGGTTCAGCTGGTGGCAAGGTGGGCCTCCTCACACTCAGTCACTGAAGGACCTGCACAAGGTAAGTGCCAGAACCCAAACTTTCAACCTTGAGATGTCGAACATCGTTGCAGTTGATTCCACCACTTTCCAATTGTTCTGTCCGTGACATTATGAGGTTTGATAAGGTTTCTTCCAAGGAAGCCGGATTAGCACAGGATATAATAGAGATGGTCAGGTTTAAAGATTGTTCTAGCTCGTGCTGTGAAGTCAAAGTGCATTAACGTTTATACAGTGTTTGGCAACAGAAGTTCTTTAAACAAATCAATTAGGCAGCATGCACTCAGAATTCATCTGAAAACCATTTACTGTACTTTTCCCTGTTGATACCATGTCAGACAGCTACTAGTATTTGCCTTTGTTGTTGAACCACATTTCTGGTCAATGGAATCGCAGATTTTGTATCAAATGTCCCCTTGTGTACTGCCTCATCAAAATTCCTTTGTACTATTTGCTCTAAAATGTTAAAATTGTTGCAATCACATGAGGTTGGAGAGTTTAGCAATGATTTGGCTGCTTAACTTAGTTTGAGTGATTTCATTAACAGTCTCGGTTAAATAAGCAATGTCGTTTTGCATGTTGCTTTCTCCCTGTGCGAGATACCTGCATTTGTGTTTTCATGCATAAATCTTTCCCAGATTAAATGAAGCAATCATTGCCACTTACACATTTTGTTGATAAGCTCACATTAAATCTCTTAGACACATCTGTCAGCTCCTTTCAACAAATTATTGTTTTTAATATCATTTAATGATCCCCTCCCAGCCAAAGCACGCTCTTTCAGTTAGAACATGTACAGGAGCCACGCAGGAGACTGTAAACTCAATACGTTGTCATGGTGCTAACGTACACATTATCCTGCAGGTGCTGGACACCCTATTGTTAAGCACTTTTACATCCTGGAAGGCATTCTTTCCTCTGGTTAAAGATGACCCTAATGCATCATATACATTTGTAACTGGTGAGTAGATGCCTTTTGTGTTACATAAATGCCCAACCACAGGGTATGGTCTATTTAAACATTAACCTCATCAATTGATTGATATTTCCACATGAAACTCACTTGTGTTTATACCTCTGGAGTGGAATCCCACGATATTTATTGACGGCAGTTTCCCATGTCTATACTCTGTCAGGCAGTGATAAACAAGCAGGGTGATGGGCTGCATTGCCAAATCAGCTGAGTTCAGATCCCCTGAAATTATGTTCTAGCTATCAAGTGTTCTCAAACCACTTCACAGGATATATTATCAAGTGTTCTGGTTGGGTTGCACCTACAGTGCCCAGCTATTTAACAGGTGATTTGGGTGTTTTGCATATTCCTTGTGGCGATTTGCTTTGTGGGGATTTACAGCCCTCAGCTTCTCGCTCCACATTCCTGCACTGTAAGTGAAGCAGCTATTTAATGCTCCCCACAGTTGCCAGTGCTCTCACCTCTTTCTGCTCTGCACAGAACAAAAAACATCTCGCTCAGAAGAAAGAGGTGAAATTGGGTAACGTAGCTCCACAAAGCTGAAGGGTGCGAGTTTAGGGTGTTACGTCTGGTTGCAACCTGTAGCCGAGCAGCAGGCACGCACTGACATGCTGAGAGAGAAACCAATAATGTAGACTAGTTATTACAATGGGCCTGACGATTGCTACTGTCAAGAAACAAATTCATGCACACGATTGAAGTAACTGTTTTGATTCTAATCTGAGCAGTGACGGGTCCTTAATATTGGAAAAGTCACATGAGCTCACCCTATACCACTCTGATGAACTGCTCAGTGGTTAGCTTGAGTTGAGCTTTGACAAGGGACTAGTAAAAAGGAAAGTGTAAATATTTTTGAGGTTGGGTGGGGGAAACTCGTTAATTCGTTCAATCAGCCCATTACCCTCTTCTCCCTGGGGCAAGGAATTATTTACTGACACTGACAAAGCTCACAGTACACGACTTCCCAGCATCAAAGAACGTTATTGCTGATGATGGAAGGCTGTCGAGGCTGATACGTTGATACCACAACACATGTTAGCAGTTTTCTCAATCAGATTGAACATATAATAGTTATCCAATTCCAAACCTTCCAATACATTCAGTACTCTTGCATCTACCTCCTATTTCTAAAGCAATTTCTTTAATCAAAGAGTGAAATGCTACAAGTTATCATAATTTAATAATTAAAGTACAATGAAATCTTTGCTTAGTTTCACCATTTTATAAATTAGACCAATCCGCTATTTCCCGAAGTTCAGATTGCAGAGTACAGTTTTGGGGATTTCCACCATTGCATAATGTCTGTGACATTAATACCTCTGGACTGTTGCCAGTGATTCAATCTTGCATTGTAGTCTTGCACATCTCAGGAAATCGCCCCAAACATTTATGATGCAGAAAAAGATTACTCAGACACGTAATATCAAGAGCTGGCATTTTTGTATGCGGTTCAAAGATTGTATACTTTTAACTTAAATTAGCAGTTTAACCGAAGAATGAAACCACTTTGATTTTGAGACGAACTAAAGCATAACTTGATATCTCAACCCAAAGGCACGAGCAGGAATCAGTTATTTTGTCACGTTTAGCAACTGCCCAATGAATTTTTAAGATTTGTTTGAATTCTTCTACTTGAGGAAGAATGTGAGAAAATGCTAAATTTATGATTAAACCTGAAGATTTGATCCTAACCTGCTGATTAAAATCTCGACAAGTTTTTTGATGCCAGTTCTTCTGATCGTCTCTCATGCAATTAGCTAAATTAGCATCTGCATCTCTCTCTATCTCTCATTTAGCCAAACCTCACACTTCGTGTTGAAAGCATAAAGCTGGATTTAAGGTTATATATTTGAGGAAATAAATGGGAAGAAAAGTTCTGTTTGGAATTTATTAAAAAACTCCAGTCCTACCGATTTATCAGAGATTGTTCAAAACTTTCTAGATATTTACACTTTTGTCACGATGTTAAGAAAACATTTCACGCGCGTAAATATTGCAGCATGGTGTGAGATGGAGGCATGCTACCCAGGGAGTCAGCTTGTCTACCCATACACGCAAGTTCAGTTCTCTACATCACAGCGAAAGTAAAGGCCAATGCATTGCAACTAAGCAGTTTAGCAAAGCCGTGATGAGAAGAGTACTGTAGGGCTCTGTGTTTGACCCATTCTCTTCTCGTTTCGCAGGTGGTGCAGGAGACAGACTGCTCATGCCAGGCACCGGTTTCCTGACTGTGGGTGCGGCTGGAGCTGTGGCGTTCTGTCAGATCGTTAGAGAAGAGTATCCTGACGTACCATGCAAAGTGAATGAGGTAGTGATCCCTATGAGAAGTTTTTTTGTATAGAAGGGGCACAACATAAACGGAAGTTGTTGTTGTTCCTCTTGTATTCCACCTGATGAACAAAGGGCAATTTGCTGTGTAAACTTCGTACATAAATTATTTCAAGCTTAAAGATTAAATAATTCGGCAAAATTCACTTAGCATTCATGCAGGGTTCCTGCCCACTAACAGATGGTGAGTTAGATACACAATACATACGCATTTGTTACATTTCGTAGTTTCCATTTGAGCCTAGAGCTAATTTCATTTTGCCGCAAGGAAGAAACCAAGAAGACACTACTTCCTTCTCCATATCAGAGTCACTCAGTGATTATTATAACCCTTCTGGCAAGTTTGGCTTGTGTATGTGTGTGGGACGGGGGTGAGGGTTGGGGAATGGGAGTACAATAAAGAAGCAAAGCATTTTTATCAAGAATAATACTAATGTGTAGACATAAGGTTGAGAACTCCTAAGAATGAATTATTTCAGTGTATTATTATTATTGTGTCACTAAGCACAAATGCACAGCCACACTTCTTCAAATCATAAAATCCCTTTTAACATTTGATGCCCTTAAGGTACCTTCTTAAGGTATCTTCAGGTGAGAATTTGATTTGAGGACTCAGTAATTTAATAGCTTGGCTTCTTTTCGACAGATGAAGCTTAACTTGGGTGTTGCAACCCCAGAACGGATTGCTCCTGGTTTCGTGAATCACTTGGATGTGGGTGAAGCCATGGCCACTATATTGGAGAAGAAGTGCGTTTCACATCATGTGATCTGTGTGAACACACCAGCCGACCTCAAAACCCTGATTGTAGAAGGCAAAGTCTAACCTTCCAAAGATTGAGCGTGGAATCACTCCTCAACGGCCACGCCAAGGCAACGGTCCATACCACTTTGTTTAGTTCAAAGTCCTGTAACAGAATAGTAGTGTGCACCTTACTATAGAGTCAATTATATGCCTGATCACAACACAACAAAGACAGCCCAAGTTTCACATTTAATTACCAGATTGTTCCTTATTAAACTCAAGGCAAACCTTAAGTTAATATCTGGCAGTAACTTGCCATGTTCTGTTAATAAGCGCACACCTTTACTCTCAGGAAATTCAAGTTCCAAACTATTTTACGGACATCAGAGTAAAGTAATTTGCCACTATTGATTCTGCTCTTAAGAGAAATTTGCCTTAATCCAGATCAGGAAAATGCAAAGCTGTACTCCACTGGTATTTGCTTCAGTGTTGAAACAGATCCACAGTTATTGGTGCTGGTCAGAATTGTGAACTGTACACATTAACATTGACAATCTGAAACATAACATATATCATCCCTTCAGTATTACCTAGCTTTGCTACTGAAGTAAATTGCCCACTACTTTAGTTAACCTATAGGACTTCTGTTGATGACATTTCTTGATGTGACTTGTGTTTAACCAACATAGCATACACATTTCAGCAAATTAATAATACATCTAATTGTTGTACTGGTACTCCTTTTGACAACAATTCCTCTGTAAAATGTAGTTAACATTCTCCATTACTTGATGTAAATTGATGTTAGCCAATTTTGTTGGACATTTTAATAAATGTAATTTGTAAAAATAAATGCGTTTGTTATTGTAAGATTAAATCAGCCTGGTCATTGCTAATAACTGAATTAATGATAACTGAACAAAGATGTGAACTACAAATAAGGTATCCATGTGTTCCGAAATCAGACACATTCCACTTTGTTGACAACCATGGGGATTTAAATAAGGAAAACCACATCCCTATTGTGTCCAGATCGTGGTCATTTTCACGGAAAGGAAAAAGCTGAAGGTATTTAAAGAGGCAGGCAGTGTGCTCATGATATCATCGAGTATGGTGTCACAGTAAAACCATGGCTGTACTTGGCTCTAGGTACATAGGAGTGAAAAGACTTGTGGTATATTTGTACAATAGTTGACAGATGTAGCCAGTTAGTAAAGATTGATTTGATTGACCAAGTAAGCTGGATGTCAAACTACCTAACAATAAAACAACAAGATTACACTTGTGAGCTGGACAGTGTACAGCATTTCAAACCCAAGCTGGGGTCAGGGGGAGAAGGGAGTGGAAGGGGGGTTAGGAGGTCGCAGAGGTAGGGTGGGGCGAGGCCATGGTGGGCTTTGTAGGTGAGGACCAGCATAAAACATAGGGTGTCAGTGTAGCTCAGCTGGCAGTATTTTTTGCTTCTGATGTTAGAAGATTATGAGTTAAAGACCACATCAGCTCATGACCCACACTGACTTTCCAGTGGGATACTGAGGGAGCTGGTGGGACAGATTTATAGGTGACAAGACTCTTAGAGAAACAGAAATTCTACCCATAAAGGGAAGGCAATGCATAAAGCCTTGCCACTGATAACTATAAAATCCAAATCAATTGTGATTTGCAAGGAACGACTGAGGTCATCATAAACATATAACGTACTGTTCGTCTCTCAAGCTATTTGCAAATCTGCTTTCAATATTCCGTGTTCTGTTGCTGAGCCAAAAAGTGAGCCATTTCTTAAGAATCTGCCAGGCCACTCCTTTTTTTTGAAACTGTGGCTTCTGATTTAAGTATGTATTTGCACGAATTTCCTTAGTTTGTCTAATTCAATTTTTGGCGCTTGATTACCGTGACGGTGTGACTTCAGTGTTGCATAAGAAGACTGGTTTCTATTCAGCAATGGCAGTAATGAATTAACCCTAATAATAGTAATAATGATCCTTGAATTTGATGTGGCACCTTATTATGTCATTGAGATGTCTCAAAGCGCATCACAGTATATAATGTAAAGTGGATTGCTGTGTATTTTGTGTGCAGCCAATTGCACATAACAGTGTGGCACAAACAGTCGTGGATTGAGTGACCAAATTATTATTATTATTTTTTATTTATATCTGATTATGAGGCAGCTACCGACAATATTAATGAATCCGCTGTTCCTTAATAAAAACATTGCCCACTTCAAATAATTCTGATTAATTTGTTACTGAGCAAGATGAGGAATTAGAAATGTGATAAAAAAACTAAAAAAACTAAACGAACTAAAAATCAGAGGGAAATACTGAGTAATGAAATAAGAAAAGAAAGGTGATCAGATAAAATTGTACAGTACGTGGTAATGTTCCATCCAATTGTTTTGTAACAAAAAGGCAAAATATTCTACAGCAAAGTTTAAGCATCACATCACATCGCAAAGACCTGTTGTTATGTTAGTGATTTCAAGATCAAAATTGATACCAGCAGTCATGAAAAGCTGTGCCGTGCTGATTGCCCAAATTCTATTTTGAGCCAATTTGCACAGTAGTGCTTGTTGTTACAAGTCACATAAATTTCTTACCATAATGAGAACAGTTACAAGTTCAATCATCAAACCAATCAGCCCATTTGCTCTTACATCGTAAACTTTGGTAAGGTGTTTGCCAGATGTCCAGATGTTAGGGCGCTTTTCAAAACCGTTTCTGTTCTTTAGTCAACTCACGCAAGCTTCTTAACCCTTTTAGTCTTTGTTAATCCAAAAAGCTCATGGCTGTAAATGACTTGCATCGGCCTCCAACTCGCAAGTGGTCTAAGATCCAGACACAACCATGAGCAATCTACTATTCAAATTACAATGCTATGATCACAAGATAGTGTGGACTTTCTGAAAATCAACCTCATGAAGATTAATTTAGAAATGTTGGGCAGTTGCGCTGCTGAGTACCACATGTTTTAATAATGAGGGCTAGTCTAATATTTTGGCTATAAGGCTACCTGGCACTCGGAATGCTACAGGTTTCAAAATACACTTTAACAATGCCAGGAAGTGTCCTGACTTCAGCAAACCACCAGGAAATGGGAGACTTTCAGCTTGAATTCATTTCCAGAACCTGAGAATATTCCCTCTCTGCCAATTTTCTTTTCTCCTCTCCTATCCTGAGGGCATCGCACACCTTTTATCTTCTACTGCAGAGGTTCCACCGGCTCCATTCGCCATCCAAGTACCATTGCCTAAGAGGAAATAGTTTCTCCCTATTCAACCTGTCAAAACCCTCATAATCTTGCATACCTCTAGCAGGTCCCCTCTCAAGCTTCCCTGAAACCTATTACAGTGACACTTCCATATAAAGCAAAGTTATAAATTTAAACCGGCCTGTGGCAAGTGATTAAGAAGAACTGGATTTGCAAATTTGACTGAAGGAGAAGATGAATAAATTATGCAAAAGAATGAGTATTGAAAGCAAATTGAATTAGAAACTGTATTGTGTGGCTTGTATTCTTAGTAAAAGGTAATACATCTAGATAGCTTAAGGTAACAGATAAAAAAAATCTTATGATTAATGATAGATGGCTTTGGAGTACTTGCTTTAACATACAATGTCTTGTTAGCTTTAAATAAATATGGTTTATGTTTGTAGGTACTGTTGTTAACTCTTGCACAAATAGATCGGATTGCAAAGATTGAGCCAAAAACATAAAACTTTTTTCTGTACCACTGTCAATGAATCAAATCAAAAATACAATCAAAACCTTTTGGCTTCTGAGTCAGTTAGGAACCTATAGCTTTATTCAGCGATGGTAAAGTAAACAAGTTAAAGAGTGCTGTCCTCCACTATTGACTTGACAAATGAGCTGAGTTGAGACTAACATAAGAATGCTTTCATGTGTTAAACCACAACAGTAGTAGGACAAGGAGGCAGGAAGGGGTACAGATTCATAAAAATAGTATTTGGTAATGCAGATAACAGATATGAAAAAGGGAATTTAGAAACTAAAAGATAATAATGACAAAAACAATAATCGTCGCATTTCATATAGCTATAGATATCTTGTCTCAAAGCGCTTCACAGAATACACTGTAAAGTGAATTGACTATATTTTGTGGGCGAAAGATGCCTTTTGACGGTGAAGCTCTGGCACAGTTAAGCAGTATGAAACTCTCTCCCAGGAGCAGGGTGCTATATAAATGCAAGTTGTTGTTGTAGTAGCAGCAATAAGCATCATCATATCAATGGCAAATAGATTAATGGTGGACAAATTTAACCTTCAAGTTTGTCCTTCAGCCATTTACCTCACCTCTAATTAGCAGGATAATGCAGACGTTGCATCCACTAGTTTGCGTGTGGTATGCAACCTCACAATACTCTGCTGTACAAATTCCTTTCACTATCGTGCCACATAGCTTTCAGCTCCTACGTCATATTTATCTTTCTTCACCTTTTACCCACATCTATATCCCACTCGAAATCAACCTAACCCTTAGAGTGCTGCATAAAAGTATTGACATTTATTAGGTGTAGTTACAGGTCCACGGAACAAAAGATTGTTTGAGATCAGACTTGAATTAATGAATTATTTACAATGGGTTTGAGGTTCAGTGTCAGTAGATGTCACAAAGCAGTAAAAAAAAAGCTTCAAAGCAATTGATGATATTTTGATGACATCGTGTCACTTTAATGATATCTCAGTCCAAAGGATATGGACCCAACAGCACTATGCCACTTAACACTGCATTGAGATGTCAATGTTAGCCGTGAGCTGAACGCTCTGTTCAAAAGGTGAGAGCTTTGCCAGCTGAGACATCTGTTATTTTGCCAGAAACTCCAATAATGAGTTCTCTCCGATAGAGATAACGCTTCAGGCATACCTTAAGAATCATTTCATCAACAGCCCGAGGCACATTTCAGTTGCCCTGTTAATTCCTTCCACTTTTATTTAAGACCGAGCAGGGAAAAGGAATTTAATATCGGCAAACAAAAGTTAAAAGATATTTCTAACAGTCCAAACCCTTCTTCCCTCCAGATATAACCAATATAGATTCCAGCTTGATTAAAAGATAATAATAATAATCCTTGCATTTGATATAGCTTCTTATAACGTCTTCGAGATGTCTAAAAGGGTTTTACAGAATATACTGTAGAGTGAATTGACTGTATAGTCTAAAATAGTGAGAATACTAAAGAAACTATCAATAATTTACATTGTGACAATGTCTAGTGGGGTGTGCTCCACTGAGTATTTTGTTTCATCTTTCATACTTAAAAAAAAGGTTGATAACTTTGCTGATATAAGTGGAATAAGCAAGCAGTCTCTGCCATTCTGGTGCATTCCACTTCTCCTGAGTTAAAAATAATAATCTATTGCATGTATTACTGAAAGAGTTTGAAGGAAATACAATGACTTGCCCTCTTCCTTGCTCTCAGTATCATTAAGCTATTAATAATAATAAGCCTTCCATTTGGTATAGCACATTTCATGTTGGGAGGACATCCCAAAAGCACTTCACAGGATATGCTATAAAATTCAGTAACTATGCGCTTTGTGGACAAATTAATTCCAACAGATACAAAACCTGTGTTTTTTTAAAAAAAATGAACTCAGCACCAAACAACTTTTCTGGAAGACGTAGTATTTTACTTAAAGAAATTAGCTTTTCTTTTTGTTTTATATCAACTGACTGGGGCTTGACATTCTGTGAGTAAATTGTCCTAATGGCATGGTTCAACGGTGTTTTAATTTCCGTCAATGTCATCTTGCAATCCAGATTAATTTGGAGGCTAAAGCTCAGTAAAGGAGTCACAGAAAAGGAAACAGTCTATGGGAAAGTAAGCACCCTGACCCAG